TTAGGTATACGTATTTATTTATTTATAAGTATTTATTTTTCCCTTATGTCACTTTAACCTTACCTTTACCTTATTAATTAGACACTAGAGTAGATATAGCATAGGAAATGGCGTGTTCTATAATACTTTTTTAAGTCTGTCAAGAACTTAAAACTAACTGCCGATCGTAGAAATACCGCGAATAACAAAACCACAGGCACTCGATGATGTAAATTATTAAAGCATTACTTATATACATAAAAACTTAAAAAAAAACGACTTAAAAAAAAACTAAAAAGTAAAAAAAAAACTGGTTGTTAGTTGTCATTTACTATAGATACTTAATCAGATATTTTCGAAGTCGGTGTGCTTTGATTTGTATCGGCCGGCACCTATACGTCTTAGTAGGCACGGGATAAGTCCCTTCAATACGAGGATACGAGGCGGATCAGGTCATAGTCCACGCTGATCAAGTTCGGCTTGGTGGGCTTCACATGTCTTTCGGAAACCTAATAGGTTGGCTTCAGACATGCAGGTTTTCTCACGATATTTTCATTCAACGTGATACAACTGGTGATTATATTGAATATGATTCGCACATGAAGATATCTGAGCTGTTAGAACCCGGATTTGAACCTGCTTCACTAAGTTTCCTAAGCGAGCGCGTTACCACTGGACTACCACTGTCAAGACCTGGCTTACCCGTCATTATGTTCTAGCGACGTACACTCGCTTCTACAGACAGAAGGACGGAGAGTATTTATTATGTAGTAAAGTACTTACTATTTAGTAATTTGCTTAGATCATTCAGGTACTGAACCAAAAATAATTATTAAGCGCGAATCGAACCTGCGACTTCCAGCATACTTGAGAGTACTCTGCTTTTCATATCATTTACGCTCCGTTTATACTGCACTTCATTGAGAAACAACCTTGGCTCTAATCCAGATACAGCCAGACAACTCGACATCGGATAATATTATTAACTTATCTGAATAATATGAAACTAGCTACCGGCTACCAGCGCTTTTGCCAGCGGCTTTGCACGCGTGAGCAGTATAGTTGACAACAATGTAATGTGACAGCTGCAAAGATCAATATTGTAACTCAGTACATATACATATACACAGTACACACATAAAAATTATAATACAAAAATATATAATTATACATAATATTATACATATATAAAAAAACATATTTCAAACATATTTTCACATTTTAAACATTCAACACACACCACACAAATGACTTATCATTATAAATGTTAATTAACCAATTTAATAATATGAATTACCTATGAATACATAAATAATTACTTAATGCAGAAAAATTTATTACATAAAATCATATTGTTTAAAACTAGGTAAGTACTTAAATAAAAAAAAATATATAAACTACTATATTAAAAAAAATTGGCTTAAGTCATTATTTTTATTGGTCTAACTTTAACTACTGCTATATTTAACTTTTATGGCGGTACTTGTAAAAAATATTAATAATGTACAATATCAATGTTTAAAGTATAACTGACCTTGTAATGTCATTTTATTATTGTGTGGCTTTTTGTTAAAAATATGAGTGATAATGTTTAATGATATTTTGGTGACAATCCGTAATTTCTATCATAGAGGAAGGAACTGTCGTCTGTAATACAGGCTCGGCCTAGTACAGTCGGCAGTGACAAACCGATGTAAGTAGCATAAATTGTAATAAGCTTTATTTTGCGCTTAGTGTAAATTTAATGTCAAAACTTATTGCTAATAAACTTTTGTTATTATTATTATTTATTTAATCAACTAGCAGAACCCGCGGCTTCGCTCGCGTTCAGATGACCAAAAACCAAATTCTTAGGTTTTACATATTAGTATACTCTTACATTGCAGTTTTTGTATTTATTCTCAAAAATGAGATAATTTCCCGCGGTAAAAAGTATCCTATATGTTGACCAGGATAACCAGCTATCAAATATCATCAAAACATACCAAGGTTTTTCTGTGATGCTGTACAGACACACAAAAATTCTAAAAACTATAGATTCGGCCTCTGTATCGATAATAATGTTTATTTCAATAAGATTTTCCAAAATATATTTAATGTACAGATTTGGCTTAGTTACAATTTTATTATATGTATAGATTTTAAACGTAAGGTAAGGTATACGTAGGTTTCATACAAACTTTCATCCCCTATTTAACCCCTTTTATGGGATGAATTTTGACAAATGCTAAAACACGTATTTATTTAATTATATTGATGAGCATTAATACCAAGTTTCAATTAATTCTGATCATAAATATTTTTTGGGTTATATTATAACGTGTTTTTCTGTGGGAATGAGATAATCTCCCGCGGTAAAAAGTAACCTATGTTACCCTCCAGCCATCTAACTATCTCCGTTCAAAAAATTACGACAATCCGTCACTCCGTTTCGACGTGAAAGAAGGACGGACAAACAAACAAACACACTTTCACACTTATAATATTAGTATGGATATGTGAAGCAAAAATTTTGTAGCCCTTTTTAAGAAAATTACTCGGACGGAGGAAAGTTTATATGGGGAAGGAGTGCAGAAACACTACCGCGTGAATGACATACACGCTTAACAAAAAATAAGGAAACAACGAATTTTGATTTTTATTTGATTTTAAATAATTATCAATTAGTAAAAAAATTTTCATATATGTACATGGACTCCATATTTTATATAAACTTATGTATTTGTGGGATGTGCATTTGCTTCAGGTTAAAATCTATACTAATATTATAAAGAGGTAAAGTTTGTGAGTTTGTGACATTGTAGGAGGTAATTTCTGAATCTACTGAATCGATTTAGATGAAATTTGGTAAGAAGATAGTTTGAGACCCTGGGAAGGACATAGGATACTTTTTATCCCGAAAAATGGGAATGAAAGTTTGTATTGGGAAGCAAGCTAGGGAGAACCCGAGTGAAGCGAGAGTGAGTCGCCAGTATTAAGTAATCGTAAAGCAAATACAGGCAAAATAAGTTATAAATCTTTTATCTAATAAATATAAATCGTACACTGTCTTAATGATAGACACCAAATACTGCCAAATCGCTTTGTCTAGACTCCAGACTGTAGAATAAATATTATATAGGTATATACTAATTACATATAAAAATGCGAGATACAACCTTAAATCTTACCGTCGCTTCACTCGGGTTCGTCCCTAGGTATGCGCAGTTTGTGCACAATTTTATTGGTTTTAATTTTTTGGGCGTGGAATTGTTTCCAAAATAGAAATAGCCTAAATTACTTCTTATAACATCAGCTATCTGCCAGTTAAAGTCCTCTCAAAATCGATCCAACCGTTTCGGATATTAGCCGGAACAGACGGACAGGTAACAAATTTAAAAATTGTTTTTTTTTTTTTACTTATAAGTGCCGTATATAACTTCATATACATATATGTATATAATAAAAAATTGTTATTTTGACATTACCTACAAGCAGACATTTCAATTTTATTTATTGGTATAGTAATAATACAAGTGATTGGCTCTCATATTGCCTAAACCCATAATCTATCAGGGTCTATGATTTAGGTATTTATTTGGTTTTGTGCATATGTTACATGATATCTTCGTCAATTCTAAACCGATTTTGAGCATTCTTTGTTACACACTTTGTACACAAATATAAATGCCTACTACACAAATATCGTCTATAAATAATTTATCTCCATATATGGCATTTATCTATATACATAACACATACATATCTATATACATATCTATACATACATATAATAAAATTGTAACTGAGTCGAATCTGTACATTACTTAAATATTTTTTGGAAAATCTAATTGAAATAGACATTATTATCGGTACAGAGTCCGAATTTATAGTTTTTAGATTTTTTGTCTGTTTGTCTGTCTGTTACCGCATCACGAGAAAACCACTGGACAGATTTTGATGAAATTTGGTATTATGATAGCTGGTTAACGGCGGGTCAACATATAGGATACTTTTTACCGCGTAAAATATCTCAGTTCTGAGAAAAAATACAAAAACTGAATGGTAAGAGAATACTTTAATATGTAAAACCTAATAATTTGGTTTTTCGTCATCTGAACACGGGCGGAGCCGCGGGCAAAGCTAGTATGGAGATAAATTTATAGACGAAAAATATTTACAAAGTGCACGTATAGTGAAGACGGTGTACATTTTTAGACATACACTTATCCTATATTTATGTAAGACAAGAAGGTAAAGTGAAACAGGAAGGAAATCAAAATCGTAATATTGATCAACCACGTGTAATATTTTCTGCGCCAAATGCGTCGCGATCTAGTCACGCGCCAGTCATGAATGAAGTGAAATTATTCGATATATTTACTAGAATCTGATAATCTGATTAACTTAATTTATAATAATAATAAATATGTTGGAACATTAACACATAACACCATCTAGTTCCATGGTAAGCTACGAGGCCTGTTTTATGGATACCAGATAGTTGATACACAACACATATATAACTTTAAATACATATCTACATATTATAAATATAAACACCCATGATTGGAGTACAAACATTCGTGCTCATCACACAAATGAATGTCCCCAGCGGGACTCGAACCCACGATCGCTGGCATAGTAAGTACTACAAACTGAGCCAAACGTGTCGTCAAATTTTAATAACAAATATATAAATTAAAATTAAATTTTAATAAATTTGTATAACGAAATGAAAATTTACTTTAATTAGGTAATTAAACTTGTACTAGCCATTTTGAATCGTAACTTTCATTTAAAGACAGTCTGTGTAGGACTGGCAATTTTTTTAACAGAAAAACTTACATCTAAATAAAATCCTTTCAAATAATCTTTTAGAACGTCTTATACGCAAGATTTTATATTTTTAATAATCAAAAAATATCTGAAGAATCGATTTTTTATAATTTTCTATCTAGAAAATTAGCCATATAAAACTGACAGGCATGTGTATACAAAAATATATTAATTAATGATTTAGAACTTTCAATTGTTCACAGATTAGAATTAAAAGAAGAAATTAATAACCAAAGTACTTTACAAGAAACAAGCACAAAATGGGGCGATCTCTCCCATGATACCGACGTCAATTACCTACCAAACGTCCCCCGGCCGACCAGAGATGAAGCCAATGACATAGAAGTGTTCATAAACAATAAATATGTACCCCTAAACGATTTGCGAACCGTGGAAATCGATAAAACCTATGAAGGCAATAATATCGAAAATATCGATAGTGAATTGTTAAACGATAGACGAAAAAGAGAGATTGTCAAAAGCAAAAACGATGTAGTAGAAGTTAAATTAGATTATTTGTTTCAAAATGAAAACGCTAGTGATGGGATTACGGCTGATCGTCAAATTGGAGATTGGTCTGTGGTCAGAAGTGATGGGGTGTTGATAGATATAGATGGTCTGAGGGTCGAGGATTCTGCTAAGGAGCCGAAAATCATAGAAGATGGAATACCAAGTGTGTTGTCAGATACTAAAGTTATATTAAGGTAAGTAATTAGTTTTTTATCAATTATTTATTACATATTTATTTATTTATCTATTTATTTATTTTATTTTTCATTTATTTATTTATTCATTCATTCATTTATTTATTATCTTACCAACAAAAGTTACAATGGTTAACATATATAATCTTGGCACTATACTTAACATGTTAATTGGACTTTTAATTACAGGTAAATACAGCATGATATATTATTGTTTTATAAGACTCGATATGAAAGTGTTACCTATACTAATAAATGGAGAGTTGATTTTTTTGTTCGGTTATACTGCGATAACTACTGAACCGATTGGAATAATACTCATACCATAAGATGCAGCGTGTTTCGGAGAAGGTTTTAGTATATGATATGTTGGTGATTAATGTACTATGCGGACGGAGATATAATACCTATATGTATTTACTAGCATCTGATAATCTGATTAACTTAATTTATAATAATAATAAATATGTCGAGTCATTAACACACAGTACCATCTAGTTCCATGGTATGTTACGAGATCTGTGTTATGGATATCAGATAGTTGATACACTACACATATATAACTTTAAACATATACATATTATGAATAAATATAAACACCTATGACTGGAGTACAAACATTTGTGCTCATCACACAAATGAATGCTCCCAGCGGGACTCGAACCCGCGACCACTGGCACAGCAAATAGGATCGCTACAAACTGAGCCAAACGTCTCGTCAAAAGATAGCTAAGTCTTCAAAGCAGCATTATAACAACTATTTACGTCCATAGAGTCTTCGGTCAGGGCTTAAGTGAGAGAACAGTCATCGCGTTCACGCACGACCTGCTGCCGTATGGGCAACCGTGCAAGTTTCTGCTTAAAGGAGAATATATGGTGAGTACACTAGTTAAAACAGAGTAGAGTGAGAAGGAAAGGGAGACTGAGAAGAGCGAGTAGGAGTAGCTGAAGCTGATGGCTTATATGGGAATATTATTTCACATTAGACGAAGTACCTTCGCTGTGTCTCAAATTAGCCTATTTGTTACTCCAGATCACAATCTATTTGTATGCTAAATTTCATACAAATCCGTCCAGCGGTTTCAGCGTGATACAATAACATACATACATACATATGTACATACATACATACATACTTTTGCATATAATAGTAGTATAATAAGTAATGCAAGTAAAGCCAAAGGCAAGTTCTATATTTCGAATTGTGTTTTGTGTAACAAATCGATACTTAGTCGCGACTAAATACGCCATAATTCTTCATTCAATCGTTTTTGTCGCTCTGATATCAATGTTGAAAAAAAAACCTTATTATTGGATATACTCGTAAGTATCGTCTTTATACGCGCTGCCACGCGAGTATACATTGAAAATGTGATGATAACTCTATTTCTGTGTGTCACGTTTTCACGTTTAATCAGCTAAACTGATTTTGATAGAATTTGGCAATAATATAGATTGCATAACGGTGACAAAGGATTCCTTTCATCTCCGTCCCGCTTACGAAGCGAGCGGAGACACAGGCAAAAACTATAAATAAAAGCGTAATACTACTCACTGACTTACTAACTGATTAATGATGAAATCTCAAAAATCACTGTAGCTTTGGATTATATATTACTATATCTTTGAAATATATAACAAAAAGAAATTATCCCACGGGAATTGTACATTTTCCGGGATAAAAAGTAGCCTACGTGCTATTCCAGACTATAATCTAACTCCGTGCCAAATTTCATCTAGATCCGTTCAGCCGTTCTGCCGTGATTGAGTAACAAACATCTATACAAACACCTAAACTTTCACATTTATAAAATTAAGTAAGAAGTAAAATGGGTTACTCCAATGTATAAGCTATATTATTGTAAAGATTCATCAAAATCCGTTCAGTAGTTTTTGCGTTAATCAGTAACAAACATATGTACATCCATATAATATTAGTAGAATAGGATTTACGTTTGAGGAAAGAAAGAGGTGATTGAACTCTGTATGTGATTTTTTTTGTGGAAAGTACAGAACTCGAACCTGTAATCATCGGAAACCAATAGGTCACGTGGTTATCTGAAATCTAGGCTGATATAAAAAATTGCAGATTATAATGTTTTAGACCATGGTATATTTAATATACAATTTATTGAAAAAAAAAGCGCCTGACGTAATAGCTTCGGACTCTTAGAGGAAGTGGTTTTGAGTCCCTCAAAGTTAAATATAAATATGGACTGTAAAGTATATGTTTGCTTGTTTTCTTTACGTACAGACCCACTAAACCGAATGAGAAACGTTTCAGTGAGACATTTCTATAGTAATAGCGTAAAAAGTCTCAGAAAATCGGTTATGTAGTAATCTTTGTTGTTTGCTGCCTTAGAGAATTCCAAGTAATACGAAAATACATATATTTTTCGTTAAAGAACGTGGATGAAAATAATCACATTACAAAAGTTACATAATACATTCTTTCATCGGGAAAACGTAAAAGACGCGTTTACTAACAATGACCTAAATAGCATCTCGTACTAAAGTTTTCAAACTCACTCGTAACTCATTTTCAGGCGAAAGAAGGTTCCGTCACAGCGAAATCCGCGTTATTCGAAATAACAGCTCCGTCACCTCTGTTAGCGTCAAAACTTTACATATGCGCGAAAAATTTACAACCCGGTATCAATGACCCATTCAAAGATCAAGAAAAGTATTTACATCAAGGCACAGAACACTGGAAAATTTTAGCTACACACAATAAATTGTTGCCTCTATGGGTGTCGTTGACGCTTATACTACTTTGTTTGATGTTCTCCGCACTTTTTTCGGGATTGAACCTAGGACTCATGTCACTAGATCGGACTGAGTTAAAGATCATATCCAACACTGGCACAGAGCAAGAAAGAAAGTACGCGAGAGCGATCATGCCAGTTCGAGATCATGGAAATTACTTACTATGCAGCATTTTGCTAGGCAACGTGGCTGTTAATTCAACGTTTACTATACTATTGGATGAACTAACGTCTGGTTTATTTGCGGTGATATTTTCTACACTCGCTATCGTTTTACTCGGTGAGATAACGCCTCAAGCGATATGTTCGAGACACGGACTGATGGTAGGGGCCAAAAGTATTATGATCACAAAGGTGAGTGGGTCAAAGTCGTTTGATTTTTCTTTTTTTTTTCAGCCATTCTTTAATAAATGAATGTTTCATAATATTGTTGTTTTTGCTTCTTTGAAAAAAAATGTTTGTACTGGGTTTGCTCAGAGGTTGCGGGTTCGAATCCCGTGGAGTAAATATTCTAATATCTGTCTCTGGTCAATTAGAATAAATATTAAATTAAACAATACACTGTGACCTAGAAAATAGTGAAACTATAAAGAGAACTTATATATATTTTAACCGACTTTAAAAATTGAGTGAATTTAAAGTTGATGTTTATGCTTCGTTATTTCAAACTGTGTGTTTTTTTACACTTTTATTTTTTTAATAAATAAGTTATATTTCAAGGATAAACTCATATAATATTAAAAGAAACCACTATCAAGATGGTAAATATTTATTTTTAAATCGTTTATAAAATCATTTTACTGTGTACATTTTATTTAAAAAAATTGTTAATTTTAAATTATCTTTAAGCTTTTAAATGTTTTGTTCTAAATAATTCAACTTCTATTCTATCTATCTATAATCTAAATCTAACACCGAAATTCGAACCTACGCTACTTTTTCTTTCAGGCGGTCATGGCACTAACAGCACCACTAGCTTTTCCAGTCAGCAAGCTCCTAGACTACTTCTTAGGGGAAGAGATAGGCAGTGTTTACAACAGGGAGAGACTAAAGGAGTTGGTAAAGGTAGGTGAAATCCATCATGGGGCTGTTATTGGCCAAAAGTTATTTCTTAAAAACAGAATTAAAATTAGTGTATAGGTCTAGATAAAAGGGTACCTTAGAAAAGGTTTGCTGTCTTTTAAAATCAAATATCAGTATTGATTGTACAAGTATTTGTTGCGATATATGTATGTATGTATGTTTTACCTGTATATGGGGTATATACATACAGAAAGAGAAAGGTGGGGCAGTAGAAAGTGTAATAAATATATTTTCTTTCAGTTTCTAAACTAACTATTATTAAATTTAAATACGAAACTCATCATGGGGCAGTCAATGGGGACTGAAACTCTTCAATGTTATTCACATACATTTTTTATTATTTTTTTCACCATGGATTACTGCCCCAAATTGTCATTCATGTCATCGTATCGGACAAATGATATATACTTATCGAAATATATAAAACGCATAGTGAAACCCTTTAAGTGCCCTGCGGAAGTATAAAGCTGTACGGTGAGCAATCGGGGCAGTATCGTGGGGGGCGCCAACCCCCCACCCCCCACCCCCTACCCCTTTCCCCCAATAGAAATTTCTAGATCTTTATTTTTTCACAATGTTATTAAATACCTCTTTTCTTTAATTGCCCCGGGACTACAACGTTTTTGAATGCGACATTCGCTAATAGGTTTGTATTGATCATACAAACAGTGTATTATGTATAAATGCACTGACTGATCCATTCATATATTGTCACATAGTTTCGTCCATTTTCATTCCTTTTCTTCGTCGAGCTAACAATAAGTCTCGTTTTCTGGAGCACTCTTAAAAGTAGTATAACACTATAGGTAGAAAAATCGCCTTATGCGACTAGCGTTCGTGCGCGACTCAGCTCGCGTAGTTTATTTATGTATAAGAATCTCAACTTGTTAGGTAGCCTATAATAATCTTTCTCAATAAATAGGCATTGAAATGCAAAAATAATTTTTCAAGTCTGACTGGTAGTTCCAAAGATTAGCGCGTTCAAACAAACAAACAAATTCTTTTGTTTTATAATGCTATTTTGTTAAAAATAAGTAATCGGGGGTTTTCATTTAGAATAGATAGATACCTAATCAGATATTTTTGAAGTCGGTGACAGCTGACAATATTTTAAGATATGAATATCTAATAGCTAAATATGTATTTTACGTATCGAAATATATTAGATTTGCTTTGCATCGGCTGGCACCGACTTCGAAAATATCTGATTAGGTATGTATAGTAAATGTAAACCCCCGTTTAGTTATTTTTTACTTTTTAGTGCCTGGAAGTCGGTTTTAATTTTTTTTTAAGTTTTTTATATATTTTTTACGCAGTTCTTTTCTTTGTGCATGTGTGTGTGTATGTTTGTTATTCATTTACGTTGAAATAGCTAAACGGATTTGGATGAAATTTAGCGCATTTGTTGACTTTTACCTAGAGTAACCTATAGCGGGAATCGAATCTACAACTTATTAATTAGAAAATATGACGGCACCACGCCAAGCGATGCGCGGCCCGCTAACGTACATTTTTGGCAAAGACAGCACTTGTGTGTTATAATGTCTTTTTTATTAATGCGTTTAGAGAGAAAAATATTCACAGGTGCACAAAGTAGAAGAAATTTATATACAATGTGTGTGTACACTATTATGATTTAATTTGCGACTTACTCGAGTGCCTTATGTTATCTTTACATAATTCGTTGGCTCACTATTACAAGGTTCTATGTTAATGTTAATGAAGTTTAGTAATTTTTACATAGAACTTCGTTATTTTGTTATCGTAAAAAACAACAACATAGAACTATGTAAAATTGAATATTTTGTTGTTAAACTGCCGCTATCTAGTGGTTTGTTTTTGCAAAACTATAGCTAATGACACATAGAACCTTGTAGCATTAATAACTAAATAAGTACTAAAATTGTAACATAGAACCTTGTAATAGTGAGCCAACGAATTTATTAATAAAACAGTACCTAACTTAGCGAAATATGTACATGAAATATTTTTTAAAACAATGACTGTTACATACATTACGGTATAATACATACAGAATATAGTCCCAAAAACAATGAATTTTGAATTTTTTGGTCTGTTTTGTGAGTAAAAATAAGGAACACTTTATTGCACACCACACAAGAAATAAATAAAGAAGTGAAATATATAACAAAAAAATGCACAACAGGCGGCCTTATCGCTCGCTAGGAGCGCTCTCTTCCAGGCAACCTTAGGGTAGAGGAATCAGTATATAGGTTGTCCTTCACCGTAAGACATGTGGTAATCATGTTGGAAATGATTCTCACATGAGAATATCAGAGGTGCGAGAGGTAAGGCTGTGGTACTCCAGTTGTAACGCGATTGAAGCGGGTTCAAATTAATGAGTAATAAAATAAAACAACTGGTTTTTTTTTTTTAATTTATAATACACCAGTATTGGCCGCGGCTCCGCCCGCGTTCAGATGATCAAAAACCATATTATTAGCTTTTACATGTTAGTATACTTTTATACTGCAGTTTTTGTATTTTTTCTCAAAAATGACATATTTTTCCGCGGTAAAAAGTACCCTATATGTTGAACCCGGATAACCAGCTATCACCATACCCGCTACAGTGGTTTTTCTGTGATGCCGTAACAGACAGACAGACAAAAATTCTAAAAACTATAGATTTATTATATGTATAGATTAATAAAGTTATGCGATAATCTCTGGAACTAATAAACGAAAACTTATTTTTTCATTACGTAGCCTATTTATTTAGGAAGTTTATTTAATATCACGCTACAATCCATCAAGGTTATATATATATACATATACATATACATAAATAAAATACGCATATTCAGCCGCGTGCGAAAGCTAATTACCCAACAATACATCAGATTATGTTCATCCAGGTAACGACAGGTGTGAACGATTTGGATAAAGACGAAGTTAACATCATATCTGGAGCCCTAGAGATGCGCAAGAAGACGGTGTCAGATGTCATGACCAAACTGGAAGACGTCTTCATGTTGCCCATCACTTCTGTTCTGGACTTTGAGACGATGTCGGAAATTGTTAAATCTGGTAAGTCCGTACTTTTTCTATTATAATTTTTATTAATATTATAAATGTGAAGAGTGTTTGTTTGTTTGTTTGTTTGTTTGTTTGTTTGTTCTTTTTTCATGTCAGAATATGGTGACGGATCGGCGTGATTTTTTGTATGGAGATAGTTGGAGGCCCGAAGAGTAACATAAGGTTATCTCATTCTCGCAGGAAAATACGTCACAACAACTCATCATACCTATGTATATATCTATATTAATATTATAAAGGGGCAGTTTGTTTGAACGCGGTAATCAGAAACTACTAACCCGATTTTAAAAAGGTGGAGTAGGAATATATATACGTAAATAATTGAATGTTTGTTTGTATCATCTATTCATATATACCAGTTTTGTCATATAAGAAATTAGTGCAAAATTTATTATTACTAGAGCTAGCTATTATTAATACTTTGCGCATTTTAAATATTGAAAGAGTTTTCTCTCAGAAATGACTTTTCTTTTTCTACTTTATTCACAAATATCATATAAATATCATTGTTTGCTTATTTTTATAAAATGTCCAGTAAATGCTTGAAAATCGCTCTTTCTGTTGGTGAAAATCGTATGATAATAGTTTGAGAGATGAGTTCGAACGAAAACGAACTCAGTCTGTGTGGTATGTTTAATTTATAATATGTAATACTAGCAGAACCCGCGGCTTCGCTCGCGTTAAAACAACAAAAATAAAACTAAAATGGTAGGTTTCATACAAACTTTCATCCGCTATTTTACCCCCATATGGGATGAATTTCGAAAAATGCTAAAACACGTATTTAAGTAATTGTATTGAAGAGCATTTATACAAAGTTTCAAGTAATTCTGATCATAAATATTTTTTTGGATTGTATTATAACGTGTTTTCCCGTGGGAAATAGATAATCTCCCGCGGTAAAAAGTAGCCTATGTCACTCTCCAACCCTCCAACTATCTCCGCACAAAAAAATTACGCCTATCCGTCACTCCGTTTCGACGGGAAAGAAGGATAAACAAACAAACAAACGCACTTTCACATTTATAATATTAGTATGGATTTTCCCGGAAAAAGATCTCTTAAGGAAAAACTAACATCTTATTACGATAATTTTATTTATAATTGCTTCGTGTTTCACCTTATAAGTTAATAGTAATGCAGAGGATAATCTATACATATGTATAATAAAATTGTAACTAAGCCGAATCTGTACATGAATTTTTTTTGGAAAATCTTATTAAAATAGACGTTATTTTCGATACAGAGGCTGAACCTATAGTTTTTAGAATTTTTGTCTGTCTGTCTGTTACCGCATCACGGAAAAACCACTGGAGGGATTTTCATGAAATTTGATATGGTGGTAGCTGGTTATCCAGGTCAACATATAGGATACTTTTTACCGCGGGAATATGTCTCATTTCTGAGAAAAAATACAAAAACTGCAATGTAAGAGTATGCTAATATGTAAAACCTAAGAATTTGGTTTTTGGTCATCTGAACGTGGGCGGAGCCGCGGGCAATGCTAGTAATAATATAATAATAAAACCCTTTATTAACAATCTTATATGTTACATTTCATCTTATAACTATATATGTACCTACTATTAATATTAAACGTGGTTGTTTAAGAAAACAACGTAATCCCTCAACAACCGCGGGCACACCGGTGTTACAGTTAAAAATTAATTTCTTAGAAATTTAATTTATTTCTTAGAAATTTACTTGGAGGAGTGTTATTATTTATATGAGACACCGGTTTCGTAATTGTCTTGCTCTTTGGCATATGCCTCCCCAAGTGTTCTCAACAACGATCTATCCCTTGCTATCCTCATCCAGCGTGGTCCTCATGATGCAGAGGATATGAATATACAAATATTATACTATATACTTACCCTCGTCTTGTTCGGGCGCGTCCCGTAAACGGATTTGTTCACAATTCCATTGGTTATATTTTTTTGCGCGAGTTATGTAACCCAACACGTGGGCGATTTAGATATCCTTCTCGGAAGAATCTCGTACTCTAAAAAACAATCGAATTTATCGTCCCTTTAGAGATGCTTCTCAAAAGGATCTATTATATATAAACAATGCACATGTAAGACGATGAAGTCCTCACAAATAGCTAGCAATTAAGCATAAATAGTTTAAGGGCCGAATGGTCCTTTTTTGGGCTAATAAACCACACACACTCACGCATTCATCATCACTACATAGTATAAAACAAAGTCGCTTCCCGCTGTCTGTCCGTCCCTATGTATGCTTACATCTTTAAAACTACGCAACAGATTGCGGATACGGTTTTTTTAATAGATAGAGTGATTCAAGAGGAAGGTTTATATGTATAATACATGAATTTATAGTACAGAAACGCCGAGAAATTCAAAGATTTGTATTTCATACTAAACGTTAAAACGTATCATATAAAACTGTAGAAAATAAGAAAAAAAAAGTTTTAACTATTTATTCGACGAGAAACTTTTTATTATAACACACAGTCCCGATAACTTCACTCGCGGAACCCTGGTTTTTTTCTAAAATAAAAGTAGATACGCCAACCCGCACTGGCCAGCGTGGTGGACTATGGCCTGATTCCCCTCCGTATTGAAAGCTTAGTGAAAGGAGGTCCGTGCCCAGCAGTAGGACGTTAAAAAGGGCTGAATACAAAAGTAGATAAGCTTAAGTTACTCCTTATAACATCAGCTGTCTCCCAGTGAAAGTCCTGTCAAAATCGGTCCAGCCGATTCGGAGATTAGCCGGAAAAAACAGACCGACAGACAAAAAAAAAATGATTTTTTTCTTATAAGTACCGTATATACTTTCATATGTATTTAGTAGAAAGCTGTTATTTTGACATTACAAACAGACACTTCAATTTTATTTATATGTATAGATGTATGTATACCCTCTTCATCTATAGAGAGACTGATGTACGTATGTTTTCTACTCTGACGCAATAACTACTAAACGTACTTTTATGTCACTTTACAGTAAGTTGGATTATACATCAAAGTAATATATTTTAGGCTAGAAATGTAGTAACATAGTAATGCATAAAAGAACGAGTAATTCTTTTTATGGACAATGTATACGCTTGTACAACAGGATCCCAGAAAATGTTCAAAAGGCTTCTATCGCCAAATTCAAAAAAAATCTTAAACAACGTTTGTGTGCTAAAGGCTATTATACAATAAATGATTTTATAGAAGAAGGCACACCTTGGGCATAAAATGATCGCCTCCAGGCTACTTCAACTTGATAGAAATATTGTAAATTATAATTTTACTTTAAAAAAAGATAACAAGTCAATATTAGTCCCGCTGAGTTTCTTTCGCCAGTTCTTCTCAGGTCTGAGGCTTCTACTTTCCGAACTGGTAGTAGACTTATGACGTTCAGTAAAGAATTGTAATAATTGAATGCTGAATAAAATATTTTGATTTGATTTGAACGACGCGGGTGGAACCGCGGGAAAACAATGGACACACAAAACACTTTACAACAGAGACAGTGCACAATGAGCGATTAAATAATAATACCTAGCTTAAAACAAAAAAATATTCTTTGAACAAACTAATTTGGCAGCCTCATGTTTAATGAGATGAGAAAAAAAATCATGAATAATTTTAGGGATGTCAAATTGTAAACAAACAAAATACATAATATTATGTATTATGTATATTTCGAGATACGATGACACGTTTGGCTCAGTTTGTATTGACCCTACTTGCTGTGTTAGCGGTCGCGGGTTCGTGTCCCGCCAGCGGCACTCATTTGTGTGATAAGTGTGATAAGTGGGTGTTTATATTTATAATATGTATGTATTTAAAGTTATATATGTGTAGTGTGTCAACTATCCGATATCCATAACAAGGCCTCGTAGCTTACCATGGAACTAGATGGTGTTGTGTATTAATGTCCAAACATATTTATTTATTTATCTCTTATGAGTATAACTGGTACGAAAATAGTTTACGTTTCTCCCTTTGGCACATCACCAACAACGTGGTTACAAAAAGTTCTGTGATTTGAAAATTTTGAATGACATATTTTTTTTATTTCTAATATCATAAATATATAATACTAGCGGTTCACCCTTGCTTCGCTCGGGTTCGCCTCTAGGAAGACAAAAACAAACCTATCCCATGGTAAACGTACATTTTTCCCGGATAAAAAGTAGCTTATGTGTTATTCCAGACTTATAATCTATCTCTGTGCCAAATTTCATCCAGATCTGTTCAGCCGTTCTGGCGTGAAAGAGTAACAAAAATACATCCATACTCACAAACTTTTACATCTATACATATAATAAAAATGTAACTAAGCCTGTACATTAAATATTTTTTTGGAAAATCTTATTGAAATAGACATTATTATCGATACAGAGATCGAATCTATAGTTTTTATAATTTTTGTCTATCTGTCTGTCTGTTACCGCATCACGGAAAAACCACTGGAGGGATTTTGATGAAATTTGGTATGGTGATAGCTGATTTCCGAATGGCTGATTCCGGCTACGGCGGCCAATCTCATTGAGACTAGCTAAATGCGCAGGAGATATTATAGTGCACAAGTGTACGCGCAGACAAAGGTGCACTCTCTATTCCTGTCACTCTCATACTCCGGTGGGACGACTGCTCGACACGACCAGTGAGAGTTAAGGCTCAGGACCGACGGCTTTACGTGCTCTCCGAGGGTGAAACACCGCCAACTTCCCAACTCCGGGCTGTTACTGAGACTACTAACTAAACTTGGCCCGACACGGGACTTGAACCCAGGACCTCCGAGTGTGCAGCCGTACATGCTAGCCACTACACCACCGAGGCAGTTAAGTCAGTCAGGCAGTAGTTGTCTAAGGATATTTGGGATATATGTATGTACGTGTAAATCGCGATATGTGAAACGTAAACAACTACTTTTTTTTTAAAGAAATCCTTCAAAAAGTATTCTATCCTATTATAAAAAAAAATATGCGGACGGATGTTCGTACATTTGCTTTATACGATATCACGAAAGATAAATTAGAAAGCAAAAACCGATAAATCGCACAGCCAATGTGTACAAGGGTTAGTTAAAGTACATGCTTAGAACTGGGGAACGATATTTTATCATGAAATTCTCAATACAATTGTTCAAAAAATCAAAGTGGAATACTTCAGAAAAATAAAATATATTCGATATTATTTTTGCTGATCTCAGAGTGCTTAAGTGTCATTCTAACCTTCCACTCTTATTAGGTCTAATTAGCACAAAATGTTAGGCAACGACTCTCTAAATTTTCAAGAGCGTTATTTTCATATTTGTATCGTCTTCGATTTAAACTAATGATCTTCATTAAATGTAAGGTTTTGGCTGCTATTTTCCTTTAGTTTGAGAAACTGGGTATTGTGTAGAGAACTTCTGTTTGGATTTATGTTTAAACATAATAATGTGATGGGAAATAAGTTTTTATGGTGATTTTTTTTTTGGGAAAAATTTAGATTTATACATAAAAACTGGCGACTCAGCCTTACTCCGCTCGGATTCGTCGCTGGAAACGTTTTAACTCAACAACAGTTATTTTCTTGTGATGCAATCTCAGACAGACAGACGGACAAAAATTCTAAAAACTATAGATTTGGCCTCGGTATCGATTATAATGACTATTTCAATAAGATTTTTCAAAAAATATTTAATGTAAGTACAGATTCGACTCAGTTAGAATTTAAATATTTGTATAGATTTTGAAAGGACAAATTTGGGATGAAGATGTATCCCAAATAGCTTAGTCAGATTGGTTTTTTGTTTAAGTAAAAATGAGTTACTCATTGTCTTCAAGGTATCTTCCTATTGTAGCCTCCATAATAATACCCAAATATCGCACATAAGTCGTTAAAAACTCCAGTTCATGATATTTCATAGCATCTTAGTTAACTAAACGAGTCATTCCCATAAGTGATGGCGTTCCAAAATTATCAGTCCTATTGGAACCCTTCCAACGCTGTGCCGTAAACAATTTCTATACATAGCATTTGGTTATGAAATATTGGACAGTCTTGTTATTCGCCAGACAAGTTGTAATGTTTTCGTCTGAACGTATCAGTTTTAATGACAAATTAGGTCAAGTGCGAGTTGCAATCGTGTGGAAGAGGGTTCCGTAAATTACTGGATTTAAAAAAGACTTCCGAGTTTAAGAGATGAACTCACAGTCTCTAATCTATAAAATCATATGACAGATACCCAAAAATGAACACATCAGACATTTAGATTTAATTAACACAGCTGTGATAACTTCGGTTTAACGATTTCTTCAAAATTTTAAATTTTGCCAATTCAATAAGCCCAGTCTTTTTAACATCATTTTTTCGATGTTTATATTGATGAAATAAACATTATTTATATTTTAAATCTGACTATAACGATTGTCTCAGGACTCGGCGTATGTAACTTATTTTCTTTTAAACCGATTTCAAAAAAGGAGGAGGTTCTTAATTCGAATGTTTATTTATTTTATTTACTGTATGTTCGGACGTAACTCCGTTATATATGACATTTAAATTTGAAAAAAAATTCCACCCTTATCTGTAGAAAATGGGGATGATTGAATTTTTACCTACTGAATTTTTAAAATATTGAAAATGGAAAAATAAATAAAAAAAAACGGACTTACAAAAACACAAAAAAGTAAAAAATGACTGATTGGTAGTTTTCACTTACTGTAAGTATTAGATACCTATCAGATATTTTCTAAAATATCTCATTAGGTATCATTAGTAGATGAAAACTATCAATCAGTTATTTTTTACTTTCTAACGTTTTTTCAGTGGTTTTTTTTTTTAATTTTTTTAAGGCAAAGTTTGCCACATGGTACCTTAAGTTGTATTCAAAAAATAGTTTCCTTAGTTCTCATAACTACTCATAGCTCAAAATATCTATTTAACTTTCCTCTATCCTGTAATAGTTTCTTAGATTTACACTAATATTAGACTTTTTTTGTCATAATTCTGATTCATTTTGACTTTTGTTTGCCGACGTTTCGTATGCTTTACAGCAATTCTAAAAGATTTTATTTAAAATATCCTCTATCCATTTGTATCAGTTTCATCTTGTGCCTCAACTTTGCGAAAAAAAAATGGCGACGGATTCTGTTGGCTACATATGGTTAAGGCCATTATAATAAAATATGCAAAAACTCCTATTGGTTCAAAACCTAAAAATGAATGTCTGATAGGTTACTCCCGTATCCCGGTGTACGAGGGTTGCCGCACCAACATAGTGACGGTGCTCTTCATCAAGGACCTGGCCTTCGTGGATCCGGACGACAACACGCCGCTGCGCACTCTCTGCCAGTACTACCAGAACCCCTGCAACTTTGTGTTTGAAGATGTCACTTTGGACGTCATGTTCAGGCAGTTTAAGGAAGGTAAGCATAATATTAGGGATATTTATTTATTTAAGTTACATTTAAAAATACAATATTTTTGACATTAACAATTAATTCAACAGTGTCTAAATGTTCACAATGAAAATAGTCCATCTGCATTAATCAGAAGACCCAGTCAGCCCTATCTTTACTCGAAAGCTTAATTAATCCCCTGAAAGTCTGAGATTATTTGAAATATTTATCATTATTTTAATTATTTTGACTTTTATTAAATCAAATAGGGTCTCATTTTAATGGGATCGTAAGATAAATAATTACAAAGATGTTGAAATCGATTTAGCCACTTGCTAAGTGTTTAATCAGGGACAAAAAACTTCATAAACAGTATTGTAAGGCAATATTCAAATAAAACTGATTATTTTTTTTTATTTAAAAAAAAAATTTCAATGATTTCATTACCAGTAAAAAGTATTTCACGCTTATTGTTAAAATTTTATTTATTAACAAGAGAATTGAATGGTTTGGGATTTTTGGAGACTTACTTTGTATTTCCAACCCTATATGTATATGTACATGCATCGATCAAAAAAGTACTAGATACACAATCCCATGCAAAAGTTCTCTTAAAACTGTCAGCGTTTGTTGTGTTTAGGTAATTTAATTGATTCATGGTATCAATATAGATTCGTTTTTTTTTATTTCCAAACCTCTCCCAGGACACAAAGGTCACATGGCGTTCGTCCACCGCATCAACAACGAAGGTGAAGGTGACCCCTTCTACGAGACCATCGGCCTGGTGACCCTCGAGGACGTCATCGAAGAGATGATTCAGGCTGAGATTGTGGATGAAACTGATGTGTTTAGTGAGTTTTTTTGTAATAATTGTTTATCGACGACGCATGTGGCTCAATTTGTAGTAACCCTACTTGCTGTGCCAGCGGTTGTGGGTTCGAGTCCCGCTGGGGATATTCATTTGTGTGATGAGTATAAATGTTTGTGCTCCTGTCATGGGTGTTTATATTTATAATTTGTATGTATTTAAAGTTATATATGTGTAATGTATCAACTATCTGGTATCCATAACACAGGCCTCGTAGCTTACCATGGAACTAGATGGTGTTGTGTGTTAATGTCACAACATATTTATTTATTTACAATGTCTAAAGAGGCCTATGGTTTTTATATATTTGTAATCATTGACCATACTTACAATTATAATTGTAAATGTTTGTATGTATTTATATACGTTTGCTACTCTTTCACTCTGGAACGGTTGGACCAATTTTGATGAAATTTAGTATATAGATAGGTTACATACTGGTATAACACATAGATAACAAACTTAATAATATTATTGACTAGCGACTCACCCTCGCTGCGCTCGGGTTTGCCCCTAGGTACGTTTGACTGTTTTTGAGCGGAACCCTAATTCTTTTTCTAAAATAAGTAGCCTATGTTACTCCCTATAACATCAGCCATCTTCCAGTAAAAGTTCCGTCAAAATCAGTTCAGCCGTTTCAGAGATTATCTAGAACAAACAGACAGAAAGAAAGATTTTTTTTAATTGTGTTTTTCTTATGTGCCGTATATATTTCATATGCATTTAGTAAAACGCTGTTATTTTGACATTACAAACATACACTTCAATTTTATTTATCTGTATAGATAATGTAAATAAATAAAATTTAATTTCCAGTGGACAATCGTTCCAAACGTAAACGAAATCGACCTCAAAACAAGCTGCAAGATTTCGCCGCATTCGCAGAGAGGCACGAGAACCAGCGCATACACATCTCACCACAACTAACTCTGGCCACCTTCCAGTTCCTCAGCACTAGTGAGTTTTGGTATAAATTAGTCTTTGTGTGTGGCTTTGGTTGGTTTTTTTTTCTAATTTAATCAACAAATATCTCACCAAAGAGTGGCGTCGGCATATGACGTTAAGTCAAACCAAGAAATAATGTTTTGTAGTATACTATAACACAACTATTTGTTTGTAACTTACACTATGACACTATCTTTACATAGGCACCTAGGGTTCATAGTAAAGTATATTTTTATATTATTATGACTAGCGACTTTTAATTTTTTTGAGCGGAACTCTAATTCTTTTACTGAAATAAAAGTAGCCTAAGTTACTCCTTATAACATTAACTACTTGCCAGTGAAAGTCCTGTCAAAATCGGCCCAGCCGTTTTGGAGATTATCGGGGACAAACGACTGACAGAAAAAAAAAATTGTGTTTTTCTTATAAATACCGTATATAATTCCATAATATGTATTTAGTAAAAAGCTATTATTTTAATATAACAAACAGACAGTTCAATTTTATTTATCTGTATAGATTTTTTTGTATTCTCATCCCCCAGGTGTGGACTCCTTCAAACCGGACACGGTATCGGAGACGGTGCTCCGTCGTCTTCTAAAGCAGGATGTCATACATTATATCAAAATGAAAGGGAAAACTAAGAGAGAGCTCAGTACATATGTGTATCAGCAGGGGAAAGCCGTATGTATATATTTGTATTAATTAAATACTCTTAACTATGGTTTTAGAGTTTAAGAAAATAGGTTTTTGTTTATATTTTGTGAGACTCGAATCGAGTGAGCCCAAACTCGAAGGTGTTACTAGCCATTGAAGAGTTCCACTGTCCAGCTGCTGACCATCATCAGATCAGCTCGAAAGTAGTGGCAGAATCATATTCAGCCATATCAGAATCATATTTTAACGTCCCACTGCTGGGCTACAATGCGAGAGGGATCAGGCCATAGTCCACCGCGCTGGCAAAGTGCGTGGGCTTGACATGTCTTTCGGAAACTTGGTAAGCTCTCTTCAGACATGCAGGTTACCTCACGATGTTTTCCTTCACCGTAAGACAAGTGGTAATCATGTTGGAAATGATTCGGACATGAATATATCAAGAGGTGGGAAACCTGGGATTTGAACCCGCGTCACTTGATTTCCAAACTAGCTTGTTATTAGGCTAGCATTGTCTAAAGTATAGTAGATATTCTAATATATTTTCCATCTGCCTCGGTGGTCTAGTGGCTAGCATGTATGGCTGCAGATTCGGAGCCTGGGTTCGAGTCCCGGCACAGGCCAAGTTTAGTCATTAAGTCTGTTAAGAAAGTGGGAAGTTAGTGGTTCATTCCAATACTTTAAAGAGCTTGTGTCGCATCTGTGCTGTGACTGGTCTTTCACCGGTCATTTTAAAGTATCGTCCTGTGCACTGTGTGTCTGCACTACACTATATAATATCTCCTATAGTTGGCTATTCTCAGTGAGATTTGCCGCCGTGGCCGAAATCGGTTAGTAATACATCATTATACAATTGTAGTGACCCTACTTGCTGCGCCAGGGGTTGCGGGTTGGAGTCCCGCTGGGGGCATTTATTTGGGTGACGAGTACGAATGTTTGTACTCCAGTCATGGGTGTTTATATTTATAATTTGCATGTATTTAAAGTTAAATATGTGTAGTGTATCAACTATCTGGTATCCACAACACGAGCCTCATAGCTTACCATGGAACTAGATGGTGTTGTGTGTTAATGTCCCAACATATTTATTTATTATTAATATCCTGATATACATCGTTAAAATATCTTCCAGGTGGACTACTTCGTGCTGATCCTGGAGGGTCGTGTGGAGGTGACGGTGGGCAGGGAGAACCTGGTGTTCGAGGCTGGACCCTTCACCTACTTCGGTGTTCAAGCCCTCGCACAGAATGTTGGGGTCGGTGAGTGTTACGTGTTTAGGAGATATGGCAAAATGTATACTATGTTTTAAGACCATCGATCAAAAAAATACTAGATACACAATCAGCCTCTAATCCCTATGGTGAAGACAAAAAATGTCTTCACCATACTAATTTTGTTTTTTTTTTTTGTGAAAATAACTAAGCATTGCGTTTAAGGTTCAATTTACATTGTTGTATGTTTATTTCAATTAGAATAATTACGTAAAGACAAATTGGTGACAGGTTTAAGAGAACTTTTACATGGGATTGTGTATCTAGTGCTTTTTTGATCGATGGTTAAGACAGCTATACATATAATAAAATTGTAACCAAGCGGAATCTGTACATTGGATTTTTTTTTGGAAAATCTTATTTAAATAAACATTATTATCGATACAGAGGCCGAATCTATAGTTTTTAGAATTTTTGTCTGTTTTGTGTGTGATGCGGTAACAACCGCATCACAGAAAAACAGATGGACGGATTTTGATGAAATTTGGTATGATAACTGCTTATCCGGGTCAACATATAGGATACTTTTTACCACGGGAAAATGTCTTATTTATGAGAAAAAATACAAAAACTGCAATGTAAGAGTATACTACTAATATGTAAAACCTAAGAATTTGGTTTGTGGTCACTTGACCGCGGGCGGAGCCGCGGGCAATGCTAGTATAATTACAGACCTTTTGATTATAATGTAACATTTGTTCTATATTTCCCCCCAGCTGAGTCCCCCACCCCATCGGCCATGGGGTCGTTGCAGAACATAAGCATGGAGGCGATGCTGCGCCACACCTTCGTGCCGGACTACTCAGTGCGCGCCGTCACCGACGTGTACTACCTGGCTGTGAAGCGGTGGGTAGTGGGTTCGATAGTAATCGAATATATATATATGACCAGTATATAATATATATATATATATATATAACCAGTAGGTTAGGAGGGGGGGAATGGCGTTTTTTTTTTAATTATCAAAGTTTTTTAGTTAAATTATAAAAAGTTTGGATGTATGTCTATCTAATCGTTTTGAGTATGAGAACTAAATATGAATAATATAAAAATTACAATTATGTCTTGAAATTAGAGAATTCACTTTAGTTTGGAAATAATGATAAATAAACATATTAAATAAAATTTGTTTTTTCGCATTTTTGACTTTCGACATTGCGTTTACTTTACAGCAAATATGTATGGCCATTAGGCACACCATACGAAACGTCGGGAATCGAAAATTAAAATCAAACTGCGAAAACAAAAAAAAATGGTTTTATGTAAAATATCAAATATTCGCGTATATATAATAAAATCGTAAATAAATAACATTAAAATTTTTTTTTTTCTAATCATCGTATTCGATTTTTCCCCTTTTTAGGGTTCCGTACCTCGAAAGGCAAAAACCCTTAGATGATCACTTCGTTGTACGTCTGTCTATCCCTGGTCAATCCCTTAGAGCTGTTAAAAAAAATGAAACTTCTAAGTCAATGCAATCCAAAAGACACGGCCATTTGTATCACATACATATTTTACCACTCGCAAGGGAACTCGGAAGAGTATTAAAACCTGTAGGGTACTTCCCGTTGACCTAGAACCATAAAATAACCATAAAATATGTATATGAAACGTAAATGTTTGACGACACGTTTGGCTCAGTTTGTAGTGACCCTATATGCTGTGCCAGCGGTCGCGGGTTCGAATCCCGCTGGGGGCATTCATTTGTGTGTTGAGCACGAATGTTTGTACTTCAGTCATGGGTGTTTATATTTATAATATGTATGTATTTAAAGTTATATATGTGTAGTGTCTCAACTATCTGGTATCCATAACACAAGCCTCGTAGCTTTCCATGGAACTAGATGGTGCTGTGTGTTAATGTCCCAACATATTTGTTTATATGTTTTCAGGTCCCTATACCTAGCAGCTAAAAGGGCCACCCTCATGGAGAAAGGCGCTCTGTCCAAAGGCAATGTCACCAATGAGCAGTTTGACACTGAAGTTGATAAGGTAAGTTGTTGTTTTTTTTAATATAAAAATATAGGACCAGTTTTCAAGGGAATTACACAAATATTCTAATGCTTAAACGATATCATTAGTATGATAATGCATATCATTAGTATGATCAATTTAATTTTTCAGACATTTTTTTCCTTTATCAATATATGAGTACTCTGTTGTCTAATACATATACTATTATATCTAATAGAGTAATCTAATCTTGGCCATATTTATTAATAACTTTGTGCTCTAACTGTATATCAACAAAAATAAATAAATAAATTTTGCACTCAAGAATTTCTTTTGTGGTTATAAAAAATTTCAAAAATGTGTGTATAGATTTTATTCGCATATAATATCTAATATATAAATATCTCGTGTCACGGTGTTTGTGGTCGCACTTCTACGAAACGGCTCGACCGATTTTAAAGTTTATTTTTTTTGTATATTTGGTAGGTATGACAATAGGTCGTAAATTACCTTACCTTGAAGTTGAGAAAGGTTTCTTTGACTACCATAGATAATATTTATTTAAAGCACGGAAGTTTTGCAAAAAAATACGACTGACCAAGGTACAACACGGTCCAAGGTACAACAAGTTCCCTTATCGTGTGCGAGTGAGGGACACAAAGTTCATGTCTATCTCTTTCTCTCTCTCATATGTCGTCACTATAATATCTCCTGCATCCTGACCCGGGACTTGAACCCAGAGTCTTATTAAAAACGTTGCAATAAATACATTGTTTAAATAGTTTTTTTTTTTAAAACCACAACCTCTATCCCAATAACCCCTCCGTAGCCTCTCCGTCAATCTTCAAGCGCCAATCAACTGCCTTTAAAACTGTCAAGATCGAGCACTGCAGTGTTTCAAGAGCGGGACTTGTCCGTAAAGACCTTTCTTTATATTTGTAGATGTCACTAGTTCATTCCCGTCTGAGACAAATTTTGTATGGTCATACAATTATTAAACATCGTAGATTCTTATTAATAACTATCGACTTACGTTAGGAACGCATAAAATACTAATGTCCAAAGAAAAATTCTTTCATTTTTTTTTTTGTGCCCAGGAACCTTCGCAGGCGTATACAGAGTAACTTACCAAAGTTTCATCACAATCGGATTAATTGGTTAACAACGCTTTGAGGACAAACATACTAACATTCATTTTTATTTATATAGAATGTAGTTTATATAGATGTAGTATTCAGTATTGTAATATTTCATTTTGAGTTTTACGAAATTAAACATAATATTGATGCACAACAGAGGTTAGAACAATTTTTCTATAGAGGCCGATGTTATTTTACCCGCTGCCATTTTTTTTTCCAATTACAACGCACGAATTAATAATTTATTATATATGGATTATGGATATAGGGTACCTAGACCTAAAATAGAAATGTTAATACATAATAATATTAGCGCTAAAACGTCACGTTTTCGAGACGTTTAAAACTAAACATTGCCAAATGTGAACTATGATAAACATTAAAATGTACACATGCCTTCCCTTGAATACGAGGGGGATCAGGCCACAGTCCACCACGCTGTTCAAGTGTGGGACTGAGCATGTCTTTCGACAACTTGCTAGGTTCTCTCAGACATGCAGGTTTCTTCACGATGTTTTCCTTCACTGTAAAACAAGTGGTAGTCATCTAGGAGATAATTCGCATATGGAAATTTCAGGGCTTCGAGACACATAAATTACGTTTTCACTTTTTGTACTCGTATATAGATGTTTAGCATTAAATATTTCGGAAACGTGACACTTTAGGGTACTATATTGTAGGCATTTTTTTTGTTTTAAGTACTAATGTGAATTCAGAAAAAAAATGGCGGCGGTTAGAAATTTTTCCAAATATCAAATTAAATATGAGGCAAATAGTGTAAATATTTTAAAATTTCAACGTAAACTTATAGAAGTCTTCAAAAATCAATACAATGGAGTTTATGCAGAGGCAAAATATATCAAATACACCCTCAAGTTCTACTTCAAAAAGTTCTGGAAAAGATGTATCAAATAAAAATGTGCCAACATTCACTTTTAAAGAGCCAGATGAGATATCAATAAAATCCGATAATATTAGAGACTCGTTCAAACATAAATTAAATGTTTCTGAAGAAACTCCAACTTCTTCAAAATATTTGGGTCAAGATTATATTCCAAAACGTTGGTCCCAAGAGTTTTTGTTAGATGCCAAAGATTCAAAATTATCAAAAGATTCAGTGAAAGAGAATTTAGATAAAAAAATGTCTGTTACAAATTTAGTTGATGCTAAATTAGATGACACTAATACATTCCCTTTAGAAGATAAAAAAGCAAAATCTTCAAATGAAATTTCAAAAATATCTAATACAAGTCTAAAATTATCGAAATCTGCCACAGATTTTGAAGGAAAAAGTAATATAAGTATTGTAGATGAAAAAACTGATAAAATAAGCAAGGCTAAAAAGAATTATTACGCAAAAACGTATAAGCGAATGATATCTGATGCGGAAAATGCGCAAAATTCCACGGACGAAAATACAGAAAAAGATAAATCTAGACTGAAATCTAGTAGATCTGAGGCGGTCGTAGATAATAATGAATCTAAAAGACTCTCTATTTCTAGTAAGGATGAAACGAAAAAGGGTTAGTGCTCAATGAAATGTCTTACTTAAAGAAAGTGTTTAAATACTACCTTGTCCCGCGACTCCGCTCGCGTAGTTTATTTATGCATAACTGTGAGCCTATTATTTCTTACTTTCTTATTTTCGCAAAACTTTAAAAAATTAGCATATAATCTTCCTAGATAGCCCTCTATCCATTGATGAAAACCGTATGAAAATCCATACAGTAGTTTCTGAGATTAGCCCCAACAAACAACCAAAATGTGATTACTCCATTGTACATAAATAAACTACGCGAAATTTTTATATTGTTATAATTATAAATTTTCAGATAAAAAGGCTCATTTCCGTACAGACGAATCGTTATTGACTTTTCATGAACCTGATAATATTAGGGAAGTTATAAAAAGTATCGATAGATTGTATAGCGATGAGAAGAAAGATAAAATAAAAGATAAATCTGGTGAAATAAAAAAAAGAGAACCATCAGATGTTGAATGTAGGTGTGGCGTTAGTTACAGTGATGAACACAATGTATTTGGTTCTGAGGAAATTAACCAAAGACAAGATGAGACTAAATCGAGAAATGGTAAAGAAGAAATAAATGATTATTTTGATGATAAACGCTTAAGCTATTCAGATAGACTGGTTTTGATGCAACTTTCCAAAATTATTAGACTGTTAGAGAAGAAAGATGGAACGTAAAAGAAGCTTGGTGGAGACTGTTAGTAATTTGTTTTTCGATCTCTTTTCCCCTATCCTTTGACCATGAAAGCTTAAAGATTACTCTTCGACATATTTCACACAGGGAACTTACTAGGTTGTTTTTCTTACATTTATTATTCTCCTAAAGCATATTAAAAATAATACACCGTTGAGGTTCTCTTGAAATAAATTTCTTTAAAGCCATTATTTTATGTATTTAGGGAACGATGGGACTGACTTTTTTTTTACGCCTTGTGCCTAAAAAGTCCCTATGAAAACAAATGAAAAAAAAAATAGCCATGTGTGTTTTTTTTGAGAGCCGGCAAAATGGGACACTTCAAAAGAAGTGGAAGAAAAAATTTTTTTTTTACCCATAGTGATGGAGGGGGGACTCAATTTATAATTTAATGATGTTTATGATAGGCGAACATTACAAGTAGTTTTTTTAGAAAAAAAAAATTGAAATAAATAGTTTTTTTTTTACCAATTTTTTCTTTCCTTTGTGTTTCATTTAATAGCTTGTACAAGAAGGATATATTTTGTGCTCCAAATATCTTGAAAGATATAAAAAAAAATCATTGAACATCTTAATAATATTATTTCAAAATGTAATTTATTTTTTCACCAGTTGCTACAATCTGTGGACGAAGATATAAGTATTAGTGGAGAACACAAAACTCCGTCGAGACAGGTGAGTGGTTTTTTTTTTATTTTAATATACAATTATATATTTTATTTATTTTTTGTCATCATTTAAGGGGGTGAATTTTAGGATAATTTTTTATCTGATGTTTTTATCTTATTGTGTTAATCCCATAATGATATAAATATTATAAATGCGAAATTTTGAATGTTTGTTACTCTTTCACGCCAGAACGGCTGAACGGATCTGGATGAAATTTGGCACAGAGATAGATTATAGTCGAGAATAGCACATAGGCTTTTTATCTCGGAAAAATGTACGGTCCAAGTAATTAAAATATTAGATATAAAATATTGTTTAATGCCAAAAATATTGATAAAAAAATTACAATATCATATTTTTTACAATTTATAGATATGAAACTTCGTGTGGTTTTACGTTGGAACGGGTTAATGAATCTTGGATTAACATACAAATAAATTATTATCGATCGCTATCCATTTTTTATCACTAAAGAATCTGGCATTTCATTACTAATTATTATATTTTCACAACTCCTACAAGTGTGAGTCGGAAAGCTTTAACTAACACTTAAATGAAAAAAAATACGATTATAATATGTATATCTATTATCTATATTGATAAATAAAATTGAAGTGTCTGTTTGTAATGTCAAAATAACAGCTTTTTACTAAATACATTAGAAATTTTATACGGTACTTATAAGAAAAACACATTTTTTTTAATTTTTGTCTTTCTGTCTGTTTGTTCCGGATAATCTCTGAAACGGCTGGACTGATTTTGACGGGACTTTCACTGGAAGATTGCTGATGTTATAGGGAGTATCATAGGTTTATTTTAGTAAAAGGATTGGGGTTCCGCTTAAAAACATTAAAACGTACCTAGGGACGAACACGAGCGAAGCGAGGGTGAGTCCCTAATACATATATAAATATCATATATCAATGGGGGATGGTTATCAAAATTTACTTCGCGGAAATCGAACCCACACTATTCAGGCATATGGTGATAGTCTTTGTTGGGTAAGAGACTTACCGGACTGCGATAGAACCCAAAATGATTATATGTATGTCAATTTACCCCTGAGCGGCTGAACTACATAATACTACGTTTTTATGTCAACTTTTTTCTATTGTTTTATCTCCTATTTTACGTATCTAAGTTATTTTTGTAGTTTTTTTAAATAGTAATCTATAGATTAAATATTAAATGTACAGGTGTCACCAAACCCCCCTGTATCTGCTTCGCCAGTCACTCGAGCGTCCTTCGCGTCTCGCACTTCACCGGAACGCAACGGGGACGTGTACGCCGCCAGAGCGGATGAACAGGAGAAATTACTTAAACATTAATACAATTTACATCAAAATTAGCCTAATTAAACACTATACAGGTTGTTCTAAAATGTTTAATTTTTTTTTCGCTATTTTAAATTGAGACATAGTATATAGAACAGTAATACGTTAGTATTGTGTTGTTTTATTTTTGCCAAAGAAATTTAATTCGAAAAAATATTCGTTTTAAAAATTTGTTAACAGCCTGTATAGTTCAACTTTAAAACTTTAGTTTTATTTTATTTTTTATTTCTTTACTGCATGACATGATTGCACGTTCTAAGTATTAAAACGTCTTTTTTACCAAATAACATAGTTTTTAATATTTAAAACTTTTTTTCAGCTAATTTTACTGAATCTATTTTGTACTTAATATGTCGACGTGAGTATCCAAATTTTTATATTATATTGATTTTATCTATATTTTCAATTAATATGGTCTGCAAAAACTTAAGGTGCACTACCACAGCACAGATAAATATTTGCCACCTTCTAACATTATTTAGTCTATGGTAAAATAATCATACATGTGGTTTAAAATAATTAAAATTTTATTCCTTTATCTAGTTCATTGTACTTATCATTTAATTTTATAACTAGGTTTTAAAATGCGAAAAAATATTTAAATAATTATAAAGTAAAAATATATTATTATAATCTACCAAACTCTTCCAAATAAATATTCCGCCAAATATTGACCGTTTATTAAAAAAATACTCTTATACTAAAATTATGCCAATTATCTTATATGACAACATTCTAGTGTTGTCAGCACACAAATTATAATTAAAACAATATATAACAATAAAAATATAAATTATTATCACATATGGCCTTAAAACTTAAAAGTCATTATATACCTCTTGTGGAATAAAAATATTACAAACAGACTATTGTTATATGTTTATTATATTGAATAATAGTTTTAGAATAAAAATTGAGAAACATTAAAAAACAAACATCGTAAATAAAACTGTTTCCGGAGTTTTTCGCGAATTTATTTTGATTTTTGGTTCCCGACGTTTCGAAAATAAATCTGCGAAAAAATCCTAAAAGATAGTTTTATTTAAAATGTCAAAAAAAAAATTAAAACTAAGAAAGTATAAAACAAACATATAAAAAAATAAGGATTTTTTTAATACTCAAAACAATTTTATAAAAATCCAATAAATTGAAATATTCAAAGTTAGGAAGAATATATAAAAAGGTCATCATTAAATACTTTTTTTTATTACATATTTTTGTTCTACAAGGAGGTTTCATTCGTCGTGGGTAAATGATCCGTCATATTATTAAATATAATATTATGAAAAAAATAAATTTAAGAAAACGAACAAGGAATTAGAGGATTGCACTGTTTTATAGATATAGATTGCACTGAATAAGGTAGTTGTTATTATATAGTGTTTTAGGTGCATTTTTCCTATATTTTTTTTGAGTAAGTGTGATTTTAAATTAAAAAAAAAACTTTGGTACTTTTTTTTTAATTTGACTTTTTATTGGCTATACAAAGATAAGCACCAAAACGATGACAGCCAAAAAGTAACTAATAGTAATTAAATATAATATTAATATTATTTACGTATGTTTATAAGTTTTTTTTATTAATGTCGTAATCCTTAAACAAGTCATTTTTCGTAACTAATATTAGGAAGAATACTGGAGCCAATACTATTAGGCAATGTTTTTTTTTAATCTTACGACATATCGTCTGTAGGCCAAAAAATGCACATATGAAGAAAAACTTGTCAATATTTGGAGCCATACATATAATTTATCATTTTATTTTTTTTATTATATAAACTATTTTTTTTGTCGAGCGAAGTAATAAGATAATAATTAATAACCATGATTTATCATTCATTTTAAAATATTTAAATCATATGGAAACGAAAATTTTCAAAGTCAGCAGTGGCTAGTAGGGCGCATGTTATGGCATGCAAATAAAAAAACCTGTCAAGTGCGAGTCGAAATCGCACACGAAGAATTCCGTACCAAAATCGTTTTTTTTTAACTTGCATGACGGCTATTTTGAAATTCGCCATCTTAATTTTTTATTATAGCGGAAATAGAAATAAACACTGTTTGAATTTCAACTCTCCACCTATAATATACAAACCTCCTAATATATATATACCTCCGGTTCATAAGATAGAGCCCACTGACAGATAGACGGACAGCGGTGGCTTAGTAAAAGGATCCTTTGGGCTCAAGCGGTACGGAACCCTAAAAAAGAAAAAATATTGGCTCGGTATTCAGTATAATGCGGTATTGAAATTTATTACAGAAACTTCGGTGCTTAAAATTTTTGAAGGTCAATATTAATTATGAAATTCCTAGTTAACTTAATGTTTTTTTTTTAGTTTTTTTTTTATTCGAGCAGCGTAACTTAATTTTTTAATTTCAATCAGCTCAGTTACTCTAGTCTTTTTGTCTCGCAGTTTTTATTAAAATCTGCCAAAATGTTTTTTTTAATAAGTAATTTTAAATTTAGTGACAATATTCAATACATAAATTGATACAAAATATATATTTTTTAATACTTAAATACAAAATACTTTATTTTTTTAATATCGAATTCAAAGTTATCCCAGTTTAGAACATTTCCACGGCATCTTTTGTTTTTTTTATTGATAAAAAAAAATAATTATCTAAGGCCTATATGTACTTATATATTAGTATAAAATCAAAATTCAAGTACAACGACAATAATGTATTTTTTTTTTATTTTAAGTATGTAAATCTTTATGTGTCGGCGATTATTTTAGCAGGTTCGAATCCGAAATGTTAACTCGAGAACTTAGACTAGATGACGTTCTACATCGCGTATAGAAACTAAAAATGTATGGAAATAACTATCCAATCGTTATATCACGTGGTCAAAATGGTTTTTTCGTATATTTCTTGTTTTCTTTTATCGATTGTAGAAGTCAACTTGCTTAAGTCTGATTTAGCGTATTTTTTATTTTCAAGTTAACATAACTTAATTTTTTTTATTTGTTTCGTTTTTGTGTTTTTTTTTCTAATAAACAATTGTATTAAAATTGCAAGTTTATGAACAAAAAAAATTATATTATGTTTTTGCTAAATCTCGAATATGTATATGATAACTATAACTACTTATTATATTTCGATACAAAAGATGTTAGTAATACTAAAACCATACTAAAAATCATTTTATTTTTTAACAGAAAACATGTAAATATATGTGATATGTTAGATCTGATATTTATTAGTATATATTTTTTTTTGTATTGACGATTTTTTTGTAAGTAAAATTGTCATTCAACTCCGCTCATTTAATTTGTTACTTATTATTTGAACGTATTTTTATATTTAATTCACTAGTTCCGGAGATTAATTCCTAATATATAAACGAATATTTCCTCTTTATGTAAGTATATAATAAAAAAAATCGTCAAACCAAAAAAAAAAAACATTTTTTTTAATGCTTGATATTTTTAAACACCATATGTAAACATAGAATGGACTTATTATGTTAAAATGTATTGAAAAATATCTGAAATGAAATAAAATAAACTTTATTCAAATAGACTTATTACAAGTACTTTTAAATCGTCAATTTAATATAAGTGTCAGTTTAGTCAGTCCGTGAGAAAGCTATCACCGGCTCGGAAAGCAATTCTGCTGAGAAGAGCCGAAGAGAAACTAAACGGTTGCTCTTTTAAATATCGAAGTTACATCTATTTTATTAACACCTCCAGGTAAATTTCTAAGAAATTAATTAAATTTCTAAGAAATCTATTGTTAACTGTAACGCCGGCGTGTCCGCGGTCGTGGAGGTATTAATGTCTGATAATTCATGTCTGAGGAAACCTAGCGAGTGTACGAAAGACATGTGAAGTCCGCCAACCCGCACTTGGCCAGCGTGGTGGACTATGGCCTGATCCCCCTCGTATTGAAGGGAGGCCCACCCCCAGCAGTGGGATGTTATAAAGGGCTGAATACACTTAATTAGAAAAATACTTACTTTTTTTAATATATATTTTTTTCATTATCAGTCCATTCTATGTCTATGGTATTACTTAGCATTTATGTAGATGTAAATGTTGAAATGTTTTGAATCGAATATTAATTTTAAGTATAATACGGTATTCCTGTTTTATTTATTGATATAATAAATGATATTAGTATAATTTTAGTTTTTTTTTCTATCCTTAATCTAAGGAATGCAGCTAACTTCATCATGTCGCTTTTTGGCTGTCGGTGTGCGCGCGCATCGTAAAAATTTTACTCTCATATTTTTTTCCAAACGTGCCGAAAGAAGTATGACTTCAAAAATGTAATGGTTTCATAAATCAACGCTTATTTTTGCGTACAGCTGACAGATGGCGTACTACATTTAAAACTGTCAGTCACTGAAATTTGCTTAATTAAGTATAGATTGAATTTGCTATATTTTAGTATATATATTAAACAAAATAGTTCTTCAATTGCGGATCAATATCATTTGTCGTTTATTTTGGTCAACAAAAATGACCAAAAAAATAGTAAAATGGAAATTCAATATCTTTGTATGGAACGGGACATCTGTACTAGTATAATATTATGTCATCTGTGTTTTTACCTAATAAAATAGCCTCCGCTTCTATTGGATAATGAAAATTTCATATGGTAAATCTGTTCAGTAGATTTTAATAAGCATATCAAAATTTTCATTATCTTATTATTTATTTAAAGATAGTATCGATTACAAAATATATAATCTTTTGTATTTACGATAATATAGACATGTGGTCTCATCAGGAACAAAGTAAAATTAAAATGTCAATAGATTGCGTTGTTTGTATCGATTTGTTAACAATCTATACAATATACATATAACAAAATTGTAACTAAGCCGAATCTGTACATTAAATATTTTTTGGAAAATCTTACTGAAATAGATATTGTTATCGAATATCGATACAGAGGCCGAATCTATAGTCTTTACAATTTTTATCTGTCTGTCTGTCACCATAATAATCTTAAAAAAGTTCTTTCCAAAATTAGGTTAGTTTAGGGTAAGAAAAAATTTAAATATATTTCTAAATAATTTATTTTGTGATTAAATATTTATGTAATTACATTTCTACATCATGCATATTCTAGATTATCTATATACTATATTAATTAGTCTATGGTTCAATGAGAAGTGATGATATTTTCTTATATTTTTAATATTATTAAAGTTACTTTTAAAGGATTTATTTTTGAACTGTACAGTAGTCTTTACTTCGTGAACAGCATAATTAAAATGTTTTTGTTGTTGAAGTCATCTATGTATCTGTCTATTTAGGTATTTTGTGAAAAGTCGCCATTTTGTGAATTGGCTGACTTTTACACATTATGACAATATACCGTTTAATATCCGAGTCATATTACAATTCTATACTATAAACTATCTGATCATCTGACTTTGATATATACATATATTTGTATTACAAATAATTAACACCAGCTCTAAAGACTCCTAAGACTTTAAAAAGTACAAGTACTCTCGATTTAAAAAGTTAATGTTTAATAAAACTTCAGTATATCTGGCTAGTTGTTAATTTTAAAAAAAAATATCAAGAAAAATAAATCCTTTAAAAATAATTTCATTCACACATTTTATATAATCATTATTATTATTATTAAACATAAAAATATGTATTTTTTTACAATTTTATATAAAACAAAATAGTTAAACTCGAAATTTAAAATTACCGAACTAAAAATATTAGTCTACATATAAAAAAAACTGTGTTACTTTTAAAATACTGTTCACAAGTTGTGAAATTGTATTAATAAAATAAAAATAAAAGAAAATAAAAAAATAAAATAAAAATAACAGCTCAATAAAACTGATCTAGAAGTTCTGAAACTTGATAAGTATTGAGCTTTATTTAACTCTACAAGTCACAGAGCGGAATCAAAAAGAGTAAGACAAAAGGACCAACAGTAAGTTTTAAACGAAAACGTGTCAATATCACCGAATGTGGCAGAATTCATAATTTTATTCTGCCCTAATAAATAAGATGGAATTTGTTTTCCTTCTCGAATGTACTTAAAATTAGTACTGATGTCAAAAAAATTAAAACAATATACTTTACAATTGTTTATATTAACTAAGAATTAATGAGATCATATTATTACAATAAATATATTTTTTTACAATAAAATATTATGTCTGGTTCAGTTTTTATACTTTAATATTACATTTTTCATATAATTCTATTATTTTTATATTTAACTGGGGTTGCTGTGTGGAGTACACTCACCGATTTAAATTGATTTAATTGCTAAAACTTAGTAACGAAGTCTTACGAAGAACTATATTATTATTATCTATGTACAGAAGCACAGCATTTATGTATATATGATGGTGATTAGATCTGTTAAGTGGACTGCACTACTGCTGCCACTCATACACCTGGAATATGGACTGAGCAATACTCTCATGAAATTGACCACTCTCTAGAAAGAGAGAAAGCGAATATGCGGCCAGTAACCTGTCTTATAAAACAATTTGAAATAATAAATGGAATGTAAAATAGTTATTTATAACTATTTTGCATTACAGATATTTATATCTATCTTCAATACTCGTATTTCAATTAATACAGAAAATTTCTGGCCGCACATTTGTTTTGTCTCTGTCGCGCCTGTCCACCATTTTGAGCTGACGGCTGCCGAAGAAATACTCAGTCCAATAGAAAGTAGTACAATAAAAAGTTTTCATTATAATTCGATTTGTGAGAAAGAGAAAGAAATCTCTCATATTTCCAATATTGTTAATTGATTCAAAAACAAATAGATGGCGCTGTATAGAGTTATTTATATTATTCCATGAAATGAGTTCTTTTCTAATATAGGTTGCCTGGAAGAAATCACTTTAAGTAAAGCTAAGTTTAGACTACGACACTAATTCCAACATTAATGTACTGTTCACAATTTTACGGAATTTTAGTGTCAATAAATTTCACAATCAGAGACACTCGCGTTCACACAGAGACACTTGGTGTATATATTGCAGCTAACTAGCTTAATCAGCCGTTTTATTATCGGTCTAGCCTTTTCATTGAACACCGCCGTTGAGTTAGCGGCTAAATGACATCCCAACATTTAATTTAACCGCTAGGAAAATGACTTAGTTCAATGTCGTTTAATGACTTGCTAGGCAAGTTATTGAATGTAAATTCATTTGAATATAAAAACAATTTTTTTTAAGTTTTTTTAATTACATAAATAAAGAATTCCCAAAATTTGATTTTTTGATATATTTTTATCACACGATTACCTTATTCTGTAAACGGCCTAAGCATCTGCCAGCCCGTTCATTAAATGGTTTTTTTAGACTCATTGGATAACATTCCAGCCTTTTAATTAAATAAAAGGCTAGGCCGCTAATTAAACGGCTGATTAAAAGCTAGTTGGCTGCGAAATATACACTGAGTGTACCGTGTATAGTATCTTATCTAAACTGGGCTTTAATGCCTACCTTACATTGCATTTTTTTATTTCTGCTTTATTTTTACTTTCTTTTTTAGTGTAATAAAGGGTTAAATAAATAATAATATACTACATATTTTGATCCGAAAAAGCAGATCTGCCATCGAGTTGGCTAATTAATACAAATAAAACATATATAATTAAATTAAATCAGTGAGTGTATGTATGTTTGTGTGTATGGAGTGGTGTGAGAGCGCCGGGAGGGTGCGCTACGGCGGGGTCATGCTGCCGCCATACTCAGGGGACGCACCGCGACCTGCGCACCATTGTATTGTTAGTGATGACATAACAAAACCAATATAAGTTGTTTTTGTTATAAATGTACTGTTTTATATGAATATGTTACAGTGTAAAAATCCATACAGTTCGTGATCTTTTGAGTTTATTCGTCCAAACCACCAATTTACTGAAAGAGTTGTTAATACGACTTGCAGATATATATTTCTTAACAAATATCTCTTCAAAAAGTCGCATCGACATGTGACGTTAAGTCAAACCAAAGAATGAAATTCAAAAATCAAAAGTTTTTACTGTCTAAATACAAATTCGAACTTACGCATACAACGTCTACACTAATATTATAAAGAGGGAAGATTTGTATTTTTGTATGTTTGTACCGAATAAACTCACCAACTACTGGATCGATTTAGATGAAATTTAGTAACATTTGTTACTGTTTTTATGGCAATAAATACTATTTATTATTATTATTATTAACATATAGACCACTGCTTGACAATTACACCTAGATCTTCTTACTGAAAGGGCTGAACAAATTTGGATGTAATATATTACACAACTAAACTATGACCTAGAAATAACATAAATGATTGTTAGCAAGTAACAATGTATCTGTGTATGTATATATATATGTAAATATGTCTGTATGTATATATATATTTGTATATATATATTTGTATATATATATTTGTATATATGTATGTATGTATGTGCCTCACCTCGGCCCCTGCCGCGGCCCCGGCCCCTGCCCCTCCCGCGGCCGCGTCACCTGCGCCCGTCGCCCAGACCCACCATGTCTGGAACATTCATAATTACTTTTATATATCTATATATAAATATGCAAAGACAAAACAGTTCACTCATTTTCCTCTGTTGGTCAGCCGGTTTTGTTTTATTTTTGTTATTGGGACATTAACACATAGCACCACCCAATTCCATGGTAAGCTACGAGGCTTGTGTTATGGATATCGGATAGTTGATACAATACATGACTGGAGTACAAACATTTGTGTTTATCACACAAATGAATGCCCTAGCGGGACTCGAACCCGCGACCGCTGGTACCGTAGTAGGGTCACTACAAACTGAGCCAAACGTCTCGTCGATTATGGTCGAATGTGGACCATTGAGTGAACGCTAGTTATAATATTATCTTATATTTACATGTCTTCAGCCCTTTTTAACGTCCCACTGCTGGGAGTGGGCTTCAATATGAGGGGGATCAGGCCATAGTCCACCACGCTGACCAAGTGCGGGACAGAGCATGACTTTCGACAACTTGCTAGGTTCTCTCAGACATGCAGGTCATATGTGTGCTTATTTGGTGGGGACATTTTTTGTCGTTGATTGTGTATCTAGTACATTTTTGATCGATGACTTTCGTATATGAATATGAATTTCCTATAATATATCGAACCTATATTAGTGGCAGTTTTCTCTAGATACGCGAGGGGTCCCTGCAGCGCGGCGCCCGCGTATCCCCCGCGGCCCCCCGTCAGGAACATGCCTTGAGCCAGGCTGTTTTGCATCTGTCACAAATATAATAAACGTCAAATATTAAAAAAATCAAGATTAAATATGAAAATATTTATTGATAAATAATAAAAGCATTTTAAAAAGTTTAAAATAAATCAAAAAAAAAAATTAGCAAAAAATTTGTATTGATGAAAAAATAAAGCAACTTGTAAAAAGATCTCAAACTAAAAATACATCATATATTCATTTAGAATACACATAAAAAAAACTAAAAGTGTAAGGTAAAAAAATATATAACGCTAACAGCATGTAGGCATACTTAGAAATATTATCTATACGTATAATAAAATTGTAACTAAGCCGAATCTGTACATTAAATATTTTTTGGAAAATCTTATTGAAATAGACATTATTATCGATATAGAGGCGGAATCTATAGTTTTTAGAATTTTTGTCTGTCTGTCTGTCTGTCTGTTACCGCATCACAGAAAAACCACTGGAGGGATTTTGATGAATTTTGGTATATTGATAGCTGGTTGTCCGGGTCAACATATAGGATACTTTTTACCGCAAGAAAATATCTCATTTCTGAGAAAAAATACAAAAACTGCCATTGTAAGAGTATACTAATATATGTAAAACCTAAGAATTTTCTTTTTGACCATCTGAACGCGGGCGGAGCCGCGGGCAATGCTAGTTATGTAATATGTATGAATATAAAAAACGTTATATCTATATAAATATTAAATATAAATAAAATTAAAGTGTCCGTTTGCAATATTAATGATGCTTAAATGAAAATAATGTTTTATAACTATTACACTTCTACGAATTTATTAGCATATTTTATATGACAAAGAAGCGATTTACCCTCTCTTCGCTCGGGTGCGTACGATTTGTTCACAATTTCATGGGTTTTAATTTTTTTCCACAAAACCCTAATTCTTTTTCTAAAATAAAAGTAGCCTAAGTTACTCCTTCTGACATCAGCTATCTGCCAATCAAAGTCCCGTCAAAATCAGTACAGCCGTTCCGGATAGTAAAAACTTTAAAAAGTGGGTTTTCGCTTTGTTCTTATCAGTACAATATATAATTCCATATGCATTTAGTAAAAAGCTGTTATTTTGACATTACAAACAAACACTTCAATTTTAGTTATCTGTATAGATTTATCATAAAAATATAAAAAAAAAATCTTACCTTCCAAACAAAAAGTGCAAACAATTAAAATCTAAATAAAAAAAAAAAACAAAAAAAGGTGCAGGAAAATAAATAAAACAAAACAAATATACACAGTAAATATATTTATATTGAATTTCGTGGCAAAATAATGGAACAAATAATATAAGGTGCAAAAAAAAACAAAATTAAAAAAATAGCTGTTATATTAAAACTAATGAGAATATTCTTAAATAATAATCCAATTAAATAATAATTCAATGCAATTTTTTTTATTTTTTTTTTAAATTACATGGGACAAAATTGAGGTGAAAATCGATTGAAAATTTGCGAAGATATCGCGTAACATACTATACTATACACATAAATATTTAACATACAACCTGATTTATTTATATTTGAATTCGGGCCAAAAGTAGCTTTTTTTTTCTAACATATAAGATATTAGTGCATAAAAATCAACGAGTACACTGAAAAGATCAATATTTTATATTCAACTATAGACAAATTATTAAATCATAGTCTGAAATTATTTATGTACATCAGAAATAAAGTTCCGCGTAACCTTTATCCTTTAAAAAAAGTAAACGAAAAAGCTAAATTGAGAACAGTAGCATAAACAGCAAATCACGCTACTATTTTTGACTTCAACATTTATTTTGCCGTATAATTTTTTTTATTATTATAGACAGACTATTAGGCCGTTAGAGAAAATCTTAAGTTTCTAACAAATTCTCCCATTCCTAATAACTAATCACATATATAAATTAAACCATTTAATATTGTTTGTAAACGTCTAACTAAGGGTTTTCAATGAAACCCCCTTTCTCCCCTAAAAGACTTCGATGACGGAGGCTTGGGGGCCCTCTTAAGAGGGCCCATTCCCCCCTTCCCCCTCACCTCCCGCTACCTCCTCTGCACAGTAGCAGGGTAGGCAGGTGGGTGTGGGGGTCGTACCTGCTGTTGCTGCAACGCCTGTTGCTGCAGCGCGGCTTGTTGTGCTGCAGCCGCGGCTGCCATTTGTTGTGCCTATATGGAAATAAAGTTATATCATTTGTGACTTAGGAAAGCTAATCTATATATATAAAAATCGATATGTGTACGTATGTTCACTATGGACTCCTAAACGGCTGAAGCGATAATGATGAAATTTTCATACAATCTTCAGATTAGCCCAGCGGGTGATCCTATGAAGTTTGGTGGCGATCGGAATATTAAACGCGGGCGAAGCCGCGGGTAGGTATTGCTAGTTCTATATAAGATACAAATTTCATTTAAAAAATTTATTATACAAACATACATACATATATATAATATATATACGTACAAAAGTATCAATGTATTGATCCAATCAAAATATCCGGACATTTCGATTTACGTCATAAATAATGTCAAATTTGTACAGCAGTTACTTTTATAAAATAACTGCAACATTTTCCTCAAAGCATTAAATACATAGTTTCTTCCACTTCATAGCATGATGGCTTAAGGTAACATATCTGAAATACGATCGCAGGTTCGATTCTTACGCGGGGTTAATATTTTTCCAACGTTCATAAGAGATACTGAAGCACTTATATTTCTTTACGAATTAATTAATTACAAACTGAAAACCATATTACTAATATGTACTAATCTAATTTTTCCAAGATGATATTCTGCCATTTTTAGACAATCGGCCATTTTTAACGTCCCAATGACAAGCACGGGTCTTCTTTCAATGCGAGGAAGTTCATATACCATAGGTATATGATGATATACACCACTCTGGACAATTGCGGCATACAAGTCTTATGCTCGATTTCAAAAACGTCACCTAAGGTTAAGGGATCCCCTAAGCATGGTTAGGGGGCTGTTATTGGACAGTTTCTGTTTCCCCGACAGTTAGAAGTCACCTAAATATTAAAAGGCCCCCTAAATTTAGGTGCTCGAAATATGGGCTTAAAGACGATAGTAAAACGAAATTTAATTTAGGGGCTAATTTAGGGGACTTTTAAGCTAGGGATCCCATACGTAGGTGGTAGCTTATGGGTTGTTGGTGAAATCGGGCATTAAGAAAACTTAGGTTCTCTCAAATATACAGGTTACCTAACGTTTTCCTTCATCGTATTAGCAAATAACAAGTAACAGACGAGCGAAGCTCCCGCTTCATTTGGTAGCCCAAGCCAAACAATTTTTTTAACCCCCGATGCAAAAAGAGGGGTGTTATAAGTTTGACGTCGATGTCTGTCTGTGGCATCGTAGCTCTCAAACGGATGGACCGATTTCGATGCGGTTTTTCTCATTTGAAAGTCAGTTTCCTTGCGGTGGTTCTTAGCTGTGTTTAGTTAAAAGTAAGAGTATCAGCTCTCTTCCAAAATTATGTAAGCCATTGTGGCGTATGATTACTCGATTAAGTGCTTCACGCGTGCCAGTGTAATCGTTAAATGACAATTAATTTGCGTAGGGGTTTTTTTAATTTTTGAAATAATATTGAATACGGCTATAAAATTAATTGTAAATTTTCTTAAAAACTTAGCAAAACTTTTACTAATAGATAGACATGCACATACTTTATCCCGTGAGCAGATCCGCGGGATAAAAGCTAGTGCAGTAAACATCGATCAAAAAGTACTAGATACACAATCCCATGCAAAAGCTCTCTTAAAACTGTCACCAATTGTGTTTAGGTAATTATTCTGATTGAAATAGATAAACGACAATGTGAATTGAACCTTAAATGCAGTGCTTAGAGATGTTTTCACAAAAAAAATTAAAAGCGCACTCAAATGTTCAAACGAGCGCTCATACGGTGAGGACATTTTTTTTAGCTGATTGTATATCTAGTACGTTTTTAATCGATTACAGTAGACAATATACCAACCTGTACACTTTGCTGTACGCTACAAGGCTGTTGCATCGGCGAAGCAGCTTGTTGCATCTGTGTCGGCGCGGGGGCTTGTTGCTGACATTTGTTGTACTGTGTATGGCCCTGATTTATTAATTTCTTTAATGAACATACAGTTTTTAATACACATTTTTTTATCTAACAACTTAATCTCATTAATATTATAAATATAAAAGTTTGGATGGATGGATGTTGGTTACTCAATCACGCCAGAACAGTTGAACGAATCTGGATGAAATTTGGCACAGAGATAGATTATAGTCTGGAATAGCACATAGGTTACTTTTTATCCCGGAAAAATGTACACTTCCCGTGGGATAGATTTGTTTTTGTATTTCACTAGGGACGAACCATAGCGAGGGTGAGTCGCTAGTACTAAATATAGTAAAATATTTAACATTTTAGGTGCCACAAATTCATATTGTAACAATTTATATTATGAAAAAACATAGATACACAATTTTTTCTAACAAATATCACTTCAAAAAGTGGCGTCAAACTAAAAACAAACAGTCAAACCATCGATTTCAGTTTCATCACGGGCTGCTTTGAAAATGGCGGCGGGTTGCTTCCATAGATAAATGTTAAATTACCACTAACCTGTAAATCGGCTAATAAATTCTGCCACTGACTAATTTTATCGTAATGCCTTCTTAATAATTCTTCTTTCCTTTGTAACTCACACTTGAGTTCATTGTTATCTTCTTTCACGAGTAGTTCTGGCTTCATTGCTGATAGAAGAAACCTGTTGGAAAATATCCAAAAACAGCGGTCTAAATCTGTGGTTGCTCAGGAATACGGTTGTTTTTTTTTATTTGAGTAAGTCTAACACCCATAGACATACGTCCGTGTCTTTTTTTGAGCATTTTTATGTTTTGTTGTTATTTTTATTTGAGAATAGCATTGCCCGCGGCTCCGCCCGCGTTCAGGTGACCAAAAACCAAATTCTTAGGTTTTACATATATTAGTATACTCTTACAATGCAGTTTTTGCATTTTTTCTCAGAAATGAGATATTTTCCCGCGGTAAAAAGTTGACCCGGATAACCAGCTATCACCATACCAAATTTCATCAAAATCCCTCCAGTGGTTTTTCTGTGATGTGGTAACTGACAGAGAGACAAAAATTCTAAAAACTGTAGATTCGGCCTCTATATCGATAATAATGTTTATTTTAAATAGATTTCCAAAAAATATTTAATGTACAGATTCGGCTTAGTTACAATTTTATTATATGTACCTATAGATGGATTCGTGCGTGTACAATTTTAGAATCAAAAGACTTGGCAAGCAAAAAAGAAAAGCTGAACAAAACTATGGAGTCGGGTGGACTTTAAAAGTCCATCCAAATGAGGTTAGTGTATTATATGCGAGGTTAATAAAAGCAGAAAGGACTTTAAGAGTCATAGGTTGAGCTTGATGGTTTTAAGGGATGTGGGTTCGATGCTTAGGTATATGTTACTTTGTTCATAATCTAGCTATCCATGTAATAAATTTCATCGAAATACGTCCAGCCGTTTTAGCGTGAAGGCATAACAATCATTCACACATTTGTTTTTCGCTTAATAATAGTAATCCAATAAATATCTGAATTTAATAGTGAATTGTCACCGAAAATTTGCTATTATATGTACACGGGAAAAGCTAAGCATGGTGTCATACCTATACACCATTTTACCATTTGTATGTATGTATGTATGTATGTATGTATGTATGTATGTATGTATGTATGTATGTATGTATGTATGTTCTTATTTATTATTATCTTATATTTACATGTTTTCAGCCCATTTTAACGTCCCACTGCTGGGGGTGGATCTCCCTTCAATACGAGGGGGATCAGGCCATAGTCCACCACGCTGGCCAAGTGCGGGTTGGCGGCACATTTTAACATTTACAAAGTGTCTCTTTAACGAGTACAAAATCTATATCTTCTAGAATGTAAAAAACGGAAACTTGAGGTTAACTACTTATTAGTTACTTATTTAGATTTACACGAAGATTTTAAATGAAACTAACTTTTCGGATTTTTTCGCGAATTTATTATAATTTTTTGGTTCCCGGCGTTTCGAGTGCTTTACAGCAATCATGGTCACGGGAGAGACTAAGGTGTTAGATGTATCAAAGGCATTATATAGTTGTTACAGACATCCTCACCCACAAATTAACAAAATAAATTAAAAAAAATGTTAAATGACACCAAGTACTTACCTTACGATATGTGTTAATTTAATTTTAAAACATTTTACAATTTTAATTATTTTAATTATAAGTATAATTGAATATGGAGTATTATTTATTTAATTTTAGCTGTTATTATTATAATTATTAATTTTTTCTAATAAAAAAAACTTGATTAATTAGTTATCTATATTTAGTGTTGCCATTATTATGTAATCTAAGAATGTTAAGTCGATTAGTCTTAGTGACATCCACGGTGGTCAAAATCAATTAGGATCATCAATAATAATACAGAGGATATTCAGAATTCTCACCGTTTCTGCAAAAAGAACGCTTCCATCTGCCGCGCCAGGTCTATGAACCGCTCCACTTCGACCTTCACCTCTTCCTTCTCCACACACGGCGAGGCCTCTTGTTTCGTCAGCACGTTCAGACATGCCTGAATAATAGATCAGAATGAATAAAAAAAATTATACTCCCAATATATGTATATTCAATGTATCTATACAGATAAATAAAATTGAAGTGTCTGTTTGTAATGTAATAACAGCGTTTTACTAAATGCATATGAAATTTTAAATGGTACTTATAAGAAAAACATTTTTTTTAATTTCAAAAATTCTAAAAACTATAGATTCGGCCTCTGTATCAATAATAATGACTATTTCAATAAGATTTATTGACAATTTGACGACACATTTGGCTCAGTTTGTAGTACCCAACCAGCGGTCGGGGGTTCGAGTCCCGCTGGGGGGATTCATTTGTGTGATGAGCACGAATATTTGTACTCTAGTCATGGGTGTTTATATTTATATTATGTATGTATTTAAAGTTATATATGTGTAGTGTATCAACTATTCGGTATCCATAACACAAGTCTAGTAGCTTACCATGGAACTAGATGGAGCTGTTTTAATGTCGCAACATATTATTTTCCAAATAATATTTAATATGCAGATTCGACTCAGACTTTTATTATATGTATATCTATACAACTCCTAAGTACTTGTTGCTAGAAACAAAGCGTATTCGTGAGCAAAGCCGCGGGCAATACTAGTAATTAATGATTTTTTTATATATATATAGAACATAATACAGATAAAATAATACTCTTCAAAAACAATCACAATACTTTTTATTTTTTTAATTTCTTACATCAGAAGTTTGTACATTCGGCGATCAATAATACGAACGTTAGTAAGTTTAAGAATTAATTATGTATAAATTTCAACACATTTTTTTAAGATATACTTAACATTAGCATGAAAATACTTAAGAGCATGAAAAATAATATTTTATGTAAAATTAATTAATTTAATAATTGGCCATCAAATAAATAGATACTTTTATAACTAACTTGATAACTCAGACTAAAGCATGAACAGACGGGAGGCCGCGAAAAAAAATGATAAAATCAAAAATAATAGCGTGATTTGCTGTTTATACTACTATTCTCAATTTTGCCATACAGATAGTTTCCTTTAAGCTACTTTTAAGCGTTTACTTTAAGAAAAAAAAAACATAAATCTGGTAATTAGAGTACATATGCATGTATTTTTTAAACCACACAGATAACAAATTTAATTCCAAACAATACTTTTTTACTAGTTTACGATTTTTACTCCAATAGTATCAGAGTTAAATGACTTTTAAATAGGTACGAACAGACGGATTTATCGAAATTATAAAGATTTCTTAACGATTTGCCTAATTCTAATACACAATTAATCAGAATGTAATCTCTGGACCACTTTTAACGAAGAAAATGTACTTACACTCTAAAATTTCACAAGTTAAACTATATATATATATATATATATATATATGATATTATTAACCGAATGAAGTGCCAGCTAGTCCCTATACAATACACCACATAAAATAAAATAATGTCTCACACGGTAAAAAAACTTATTTATTATAAAAAAAATTACAAAAATTCTTCAAAATAAAGTAATTTTAGCGTTGTCAATAAATAATACTTTTATTTTTCTTATTTTAAAGATTTTTCGGCGGTCATCGACATGAATTAAATACCTACATATATTATTAAATATTAAATTTATAAAATTAATTCGTTAATATTTTGTAATATGATATTTTGCAACAAATAGATAAAAAATATAGTTTTGTATGAAAAACAAATCATGGTAACAGATAAAATCCTTCACACATAAAAAAGCTCACGTGCATTCAAAGATAAAATGCTCCACGAGGGATTCAAAAGATAAATAATAATAATTACCTACGCCATTATCTTATCTATGTCAACATATACACGAAAATTATTTTATAATTTTTATAGAAACTATTTAGTGTATTTATTAGCAATCTTGTTTGAGATGATACCCTTGACTGATCTACCCTTATTCATTAAACAAAAGGCAAAATATAAAAAAAAAACAACAAAAATATTAGATCCAATTTTAAATTTACCTGGTTTTGTAGTTGGTACCTACTTAGTTTTATGACTATCATAGTGATTATTTTTTAAAGCTCAATAAATAAATCTGTGACGATATTTTATTTTTTAAAAGTCGTATCGTATGCGTGTCGTAACTCGTAAATAAGATACATATTAAAGCCTCCCTAGGTTTACAAATTAGGACTACAAAATTTTAAACTCAAGTAGAATGAGTATGTAATCATTATTATTAAAAAAAAAACAATGTGATATATTATAATTTAAGTATCCTAGATTACAACTAAAATAGTAATAAGCTATAACTTAAAAATTAAAAAAAAAAAGATTTTTCAATATAAATTTTATCAGAAAAAAAAAGTTTATAATATGCATTATTTTGACATTTAAAGGAGGCAATCAAAAAATTTTTAAATGTTCAATTATATTTATTTCTTAACTGTACATAAAACTTCAACTATCTTTCACACACAAATTAATTATGTTTCACATTACCTTAATTTAAATTAAACAATTTTCTTAATAAAATTTAATATTGAGAAATCATTTTTACATCTCACTAACAATAAGTGCCGGGAGCAAAGTTATACTATTTATCAAAATACTGTGCTCATTTCTGATAGCCATACCAAGGGGATTGGTACGGACTTCTGAAGTACTGATTTGAATGCATCTGTCCATACATTGGTTGCATATTTTGTACATAGTTGGTATAGTATTCAGGCCTCCAGCGGTTTCTCTCTTGATAACTCGGAGGTTTGGTCTCGTTTAATCTTTCCGTATTGTGAGGTTGATAGGTTCTATAATCTATGGGGGTGTCTAAAAATATACTGTCATTATATTGACCGATTGGCAAGGGTATGTCCTGAGTCTTCTCTGGAGTGCTTGGGTAAGATTTTGGCTCGATACTTTCAACTATTACCTTCTTTTGTGCAGACATTTTAATCCCACATGGTTCTGATGATAGTCGACTTTGAGAGGTTTCCATAAATTTGTGAAATTCACCCTGGAAAGCGCTTGGATTTTTGTTCATTGGTGGAACTACAGGTACCCGCAAATTTGCATCTAATAGTAAACTGGCATAGGGCTTCGGTGGGGGCTTAGAAGTTTCCGGTGATCTAACTTCAGTTGATTGTGAACTTGTTACTGTTGATGTCTTATGTGAGCTGCTTTGAGAATACATTTTGGAAATATTATCTATAACAGGTTGGAGAGGTGAATTATATTCAAAGTTAGGAATTTTCTTTGGTGTTCTTGGTTTACGAGGCTTTTTAACTTTCTGCTCACCTTCAGAGGTTTTGACTTTGGGTTCACGTTTAACAGGATCTTTCTTCACTCTTTCTTTTTTAGGTTTTTCTTTCTTTTCACCATCTTTTAGAGGTGTTTTTCGTTTTTTCGGCTCTTTTTTTATTTCATGTGATGTGTCTAATGTAGTGTTGTGTGATATTGAAAAAGAATCAGTCAAAGGATCTACTTTTGGTGATGCTACTGGAATAGGACCTACAGCTGCAGTTTCGGATTCATGTGGTGGAGATTCCCAACTAGAGATAACTGCTGCCATATCCTGTAATTGCTCACTTGATAACTTCTTGGACTTCATTTTTCTGCGCTGCTTTTTAGGCTGTGTTGAGAGTTTATCTTGGTCTTGACTAGTGGTATCTTCAGTTTCTTCCTTAATAGATTTTTCTTTCGGCTCCTTTTTAATACTTTCTTTTCTTTTTTTCCGAGTTTTTGTAGTCTTTTTAGTGGTGGGTGCAATATAATCAGAATCTCTATCAGAATCAATGTAGCCAATATCAGGTAATTGTGCTTCGGAAGGATCCATTTCATCGCCTTTGAGCCAAATATCTTCTAGAGCATCTAGCTGATTGTCATCTGGATCTATTGGCATAATGGGCCTTTTCATTGATGTCATCATGTCCAAATCTCCTTCGGCCATTGTCATTTCATCGTCATCCATAACATCGTGACCAAGTATTGAAACTGCTATAGCGCCTTCAGATATGCTCTTACTGGCCATAGCTCTCTTTAAATGTAGCGGATGACGTTTCTTCTTCTTTAAGCCTTCTACCTCTGCTTCTATGAATGATTCTGGAAGTTCTGTGTTGTTCTTGTTACATAAAATATCTTGGCCAGACGGATGAGGAGCAGGTACCATTTTCTCTGGTTGTTCAGGGTGGCAACCAATGTCTTGTCCTTTTAACCAAAGCTCATAACGGTCTGGTTGAAATCGTTTAACAAATGTGTCCATTGATATTTTTACCATATCATTACTACAAGTGCATTGCAAGGCTCGCTTTCCATATTCCACCCACCTAGGTGCCGCAAAATTTGTTGACTCGGCACAATTAAAACCATGATTAAAACCTGCATGATAACCGTAAGGGAATGTAATCATGATTTCCCCAGCCTCTTGAGTGATTTTGTTGACTGGTACAGAGTATTGCTTTAATATTTGTGGAGATATCAGTGTCATTTTGTGTCGAAGGAAAGCTTGGCATGTTTTTGCAGATGTAGGGAAGAAACCAGCAGCGATTCTTTCAAATCTTTTTCCATGTTCAGGTGGGATAGCATACCAAGTTTTAGGTTCACCAAAGTGAAGGTAATTTATTGAATATAAATCCATATCTTCTGTGTGCCAAGCGAATGTAGTCTTCCACATACCAAAATATAAATAAGCAGTATTGACGCCATCAATCTCAATACCATAATCTGAGTTTACAAAATCAAGAATTGTTCCTAGATGGTTAATATTCCACTCCTTCACGTCAGGATCTGTTATGCTGCCGTTCACATCAGCGCCGTATATTGGAGCTACGTAAGTTACATTTTTCCAATATTTTCTCTCTAAATCATCGTAATTAGTGTGTCTGGGAGTGCAGTATTTGGCTGAATTTGCTAAAACGGCGAATTGCTTCACTGTCATTGCCTTCTTCTGTATATTAATTTGTTGAAATAAACCTTGCTTTCCAGTTACAACTTGACATATGGGCGAAGGGATGGTGACGTTTAATTCATCTAAATCATAGCCTTTCTTCCGTGGAACCCACTCTGGAGGTGGAATCACCTTTGCCAGGCCAGCTTTATTTGCTCCTCTTGATTCCATATATTGAACATATTTATTAAAATCTTTGAACTCATCCCATGTCGGACGGAACACTTGTATAGAAACTCCACTCCCTTGCGAAGCAGCATCATCCCCAATCACCGACATTATCGTATTATTTTACGATCACAAGTCCGAATCAACAATATTTCGTCATTAATCACTATTTCACATAGTTCACCATCATGTTTATAAAACAGAGTCACGTATTAATAAAGCGTTCTTATATTTTTCTATTCGATTTTGAATAAAATAAACACGATTAACTTCTCGTAATAATGTGAAAACATTATCAGTAAAATGAAAGATGCTTTGATGCAAACAAAAATCTAAGTCGATCGAAGCTAAAGCCACTCACAAGACTAAATTTTACGCACGTACTTTAAGGCTCCATTCTACTATGATGGCTAAATGAGCTTCTACTGAATAAGGATCGTATAGTTAGATCTGTAGTGTTGGTATTATACTATTTTGACAATAATACACTACATTTTATATACTTATTAAAATACAAAATAAAATAATTTTCGTACTTTAAAAAAAAACTTATCTTCAACATTTACCGCTTCCATTTGACGGTGTCGCCATCTTGTTTTTTATTTATCGACCACTCTTTCTATTGACGAATCCAAAACAAATTGTTAATGTTGACGTTTTCAAATTAGGCTTGCACACATCATAATAAAGGTAACGCACACTAGTACAAAAATCAATAATATCATCAGGGCTGCCAAACTTTAATAATTCTAAGCCGGCATAAATAGAAAATCAATACTTTAAAAATTAAGTACATATTATAAAAAAAATACGTAAATAAATGCTATATGGAGTTAATCCATACGTTTTATTTATAATTTTAATAAAAGTAATAGTTTAGTTAGATATTATCTAATATTATTTAACATAATAAAAAAATACTGGAATTTTCTCATATTGACTAAATAATTTGATGAGATTAAAATCAGTATAATAATACTTAATAATTGATGTTAATTTATTTAAATGAAAAACATGATTTGATACTTAATATTAAATTGTTTTATTACTGAAAGTTTCTCTCGTAAACTAGTGTATGGACAAGTGGACTCTCACGATGTTTAATTAAAAATGAGATTAGATACGAAAATTATAGGTCTGCATGACTCGGAACTTGAACCATTTCACTCTGTTTCCAAAGTGAAAATGCTTGCAAGTTGCAATGCGCTATTACTGAATAAAAAGATAACCAAACCTAAATATAGAACCGAATTTTGTTTTTTAATACCATGCAAAAAATAATACTATATTTATATAGTAAATAATAATATTACACTACATTTATATACTTATAAAAATACTGTTTCAAAATATTAAACCTATCCATGTTAGAAATTGTGTAAAAAAAAATCTTGTGGATAAGTCCTTTCAGTCAAGAATTAAAAATACTTAAAAAAAAAATGTTTTTTGACACTTACATTTCTAACAGTTTGTTTTCAACCCTAGCATTATGGATCGCGAAGTTTTGAGTTAGTCAGTGACTAATGTTTACATCACGTGATCATCTATAATATTACATAAATAAATAATAATGGTATTTCAATAAATTTACACTTATTATGTAGAGTTACATATTTGCTCGCGATATACTGAACTCATTGTGATGCAACTTCAGGAGGATTGTGTGTGAATATTTATAGCTTAAATAGATGTCAATATGTCAAAATAATAGATATTAATTTTTGTTTATGAACTGGTTCAATTATAATCTTTACTGTTATCACAAGGTCACTAGAAATACAATTACATAAAACATAATATTACGAGTATTATGCTGTGAGAATGACATATACTGTCAAGTGTCAGTGACAGCTGATTTAGGTGAATGAACCTGCGAATAGAGTTGAAGGTTAAAAATACCATGTAGCATTATAATCCCTAACTAATATTATAAATGTGAAAGTGTGTTTGTTTGTTCTTCTTCCACGTTGAAACAGAGTAACGGATTGAAGTGTTTTTGTGTGGAGATAGTTGGAGGGCTGTAGAGTGACATAGGCTTTTTACCGCGGGAGATTATTTCATTCCCACGGGAAAACACGTTATATAATAATACAACCCAAAATATGATTTATGATCAGAATTACTTAAAAGTAAACTTAGTATTAATGCTCTTCAATATAATTCAATAAAAAGGTATTTTAGCATTTTTTGAAATTCATTCCATAAGGAGGTAATATAGGGGATGAAAGTTTGTATGAACTATGAGACCTACTGTTTTAGATTTTTTTTTGTAGTTTTAGCGCGAACGAAGCCGCGGGTACTGCTAATAATTAACATAATATTTTTTATTGTTACTTTAAATGTGACTTTGCAAATGTTTTGCATTAAATTCACACACATAAATCAACATTATGATTTTAAATAAATTTGACTGAAATTTTATTAATTATTATTCGTTTTAATTTGGTTTTTCGTAAACTCAATCATAAACAACTTATCACAAAACTTCATTTTTATGTATACTATCACAGACCACAGAATACTAGGTACTACTTTATACAGTGTGTTAAAAAAACCCTGTCCGATCGGAAACCAGTGTATAGGTATCCCAATCACATGACCAAATAAAATAAGAAATATAAAATATTCATGATAGTAAACATATTAATGAAATTTAAAAAGTTCATTTATTTTGCTAATTTCCCCACAATTCTAGGAAATTTTATAAATGTACAACACTAATTTCGGCGGTATTATAATCATGTGGCGGCGGCATCTTTGATGTGTGCCGACAGACGATGCGCCGCCCGTTGTCAAAGGTACCGCTCGGCACGTGTAGAGGCTATCCCGACCTTGAATTACATACTTACGATCACTATTTGTTTGCTTTATTATTTATTTCACTTAAAATTATGTCAGTTTCGCGAAACATTGCATCCGAGTGCACGTGTTGGAGAAATTGAGATTGAGTTTTAACTATGTCGTATACGAATGAAGAGTACTGTAATATGATAATGTGTTTGGGGAGGAGTGACTGCAATTATGCAGAGGCTCATAGAGACTATGAAGTGCGTTTCGCAGTTCCGCGGGGTACCATGGTGCCGTCAGAGCGTGCGGTTCAACGTCTTCACAATCGTATGTACACCACGAGCAGTGTTCACGGCTACGAAACGCATCATGCTGATACAAGGACACCGCGTATCGACATGGATATTGAAGAGCAAGTGCTTGTGTTATTCAATGAGGACCCCACCCGAAGTACTCGTTCTGTGGCACGACAACTGGGCGCTTACCACGTTCAGGTGTGGGAAGTGTTAAAAGAAGATGGCCAGCATCCTTTCCACTACCGTCCTGTCCAAGCTTTACTACCCAGTGATTATGAACCCAGAGTGGAATATTGTGCATGGATTTTAAGGAAAATTGAAGAGGACGCTGAATTTTTAAAAAGGGTTATTTTCACCAATGAATGTTCTTTTCATAGAACAGGCGTCTTTAACAGCCGGAATGAATATGTGTGGTCGACGCTAAATCCTTACGCCCATAATCCGTGATAACCTTTTGCGACGCTGTCAAGCCTGTATCACTAGTAGAGGCCGTTCACATGGAACAACATCTCCATCACAGCCATCGCATTGGCGTCCTCATCGAATAACAGACTACCTACTTACAAAATACAAATTGATAAGCGTAGTTTGAACTTTGAGGTCAACTGCGTTCATGACCTTATGACGTCACCAGTATTGCTATGTAAGTTTCACAATGTATGAAATATTTTAAATTTTTAAGCGGGGTAATTTTTTTTTACTTGGAATCTGTTTTTTTTTACATAAATAGAATCGAATCGCGATACCTAATAATACCTTCACGGATCGGACAGGGTTTTTTAACACACTGTATAAATACATGTGAATCATGTGTGGACCATGAGGTCTTATCGCATTAAGGAGAATAGAAATAAGGAGAACCATCTTATATTCAAGGAGTCAAGATGATGAAGTGTCCACCTGTAACTCGTAAGCGGTAAATGACAGTTCAAAAACCCACCAGCATGACGCTAGTGTAGATGCAGGGTATGATATGAATTTAGCAGTTGTAGACGGAGTGAAGTGTGAAGCTGAGCTGAAAAATATAATATTTTTAGGTGACTAGAGAGTTAATGAAACTGTAGTATGCAAAACCTCATCTATTTACTTAGTCAAATAAGTTACTAAATATAACCTAATAAAATGCTGTGAGATAATTAACATAAATATAATACTACTGTAATAACTTTGACGTTGTTTTAAAATTTACCCACTTGCTACAGTAGCGCTGCCGTAATTTAACGCTTTTCGACGGACACTTTTACATCAGAGAGATAGATCTCCTTGCCTCTACCTTCCTCATGAAGAAAGTAAGAAATAGTTAAAAACTGTTATAACAGATGGCGTAACGTATCACTTTGTTTTTTGTTCATCTGAAAAATACGAAAAAATAACGGAGAAAAGTGTTTATCCTAATTTTAAACAATTAATTAAAGTAGTTATGTTATGGGTTATGTATAAATATAATTATAATATTTTCAAAATTTTATAAAATTCTATAATATTCTTATTTCTGGCGGCAATAATAAGTACAACGTTGTGTAAGCACGGTCTTTCATAATAATTGTATATAGTCTTCAAAGATGGCGCTCAATAATAAAGTTGGTCGATTTTTGTTTTTGCATTTTGTCACTTTGAAGACATTCCAACTTTTAATATAATAAAAAAAAAATATGTACTTATAAAATATTTTTTTTTGTTAAATGTAATTAAATTATTTTACTTTAGTTTGATACCTATACCTACTCTATATGATAATAAAGTCATCTGTGATTATATTAAGACTAACAGAATATTCTGTTTGCAAAACAAATTTCTTTTTTCGTCAATAACTGTAGATAAAAATCTATCTATCTATACATATAATAAAATTGTAACGAAGCCGAATCTGTGCATTAAATATTTTTTGGAAAATCTTATTGAAATAGACATTATTATCGATACAGAGGCCGAATCTATAGTTTTTAGAATTTTTTCTGTCTGTCTGTTACCGCATCGCGGAAAAACCACTGGAGGGATTTTGATGAAATTTGGTATGGTGATAGCTGGCTATCCGGATCAACATATAGGATACTCGTACTTTTTACCGCGGGAAAATATCTCATTTCTGAGAAAAAATACAAAAATTGCAATGTAAGAGTATACTTATATGTAAAACCTAAGAATTTGGTGTTTGGTCATCTGAACGCGGGCGGAGCCGCGGGCAATGCTAGTATTTTATAATATAATGCAATAAAATTATAAGTATAAAAAAACTGTCCCTTTGTATTTTTATGACAGAAATACACAGGTACATACGCGCGAAGTAGGTTTGTCGTTTATATTTTTGGGTTTAATTTTAGATTTATATTCGAAACTAGTTTTTACATTTGTTTGAAAGCTTTATTCTCTGGAACTATCTTAAAATGCAAATTATGGAAAATACCTTAAAAAAAATGATTTACGACATTAGCGCGTTCAAATAAACACATACATTTTTAGCTGTAGGTACCTATCAGTATTAATTTACATTAACAAATAAAGAAATTTTACAATTTCAAAAATGTTATGGCAACAATTTATTATATATATATTGGTTTAATAAAAATAAAAAAATACTGTTTTTTTTTAGTGTGGCAAGTTTTTTTATTTAAACTCACTCTCTCGTCGTCTGAAAGCTATGAACGAACTTTAAAAGCTAAGCAAATAAAAGTAAATTAAACCACACATTCGATTTTTCACTTCAACTATCAACGCCCTTTAACAAAAAAAACTTCTTTTGAATTATTTTAAATGCTTAAGAACTTTGCATTACCTTACAATATATATACTTATTTATTAATTGTTAATAATGTTTAGTTAACCTATTATGTATTAGCAAACATGTTTACTTAAATATCATTAAAAATGTGAAAGTGTGTTTGTTTGTTTGTTTGATTGTTTGTTTGTTTGTTTGTTTGTTTGTTTGTTTGTTTGTTTGTCGTTCTTTCACGTCGAAACGGATTGGCGGATTAGCCTGATTTTTTGTATGGAGATAGTTGGAGGGCTAGAGAGTGACATAGGCTACTTTTTACCGCGGGAGATTATCTCTTTCCCACGGAAAGACACGTTATAATACAAACCCAAAAAATATTTATGATCAGAATTACTTGAAACTTGCTATTAATGCTCTTCAATATAGTTAAATAAGTACATGTTTTAGCATTTTTCGAAATTTATCCCATAAGGGTGTAAAATAAGAGATGAAAGTTTGTACGAAACCTACCTTTTTGGAGATTTTTGTGTATGCTTAGCGCGAGCGAAGCTGCGGGTTCTGCTAGTAATGTATAAAACTAGGTAGCGACTTATCTTCCCTAGGTACGTTTTAACAGTTAGTATAGATTTCTCAGAGATGAGACCAGCCATCACTATACCAAATAACTAGCTAGCTATCATAATACCAAACTTCATCAAAAGCTATCTAGTGGTTTTCTCGTGATGCGTTCTCAGACAGACAGACAATAATTGTAAAAACTATAGATTTGGCATTGATAATAATGACTTTCAATAAGATTTTTCAAAAAATATTTAATCTACAGATTCTACACAGAATTTTATTATATGTATGGACATACTTAATATGTATACTGTATAGATGTTACTTGGGTACTTCTCAACTATCAATACATTATCTTGAGAGATAAACAAACAAGAGTTGAAATGCAAATCGTGTTTTTCTATTCTAACATATGATTGAAATATGATCTCTTTATAAGTTAAGTATTTTTGGAAAACAAAACACAAATATTTATAGTGTTTTAAGTTTTTTTTTTAACTTCTTTATTTGATACACTAGCGACTCACCCTCGCTTCGCTCAGGTTCGTCCCTAGGTTGATTCCCCTTACAAACTTTCACCCTCTTAAGGGATGATTTCCGGAATAAAAAGTATCCTATGTCCTTCCCAGGGTCTCAAACTATCTTCTCACAAAATTTCATTTAAATCGGTCTAGTAGATCCACAGATTAACCCCTACAACATCACAAATTCACAAACTTTACCTCTTTATAATATTAGTACAATAAGAACAAAAAATTAAAGAGAAATAATCCGAATTTGAATGAAATTGTATGTATTGGCACAGATCACACAGATGTGTTAACAAACTTCGAACATGGCTTTTCTGATTTTCTCGTAAGCAGTACACTCTGTGCCAAAAAAAATTACGGGACCACCTCGGGACCTACCTTAATAGAATACAGTTTAAATGAGCAAAATCAATGAAGCTATCTCCTAGAAATTGATGAAAATATATAAAAAGAAGATACATACAGACTGACAGAAATCGGTGAAAACTGAAAACACATAAAACAAAGATAGATACAGAAAAACATTAAACTTTCATCTTGAAAGCCGGTTAACAAATTAAAAACAATTTCAGAAAATAATTTATATTACGACAAATAACAAAAAAATATATAAGTAATGTTATATTTTTATATTTTAAACTTCTATATAAAAAATTCTAACTTTTATAAAGAATATAAATAAATAGCAAAACATCTCGCCCAACGTGGGGCTCGAACCCACGACCCTGAGATTAAGAGTCTCATGCTCTACCGACTGAGCTAGCCGGGCATTGCGTTTGAATATGAATGTTTAAACCTATACATTGTACAATGTACACACATTGTCATGGGGTTTCTATTTTTATGTCAAAGGTCCACCGGGTAGTGAAGTTAAAACAAAAAAAACCATGCCATCTAGAAGTAAAAAAGCATAATTGTTATTTTTAGTCGATGTTAACCGCCAATTCAACCAAAATTTCACAAGATATACCTAATTAAGCTTGTCGCGAGATTCATCTGTGTAGATAAACAAGAAACAAAATGTTAAAGAATATTATGTTTTTATATAAAAACTTTTAGAACTAAAATATAAATCGACTCCAAAAAAAGACGTTAAAAAGTAAAAAATAACTGATTGGTAGTTTTCATTTACTATAGATGCCTAATCAGACATTTTCTATTTATTTTTTGTTATTATTTTTCCCTTAAAGTAAGAAGAAAGTATTTTAATAAAATATGTTAGTTTGATACCAATTTTTATATGAAGACTGACAAACACAATTCGCTTAAGTATATTAATGACACTAATGGCCAATTTCACCAACGTCACCTAAGTTTAAGGGATCCCCTAAGCATGGTTAGGGGGCTGTTATTGGACAGTTTCTGTTTCACCGACAGTTAGGGGTCACCTAAATGCTAATATGCCACCTAAATATAGATACTAGAAATACGGGCTCTGACGATGGTAAAACGAAATTTAATTTACGGGCTAGTTTAGGGGACTTTTAAGCTAAGGATCCCATACGTAGCTGATAGCTTATGGGTTGTTGGTGAAATCGGGCATAAGAATCTCGCTTTAAAATCCAATTCTAACGTATTGAACTTGTCCAATGAAACAAAATAAGCTAATCTGAAGATTACCTGTAAATTCCATCAAAATCGCTCCAGCAGTTTTAGAGTCCATAGGAAACATACATACACACATCGATTTTTATTTTATTTAATCAAAAATTTAAAATTAGTTATTGCTCGGGAAATGGAGTCTTTTATGAAAATTTAGTGACACACCGACTGCAGCGCAAACCTTGCAGGGTCCCGCTCGAAACTACGAAAAAATATCATTAAAATCGTCCCTGCCGAAGGAGGAGATGATCAGTGGCACACCGACTGCAGCGCCATCCACTAGGTCTATTTGTATTTTCAAACCATCCAGGAACACATTGAAATATACATACATAATTTCATCCAAATCGGTCCAGTCCTTTAGGTCTTAGGAGGAATAGGTTAACAAACACACGTACAGAAGAATTATATATATTAAGATATCATATTAATTGTGTAATGTAATAAATTATTTGGTTTGATTTAATTTAAAGTTTTTCTTCATTTTAGAGCATTAAAATAAAAGCTTGTTTTTTTTTATTTAGTAGCTATTGATGAGTTTTATTTAGTGTTATTAATAAAAAAAAATGGAAACAGGATAGGTTTTTTTATATAAGATAGGTAAATTCTATTCATATATTTTTTCCTCAAATTTTCTACAATGATTACATTATTTATTAGTTGTTGATTACATTAGTTGATTACATTATTTAGTACCTGGGCGACCGAGATTCAGATAGAGAACTCTTGTAGATCAAAAAAAAAACAAAAGAATTTAATAAATACAAAAAAAAAAGTAAAATCTTTGTCTCCTAAGTAGTCCGCCAACTCGCGCTTTTCCAGCGTTTTGGTCTATGGTCTGATCCCCCTCGAATTGCCGTTAAAAAGGGCTGAATATATATAAAAAATACTCGATATTTTGTATCAAGTCGCACAAGTCGAGTAGGGATGCGCCCGAGCGAAGCGAGAGCAAGTCAATTGTTTTTTTACTACAGCATCAAAAATAAATGAAAAAATATAAAAAGAAACTCGTTACGACAGTTAAGTATTTTTTTTATTAATAATGTTCTTCCGACCGATTCCGGCTACGGCGGCCAATCTCATTGAGACTAGCCAACTGCGCAGGAGATATTATAGTGCACAAGTGTACGCGCAGACACAAGGTGCACTCTCTATTCCTGTCACTCTTAAAGTCCGATGGGAAGATACTTCGACACAACCGGTGAGAGTTAAAGCGCAGGATCGAGGCTTTGCGTGCTTTCCGAGACATCATCAATTTCCTGACTTCGGGCTGTTACTGAGAATTTCTTGACAAAAATACTCAATAACTAACCTTGGCCCGACCCGGGACTCAATCCTAGGACCTCCAGGTGTGCAGCCGTACATGCTAGCCACTACACTACTGAGGCAGTTATTTTTTTATTAATAATACCTCTGTATATACTTAATCTGTACTGTATCAATTTTACAGTCAATACATGGCGTACTTTATAAGTTTTTAGCATTTTTATAGAAAAAGTTTGTTTTGAATTAACATCTACTACCTAACAGATGTTCTAAAATCATTCTAAAGTCTTTTATGGTTACTTGATTATATATCTATACATATAATAAAATTGTAACTAAGTCGAATCTATACATTAAATATTATTTGGAAAATTTTATTGAAATAAACATCAGTATAAATACAGAGGCCGAATCTATAGTTTTTAGAATTTTTGTCTGTCTGTCTGTCTGTTACCGCGTCACAGAAAAATCACAAAAGGGATTTTGATGAAATTTGGTATGGTGATAGTTGTTTATCCGTGTCAACATATAGGATACTTTTTACCGCCGAAAAATATTTCGGAGAAAAAATACAAAAACTGCAATGTAAGAGTACATTAGTATGTACCTAAAACCTAAGAATTTGGTTTTTGGTCATCTGAACGCGGGCGGAGCCGCGGCAATGCTAGTATAATATATAAATATCTCGTGTCACGGTGTTTGTGGTCGCATTCTTCCGAAATGGCTACACCGTTATTAATTTTTTTTTGTATATTCGGTGGGTATGAGAATAGGTCGTAAAGTATTTTTCACCCTCCTACCCCCACCTCCCATTTTTTAAGTAACTAGTGGCGAACCCGAGAGGAACGAGGGTGAGTCGCTAGTTTATACTAATATTATAAAGAGGTAAAGTTTGTGAGTTTACGACGTTGTAGGGGGTAATCTCTGGATCTACTGAACTGATTTAGATGAAATTTGGTAGGAATATAGTTTGAGACCCTGGGAAGGACATATGATACTTTTTATCCCGGAAATCATTTCTCCCATCAACGTTGTGAAAATGGGGATGAAAGTTTGTATTGGGAAGCAAGCAAGACGAACCCGAGCGAAGCGAGGGTGAGTCGCTAGTAATATATAAAAATATAAAAAAATGTGTACGTGTGTTTGTAATTTAGATCTTAAACAGATTAGAGATTTTAAACAGATCGATTTTGTTTTTTTTTTGTATAGTATGGGTTTACCTGGGCTGTTCTTAGCTATTGTTGGACCCAGTAGGTGCTATTGTCAAGATCCAGAAAATTAGTATTTACATAAAAATAGTGTCGTACCCTGGCTTAGTTTTACTTAAACTAAAATATGGTAAATATTGTAAAATTCATCCCACATTTAATTAAAATAAATGAGTAATTTTAACAATTCTTAACCTTGTTTTCAAAAGTAACAGCTCCATCTGTGAATGCACCACAAACCCATCACCTGATTGCTGATTTGTCAATAAGTATTACGCAAAGATTTTGATTCTTTTATAGCAATATTTCGTTTTACTGCACTTAGAATATTAAAAAATATATAATACACCTTTTTGCATCTATTTTTTATGTTTTGTTAATTTCACATCAACTTCAAATTTGGATGATTTTTACTAGACAAATTGGCTTCGATCTGGAGTAACACAGGCTTAATTATAAAAACTGGTAACATGGCGTTGCCTCACGACTGCATCATCATCATCTCCTTGCCCATTTCCCAAATTACTTGGGGTCGGCGCAGTATATAACCATACTGCTAGTCCTAGTTGGTTTTGGCAAAAGTTTTTCCAACCGGCCGTCTGCCTGACGTCAACCGTCAATGTTCTTTGGGAATGCTGTTGTTCGTCCGCCATCGAACTCGAACTCAGGACTCAATGCGATGTCCCTAGATCATGTAGTCGTCTTTTACGATACCCATAGGAGGTGATGGGGTAGCCCTATCTGAAGCCGAGCGCTACACGGCCTCATGACTACGTATAATTTTAAATTTGTGTACATTGCTACTTTTCTTGCACAGTAAAATGAACGTATATATATAATATTCTACCTTATCTTTAGGCAGAAATGTACAGCTTCAAGACAGAGTGGCATGGCATTGCATTCAGAATTGCTTTATATCTAGGTAGTTTGCGATTTGATTTTCAGCTGAGAAATAATCAATATTTCGAAATAATTAGATAAAGGAAATCATGTACGAAGATATGATATTTAAAATATTAAAATTGCAAATATAAAAACGTGACAAAATATTACAAATACATAAATAAATTTGAAACACATTTCCCCTTTTTGCTGCAGTTGGTTAAAAATTAAATCCTCCACCGTCAAAACTGATTGAAAACTTCTTAGAAATCAATTTTAGCAACTCTATTAACATCTAAGGGATGAAATGACACCGATATATAAATATTTAAATCGTGTAGCTTCCTACGAGTGAGTAAACTTTGGTTGATATAAATAGGGGCATCTTTGAATGTAAGGCACTTTAGCAGTCGAGCTCATCCTGTGAACATAGCAAAATGTTCAAAATAGCCGCCATTTTATCTTTGATGCTTATTGGTAAGTTTAATTCTATTCTTATATATATATATATATATATATATATATATATATATATATATATATATATTATAAGGCTTAAATGATTGTTTATGCTTTATTTGTTTGTTTTTTTTTCATTTGAAGAGAAGAATCTATACATATAATAAAATTCTTACTGAGTCGAATCTGTACATTAAATATTTTTTGGAAAATCTTACTGAAATAGACATTGCTATCGATACAGAGGCCGAATCTATAGTTTTTAGATTTTTTGTCTGTCTGTCTGTCTGTTACCGCATCACAGAAAAACCACTGGATGGATTTTGATGAAATTTGGTATGGTCAACATATAGGGTTTTTTATTTTTCATTTTTTACCGCGGGAAAATATCTCATTTCTGAGAAAAAATACAAAAACTGCAATGTAAGAGTATACTAATATGTAAGACGTAAGAATTTGGTTTTTGGTCATCTGAACGCGGGCGGAGCCGCGGGCAATGCTAGTATACATTAAAATTACAAATATACTTAATGTATACAAAACAAATGTACATTGGAATAGCAATGGCGATACTTTGGGCAAAAACTAGTTAGCTATCTTTTCACTAATATATATGATGTTATGTCTTTTAAGAAGTTTAAAACTTTAACTCCATGACCATGAGCGAAGGGTTTCCACTATAAACGTATGAAGATGTGCTTTTCTGTTACTTGAACGCACTCATATCTAGAACTGCTAGTCAGATTTGAAACATCGTCAGTCTATTTCGTATTTTATAGCCTACTAGCGACTCATTCTCACTTCGCTCGGGTTCGTCCTTTTTGATTTGGTTGATTCTCCATACAAACTTTCATCTCCATTTTCCGCCCCCTTAAGGGATGATTTCCGGAATAAAAAATATCCTATGTCCTTCCCAGGGTCTCAAACTATCTTAACAAATTTCATCTAAATCGGTCCAGTACTTTTATTTTTTCTTTCTCTTTGAGTTTATTCGGTACAAACATACAAAAATACAAATCTTTGATTGAGGAAGGATATAGGACTTATAACATATCGAGACCTTATAACATTACGAATATTAGGATTCATATGAAGCAATTATAAATAAAAAAAAACTATGCGAGCGGAGCCGCAGGGAACACTAGGTAATTAATAATTTTACTCTGCCCATTTTGATAGCTTTCTGTTGATACAGTGTATAATAAAACGTTGACTTCTTTTTTTTATTTTCAAGATTTAAGTGTATACAAAAATATAAGAAATATAATAAAATTTAAAGTTATATCGATTTTTTTTAATTAGGCTCTTGAAGTTAGGAATGTAACAGATGCAAAATTATTAATTTAAAAAAGGGTGTCTTTATGAATGCACTTTGTGGTTTCGTTTGCAATAATAACTCATACAAGGCAGTGGTAGCCACAGAGTTGTAAGTTGTAGTACATAAAGTTCTTAATCGCATCATTTTCTACCAAAGAGATCCTCTGAAGATATTCTTCATTATATTTTTCTTCTTCTTTCGCTTTATTCTATGCTAACGATAATAGAAAAACGCAAATTGTACGTGCATACGTAAATTATACATTTAAAAAATTGTAAATTTTCATAATATACCATTCTCATAATTCACTTTCTATTATCGATAATAATTATAGATAGACTTCTATTCTATTCTATTTGTCGTACTTGACAAAGATGGCGGCGCGGTTATTCTATAGTTTCACACGTCATGAGAAATTTTAAACGCGTTTAAAGTCACGGTTTTTATTTTGTTTTTTAATACTTATTGTATTTTTTTAATTTCTTATCTATTTCTGTGGGTACTTAATAGAGATAGATCATAGAATAGAATATTATTTTTCAATTTTAAATTTTGTAATTCTTTTTGTAGCTATGAAAACAAAATAGTTTATACTAAACTAGCGGATAACCCACACTTTGTTCGGAAAAAAATAAACAAATCTATCCCACGGGAACTGTAAATTTTTCCGAGATAAAAAGTAGCCTATGTGTTATTCCAGACTATAATCTATCTCTGTGCCAAATTTCATCCAGATCCGTTCAGCCGTTCTGGCATGATTGAGTAACAAACATCCAAACATCCATCTAGACTTTCACATTTATAATATTAGTAAGATTTAGAGAAACTTTTTTTAACATTATATATCATATTTTGGTAGCGACTTGGTCGCAGGCAGACTCTAGGCGGTTTAAAAGAGAAGCTGCATCTTCACCTGACTACGACACAGGTACATACTTACAATTAGACGAGATGATATTCTACAAACGATATCGCTAATAGAAAAACTGATATATGTTATTCTCATATATTTTTTAATTCTCTATTGACGATAGAAAGCCTTATTCCTAGTAAATAGAAAGCACGAAATGTTTTAGAATTTAAACTTTAGTAATGCATGTTAGCATGGACTTTAGTTAGAGATCAATTTAGGGTTTCATTTTATATTTACTTTTAAAATATGGTTCATTCAAGTAAACTATTATAAGGTTTTTAAATAAATTTATTACTTTTAAATTAAATGTGAAACCACCGGCTCGGACTCAACAGTTGTTCTTTTAAAAATAATATTTTTCTTTGCTATAATAGAATACAATAATACTATTCAATAAAAAAGAAAGTATAGTGAGAAAACCTGCGTGTATGACAGAATTTAATGTGTGAAGTTCACCTGCATTTGGTCCATATCTATGCCCAACAGTGGAATATAATATGAGTCAACATACTATAAATAAATACATATGTTGTGACATTAACACACAGCACCATCTAGTTCCATGGTAAGCTACGAGAGTTGTGTTATAGATACCGGATAGTTGATACACTACACATATTATATAACTTTAAATACATACATATTATAAATATAAACACCCGTGACTGGAGTACAAATTTTCATGCTCATTACACAAATGAATGCCCCCTGGGGGACTCGAACCCGCGACCGCTGGAACAGCAAGTAGGATCACTACAAACTGAGCCAAACGTGTCGTATCTTATAAATGCGAAAATAATTATGTTGGTACCTATGCGTTATTTTAATAGTTTAAATAATCTTTAACATGCTTTAGTAAATATTTTCATTCTACTTTTAATCCAACAAAATACGTAAGTAAAAAAAAATATGTTTCATGCTACGGAAACTTCGGTGAGCTAGACAGATTCGTTCTGGCTAGATTTTTTCTATTTGAAAAATTAAATAAAAAATAATTTTTAGGTATAAACATGTAAAATCTGAGATTTGGAACTTATAATCAACTTCAAAAAAAAGAGTTACTTAATTCGTTTATATTTTTTGTTATTTTGGATCGATTTGCAATTTTTTTTAACTATAGTTGTTGATGATGGTGGTGGAGGTGGTCATATAAAAAATCTAAATAAAATCCACTCTTTAAGATGGAATAAGTACTTGTAGTGATATGGAAGTTAGACCAACTTTATGGTTGTGTTGCATTTTTCTTAGTGTTTTAATTCCAATTTATTTATATATAACCATTATGCATGCACATAAATGTTTTTATGTATTCACTATTTCTAAATATCTTGTGTACATACATCTGTCTAGATATAAAATTGATATAGTATGTCTGTTTGTACCGTAATGTGTTTAAATGACTTGTTGGTCTATGGCTAGTAGACGTCGATAGTCGGCTGCAGACTTGTAGGTAGCGGGTTCGAGTCCCGGCTTGAGTCAAGTATTGGGTTTTCTGATACGAAATTCTAAGTAACAGTGGAATTATGAAATTAACGGTGTTACACCATCGTTCATTGTAGAGCACGTAAAGCCGTTGGACTTGATCTGTTACTGGTCTTGTCGAGTTGTTGTCTTAACGAATTTTTGGAGAGACAGGAATAGAGAGTGCACTTGCGTCTGCGCGTACACTTGTGCACTATAAAGTCTCCAGCGCAGATTCCTAACCTCATTGGCATTGACCGTCGATTTGTTTTTTTTTAATCTTCAACGGTCGTAGACTGACATTTTTTTAAGCCCCAAATTTTCAGAATCACCGACTGTCACCATTTTTGAGGACTTTTAATATTATTGGATTATAAATGAACTATTTTTTATTATATATTAATAAATATTTAGAAATAATAATAGTACTATTGATGTATTAACAGGCAGTACATTATGGGCAGCCAGCCTTTCATGCGACTCTTGTGGAAGTGAATGCGCCTCTGCGTGTGGTACACGTCATTTCAGATCTTGCTGTTTCAACTATCTGAGGAAGAAACGTGGACCTGACAATGTAAAGGTAGCTGATAATCAAAAAATATCGAGGACCTTTCTTTGAGGGTAGAAAGAAAAAATAATTAGCAATTGACTGTTAGCATCCCGTTTGATGTCAAAAACATCGTTGTCCCGAGTCTCATACTACTGGTTTTTTAATATACAGGGTCATTTTTAATTTACTGAAAACCTTTTGGGAATATACTATTTACAACATAACAAGAGCATCTGTAACAAGAAATATTTCTTAAATTTTTATTTTCAAACAAAAATAAAAATATTTTTTTTTGCACCTTCCAAACTTTAAAGTTCTAGCATCTGGCCAAGTTTAAATGAGTAAGCGCGGCTTCCTACACCCCTCCACCTTCACCGGACACGCACTTTCTTTTGCTTATTGCTGGACTATTACCGTTTAGAAGGTTCAATAAAAATATTTTTATTTTTGTTAAATTTAAGATATATTTATTTTCTTACAGATGTTGTTGTTATGTTGTAAATAGTGTATTCCCAAAAGGTTTTCATCAAATTAAAAATGACCCTGTATATGAATCATTTTCAGTATTATTATCACTTGTCTCGATGAATCAAAATATTGTGACGAAACCTGCATGTTTAAGGGAACCTAACTAGTTTTGGAAAGAGATTTGTAGTCCGCCAACTCGTACTTGGCCCGCGTTATAGATTAAGATCTGAACCACCTCATGGTGAAGGATAGGCTCGTGCCCAGCAGTGGGACGTTAAAAATTATAATTATTAAATTTATAAACGAAACCCTTTACATACAAAATCTTAACAGTTGTTCACGAGCCTGTTTAAAATTATTTTGCAGTTCCTATCTCAAAACACGCAAAATTGGAAGCCAGAGAACTTCGAGAAGACCAAGTTGCCAGTTGTTCTGATCGAAGACCTTGAGCCTTGGAATATTATGCCAAACGATTTTAAGCTATACCCATATGAAGATACGATTGAAAATAGATTACAAGCTATGTATGATGCTTAAACCCAAAATCTAAAAGGCTGCAATATTATATAATGTATATAGTCATTATAAGATTTATTATTATGAAAATGATCTAAATGAACGATCTTTAAGTAAACATATGTATCTATAAATAAATAGGCAACAGTCCAGTACCTTTTTTTCCTCTGTTCCATAACACTCGTAGCTTACCATGGAACTAGATGGTGCTGTGTGTTAATGTCCCAAAATTTATAAAAAAAAAGTATATACTAAAAATACAGGATTTGGACGAATGTGACATTTTTCAGTCAAAATATAACTTATATTATATAGTTTACTTTTGGATCGTAACATTTAAATGATTTATCTAAAATCTTTGATTCTATATCTCAATGGCTGGAAAGATATGAAATCTCAGATTTTTTGTTTATTTTATATGGGATATAATAAAAATAACTAATAAAGAATGATAACTAAAAATTTTCTTTTTATTTTCTGATTTGTTGGCACACTTCATTTTTGTCTAGATGTTTGAATGTTTGAATGTTTGTTACTCAATCACACTAGAACAGCTGAACGGATTTGGATGAAATTTGGCACAGAGATAGATTATAGTCTGAAATAGCACAAAGGCTACTTTTTAGCTCATTTAAGTTTTTTTTGATGCTAGTAATTCTAATTAAATCTTAAATCATAGAAAAGTCATATCTATACATTAATTTTTTTGCAATTGATATTACGTAATTTAAAAACACATGGCGGCACCTAGTGATGGTTTTCTACATTACACCTAACTAAATATTTGTAGAGTTGTTTTTATGTATAAATTAACGCTATTGATGTAGTTTTTTATGAGAGAAGCTATTTATAATTATTTTTTACCTATTTTGTAAGTTATCTTGCTAAAATGTTTATAGTTTTAGCGTGGTTTTATACCAGTTCGTTAGACAGACAGACAGACAGACAGACAGACAAAAATTCTAAAAACTATAGATTCAAATATTTAATTTACAGATTCGAATCAGTTTGTATATTTTTATATGTATGTATAGGTAAATTGTGTATATAATAAATTGTTGGGTTTGATTTACATAATTTAAAGTTTATTTTCTTCTTTTTGGAGCATTCAAATAAAAACTTTTTTATTTATCATACGGGGTTTTTGGTAATTCGACGTATTCCCGTTAGGAGGTGATATGGGTGACTATTTGCAATAATTTTAACCCTCATACGCATCATGCAAAAGGGAACCATTTTTGAGTTATCATGCTTTTAACTTTTTTCAAAATAAGTAAAAAATGCAACATAAATTAAAAAAAGTATCAATTTAAATCTCATTTTTTGTTGTTTTGTTTATACGAATTTCCGCTTGATTCCTTTGTGATCATTTTTTTTTCACTTTTTTTGACATACGTTCCTAGTTGTTATGCATTGTTGGAGAGCTAAGAAAACGGTTATGTTTTATAAATAATCTGCAATCGGCATTTTAGTGGAAAAAAATCTCAAAAAATATCGAAATAATATCATTTTTCGTCTCGCATTTTTAATTTTGGACTGATATTTGTTATTTTAATATTGATAAATAACCAGTGTTTAATCGTTTTTATAAAAAAAAAAAATAGCAATTACATTTAAATAAACTTTTTAAAAACTTGTTTTATTTTTTAACTTTCATCGGCACGGGATTCCATGATGAGGTTTATCTACAATTTAGCATTTGTATTCAGTCCTTTTGACGTCCCAATGCTGGGGTTGGTCCTTCAGTTTCACAAGTGGGATCAAGCCATAGTCCACCGCGCTGGCCTAGTGCGGGACGGAGCATGTCTCTCGACAACTTGCTAGGTTCTCTCAGACATGCAGGTTTCCTCACGATGTTTTCCTTCACCGTAACACAAGTGGAAAATGATTTATGTAAGTAGGTACATAAGCATTTAAAAATCTCGTAGAATCAAATCGAGCACTGATCGAGTATTTATCGTCACCTCCATTCTGTTTATATGTATTTAAATATTATAAAAACATGATAAAGAAGATAAGAATAATGTGTTGCCAGATATTTGCATATTAACAATAAAATAGATTTTTGCATAACGGAATCAGAATTATATAATCTATACATATAATAAAATTGTAACTAAGCCGAATCTGTACATTAAATATTTTTTGGAAAATCTTATTGAAATAGACATTATTATCGATACAGAGGCCGAATCTATAGTTTATAGAATTTTTGTCTATCTGTCTGTTACCGCATCATGGAAAAACCACTGGAGGGATTTTGATGGAATTTGGTATGACGATAGATGGTTATCCGGGTCGAAATACAGGATACTTTTTACCGCGGGAAAATATCTCATTTCTGAGAAAAAATACAGAAACCGCATTGTTAGAGTATACTAATATGTAAAATCTAAGAATTTGGTTTTTGGTCACCTGAACGCGGGCGGAGCCGCGGGCAATGCTAGTACTATATAAACTGCTAATATTTTTGTGATTTTCAAGAAGTATTTCCTTTGTGTATTCGTAGAGCCTATACCCTTCCTCAACTAATAGGTTTCAACAATCAATTATAATAACAATGAATAGATTTTCATAATACTTTCTTAGGTTTAAGCGAATTTAACATTCGAAACGTCGAAAAATTAAAATAAATCTGCGAAATAATCCCAAAAGATAGTTTTATTTCATTTAAATTAGCGCGTTCAAACAAAGTAACCAGACCTTTTGTAAATATATATATGTTTTACACATAATATCAGCACAGATAATATTATTTTTAACCGCAACACGAACATTTCATCAATTATACGTTGGCATTTAAATATGTAGTGTAAAAAAGAGCGAAATAGTGTGACTCTACATTTATTTTTTGTCTCTTTGTAATATTTACTAGCGTCGATTAATTTTGTATAATCACCCATATTTCGTAGGTCGTAGAGTTGAAATAGCCTAAAAATTCAAGATTAGTTCAAATTCGACCAATTAGTCCAGAGATTAGCACGTTTAAACAATATTTTTTTTAGTTTTATATGTATACTAGCATTGCTCGCGGCTCCGCCCGCGTTCTGATGACCATATCCCAAATTCTTAGATTTTACATATTAGTATACTCTTACATTGCACTTTTTGTATTTTTTCTCAGAAATGAGACATTTTCCCGCGCTAAAAAGTGTCCAATATGCTGACTCGGATAACCAGCTATCACCATACCAAATTTCATCAAAATCCCTCCATTGCTTTTTCTGTAATGCATTAACAGACAGACAAACAGAAATTCTAAAAACTATAGATTCAGCCTATATATCGATAGTAATGTCTATTTCAATAAGATTGTCCAAAAAATATTTAATGTACAGATTCGGCTTAGTTACAATTTTATTATATGTATAGATATAAATATTTGTATCCTTTATAGCGGGAGTCGAACCGAAATGATAACCTGATATAGAATTATTAAATTATTCAGTCGTTTAACTTATACCTAAAGATATGGACGTGATGTATTTTCCTTGTATTTCGAACTCGATTAAACTCGATACATTGTTACGAGACTTAATTATGTTCTCGAGCTATTTTTGTTACTGTGTAAAATGTAGTTATAAGTGATTAAAAATACGATTAAATGAAAAAAAAAAATCGAAAATATTTTGTTTTTTTCTGTGCTAATTAACTTTATTTGAATCGTTAATAATCTGTGGAAATATAAGTAATGAATATTTTTTATATATTATCTATATTGAAAATAAATTACCATGAGGCCGACAAACAAAAATCGCGATCGGTGTAAGTGAGACAGACGTGCGATACTTTTAATACTTTTTGTGAATAAAAAAGTTGTCTTTTTGGATTTTTTGTTATATTTTAAATTTGTAATTTAGTTTTAAGTGAAATTAACACAGCTTGGTAAGTTATTTAATATATAATTTAAATTATCATTTATATGGCAGCATTTACCTGCAAAAAATGCAACATTTTTAATAAGTTTCTAACGAAATTTTACTTCATTTATTAAAAAATTTGAATAAAAAGCCGTATGGTATGCAACAACTGTGATCACGTACGCCATATTTACATAGTAATTTGAACCTTATTGGATAAGAAGGTGTATTGAGCTTAAGATTCAAAATTTATTTGGTGGTACATAAGTTCCTGTGGTTTGGTTTTTCTTTACCAAATCTTAAACTTATGATTTTTTTTTAATTTTCTTTATTGTTCTGCTTTCATCAATTTTATTTCATAATTTTTGGAAACTTCTTCATTCATATATACTGTTTTTTATTACAAATTTAAATATACATGTATAGGTTTAAGTAAGTCTCTATAAACTCTAGTTTCTTACCTTTTTGAGTTATATTTAAAAAAAATAAGTGATTTTGATTATATTTCTGCTAATTTTTGTATTACTACAGTCGTATGATTAATTGTACTGCACGTGGTGATTTTATACACTGTATTACATATATACCTACCTATGTATTACATATGCACCTAAACATTTCTTTCTTCAGTTCTAATTTCTTACATTTTTGAGTTATATTTTAAACTAGCATTGCCCGCGGCTCCGCCCGCGTTCAGATTACCGAAAACCAAAATCTTGGGTTTTACATACTAGTATATTCTTACAAGGCAGTTTTCGTATTTTTTATCAGAAATGAGATATTTTCCCGCGGTAAAAAGTATCCTATATGTTGACCCGGATAACCAGCTATCACCATACCAAATTTCATGAAAATCTGTCCAGTGGTTTTTCCGTGATACGTTAACAGACAGCCAGACAAAAATTCTAAAAGCTGTAGATTCGGCCTCTATATCGATAATAATGTCTATTTCAATAAGATTTTTAAAAAAAATATTTATTATACAGATTATTAATTTAAGAAAATTAATGACTTTGATTAAGCTTTTGTTACTTTTTGTATTACTGCAGTCGTATCAATTGTATTGCACGTGGTGATTATATACACCATGCACCGTTTATTTCTTCGAAACTTGTGATGTAATTTGGAAGAAACGCGAATAATTTTGCATATGAAAATATATTTCTTATTTATACATTATATATTTCTTGGAAAATCTTATTGAAATAGTCATTAATATCGATACAGAGGCCGAATCTATAGTTTTTAGAATTTTTGTCAATCTGTTTGTCTGTGACCGCATCGCGAGAAAACCACTTTACAGATTTTGATCGAATTTGGTATGATGATAGCTGGTTATCCGGGTTAACATATAGGATACTTTTGACTGCGGGAAAATATCTCATCTCCGAGAAATCTATACTAAACGTTAAAATGTAAGTAGGAACCAACACGAGCGGAGCGAGGGTGAGTCGCTAGTATACTATATATATTTAAACCTAACTAACATAACTAATTGAAAATATGTTAAATGTAACCATTACGACTTATATTACTAAAAATGACGCCTCCAGGTAAATATCTAAGAAATCTATTGTTAACTGTAACGCCGGCGTGTCCGCGGTCGTGGAGGGAATATTATTATAAATATAAACACCCACGACTGGAGTAAAAACATTCGCGCTCATCACACAAATGAATACCCCCAGCGGGACCCGAAAAGCTAAGCGTGTCGTCGTACGTTGTATTATATCTTTCAAATGTGTCTAAATAAAAAAAAAACAACAAAAACATGCGGCCAAGAGCTTTATCACAACTAGCATTTACCGAGGGTCTGCCGGCGTCGTACAATTTTGTAGAATTTCAACATATAGGACACAAAAAAAAAACCAAATCGGACCACTAGAACCAGAGATTAGCGCGTTGAAACAAAAAGTGATCGGCTTTATACATACATATATTATTAGCGGTGTCGATAGACGTCCTGCCCGAATATGGTCTTCACCTACCGGGTCAAGTTGCAAATCTAAACCATCCAAAAATCTATTCAAACATACACAATTTTTTTTATCAAAATCGGTCCAGCCGCTTAGGAGGGCATCCGTGACATACAAACGTACAGAAGAATTATATATACATATGTATATATAAAGATTAGTATTAGTATAGATATGCCTGAAAAACATTATTTCACAAAAAACGTACGGAGGAGAGCTTTACTTGCTATAGGTACATATATAGATAACATATCGCACATCGTCGACGGCGTGTGCGCAAGCGCAACGCTCTCTTATTGAAACAACACACTCGTTCCCTATAATTGATTCATACAAAAGTACTTAGATTTTTTAACTCTAAGACATCGTTACAGCACATATTTGCAGTTTTTTTTTTATTTTACCAAAAAAATATACGACAAGGAACTTTACTCGCTATTAGTATCCATATGTACATGTTATATAGATATCATATCGCACGTCGTCGACGGCGTGTGCGTTCTTTTTTTTTTTTGTTTTATACCACGTCGGTGGCAATCAGGCTTGCGGCCCGCCTTATGGTAAGCGGTTACCGCAGCCTATGGACGGCTGCAACACCTGGGGCATCACATGCGCGTTGCCGACCCTTTAAAAACCTATTTACTCCCCTTTTGAAGGACCCCATACTGTAGCCCTCTGGGAAAACCTCGGCAGGGAGTTCATTCCACAGCGAGATGGTCCGTGGGAGAAAGTTCCTCTGAACTACACCACCGAGGCTGTTGTTGTGTTGTTATATGTATATAGATATCATATTGCACGTTGTCGACGGCGTGTGCGCAAGCGCTGTCTTTCTTACTGCTGAAACAATACACTCACCTATAATTGATTCTTACTAAAGTACTTTAATTTACATCGTTATAACACATATTTGAAGATTTTTTTTTATTTTTCACGTTTATGAGGACATAATTTATTATATATAATATACTCTCCTTTATTCTTTATTTTTATTTTATTTCATGATTATTGCTAGTTTTAGTATTTTTTTTTGTTGTTTAGTTTTTGAGTCTAGTGCAGCCATACTCAACCTTTTTTTATAGGAGCCACAAACACGTTTCAGTCATGGTGTCGAGGGCCGAAAGCAAAAATTATTTAGGTCTTAATGAAAACGTAATTCCAAGTTAACGATCTAGTTACTTTTTTAACAAAGATATGTTATAATGCGATTATTGATGCTGCCGCATGCGGCCCGCGGGCCGCAGGTCGAGTATAGCTGGTCTAGTATATATATATATATATATATATATAGTATATATATATATAGTGGTAGTGTATAACGTCGGCATCGAACATACATAGTTTTTGTGTTCCAGATGTTCTCTTTTTGTATAAATGACCTTGATGGCTCAAGTTTTTTAAGCCACCTAACCTAACTATACTACATCGGTTTTTAATTTTTGATTCAGTTTCAGACATTATTAATTACTAGCATTGCCCGCGGCTCCGCCCGCGTTCAGATGACCGAAAACGAAACTCTTAGATTTTACATAGTATATTCTTACACTACAGTTTTGTATTTTTGCTCAGAAATAAGATATTTTCCCGCGGTAAAAAGTATCCTATATGTTGACCCGGATATCCAGCTATCATCATACCAAATTTCATCAAAAGCCCTTCAATGGTTTTTCCGTGATGCGGTAACAGACAGACAGACAGGCCAAAAAAAGTTCTAAAAACTATAAATTCGGCCTCTGTATCGATAATAATATCTATTGCTATGAGATTTTCCAAAAAATATTTAATGTACAGATTCGACTTAGAATTTCATTATTATATGTATATATATATACAAGAATTGCTCGTTTAAATATATTACATTAAGAGTAGTATCATTGTGAGTAGAAAATTGAAAAATGACAAAAATGTACAAAAAAGGCGAAACACTCTCTTTTTCGGAAATAATTGCTTTGACTTACTAATTTTCATGTAATTATATTATCAATGACCAAAGTCAATTTTCACTTTACCGTAAGTCAAGTGGTAATTATGTTGGACGTGATTGGCATATGAAAATATCATTGGTGACCCGGGATTTGAACCCGCTTCACTCGGTTTCTCAAGCGAGCTTGTTACCACTGGGCTACCATTGTTATCTGCTAGTCACATCTTTAAAATTTAGCTCATTTGATTAGTTTTAATGAGTCCTATGTATATAATTCCAAAACTGTAATTATTTATGAAATTAATTTTCATTTCAGATGGATTTCAAAAATTCTAAAAAGCTTCTTCCGGATAAGGGCAGAGAAAACAGAGAGATACGAGTTAGGGGTGACAGAGTCGACATCAATTCAAATGAGGTCAGTATCATTTGATTAGTTTTGGCAAGTCCTAAGTATATAATACGGTTAACCAAAAGGTTTGTAATTTTATCTATTCCAAAACTATAATTATTTATGAAATTAATTTTTATTGCAGATGAATTCCAAAAATTCTGGAAGGCTTCTTCCGGATAAGGGCAGAGAAAACAGAGATATACAACTTTTGAATGACAGGGTCGGCATTAATTCAAATGAGGTGAGCATACCGTGTTTATTTATTTTATAGCACTATTTCCTGACGTTTCTTGTATTTTTTTGTATTTTTGAGATCATTGTATACTTAATTTTGTGCGGAGGCACTGTCTGTAACAACTGTAAATAACCTTTAATCCCTCAACGACCGCGGACACGCCGGCGTTAGGTTAGCAATAGATTTCTTAGAAATTTAATTGTATGTATGTATGTGTTCAGCCCTTTTTAACGTCCCACTGCTGGGCACGAACTTCCCTTCAATACGGGTGCGGGTTGGCGGACTTCACGTGTCTTTCGAACACTTGCTAAGTTCTCTAAGACATGCAGGTTTCCTCACGATGTTTTCCTTCACCGTTAAGACAAGTGGTAATCATGTTGGAAATGATTCGCACAAGAAAATATCAGAGGTGCGAGACCCGGGATTTGAACTCGCTTCACTCGGTTTCCCAAGCGAGCGCGTTACCACTGGGTGACCACTGCCTTAAATTTATTTATTTCTTAAAAATGTACCTGGAGATGTTAAGATGTCTAAAACCTTAGTCTCTCCCGTGACCATGTGTGCTGTAAAGCAATCGAAACGTCGGGAACCAAATATTAAAATAAACCCGCGAAAACTCTGAAAACATAGTTTTATTTAAAACTAGCGACTTACCCTTGCTTTACTCGATGCGTCCCTAAGTAAGTTTTATTTTTTTTGAGCGGAACCCTAATTCTTTTTCTAAAATTTAAGTAGCCTAAGTTACTCGTTATAACATCAGCTATCTGCCAGTGAAAGTTTCGTAAAAATCAGTTCAGCTGTTGCGGAGATTAGCTGGAACAAACAGAGAGACATACATTTTAGTTTTTTCTCTCCACACAAAAAATCACACCAATCCGTCACTTTGTTTCGACGTGAAAGAAGGATAAACAAACAAACACATTTTCACATTTATAATATTAGTATAGATAACCGGGCGCGTCCCCAGGTGGCGGATAGGGGAATGCCACCCGCTTAGGGCGGCGGGTGGTACCGGAGAAATCCGGCGCGGACCAAATGGCTTGGGTGGGGCCGCTCGTCTAGGCCTCGAGCCGAAGACGTTGCGGCCACCGGTGGTGGGACCGCTTGGTCCCACAACCGGATGATGGGTGCCGGTTGCGGGACTGTGGTCGCAGGCCCGCATCCGGCGGAGGGGTAGGCCGCGGCGGGAGAGGAGTGCCGGTATTTCGGTGCGCCGTTCTCCCTACCTTCCGCGGCCTAGACGGGGCCGCCACCGTTTGATGGCGGACGCGGTGGGGCTGCAGGGGAAGAGGAGTGTCGGTGTTTCGTTGCCGCTCTCCCTGTCCTCTGCAGCCGATTGGAGGTGGCCCACTTTGGTGGGCGGTGGTCAGGTTTAATGGGGCTGCTCCGGGTACCTCTCTGGCGTAGCAGAGTTGACTGTGGAGCAGCCCCATTGGTTTGGTGGTCTGCCTAGCGCTTAGGCAGACCTGCCGCCGGGGCGCCGTAGTAGTTATGCGCAAGCGATCCTGCGGCGTCCCATTAAGGCGGAGGGGAGGGGAATGTCGGGTTTTAGTGGGTAGTACCGGCTCTTCTAGCCGGTGAGCCCCACATCACCACCTGGGGGATCAGGTGGTATGCGTAAATGCATTTCCCGACATAAAAAAAAAAAAAAAAAAAAGTATAGATAACATGAATTATTTTGTTCTTTGCAGAATCTACTAGCAAGAGATGTAACACGCGCGCAAGATGCGAGAAGAATTTCTAAATGTACCATATTTTATATAATTTCGATTATACTTTCAAGCTCAGCACTGATCGTGCTAGGTGTACGTCTATATCATTTAACATGTGAGTATGTTAAGTTTTTTTTAATTATCTAAATCTACTAAAAGACTTATCATCCTCGTCTTAGTAATAATACTAATAGTAATTAGCCATTGAACAGTTCCACCTTCTGGCCTTATCATCAGATCAGGTTGACGGTACCGAATCAAAGCATTATCAACGGCACTAGAAACACTTGCAAAGTTTCAAGTCAATATGACAATTAGAAGAAAGTTAAATTTTCTTTCGCTATTTTTCCACCCTCAGGAGTCGTTTTTTTTCAAATTTAAATGGGACCAAACTAGAAGTATACACTTTCAAACAGGACAAAAAAGTGCACTCTCTATTCCTGTCACTCCCATACTCTGGTGGGACGACCAGTGAGAGTTAAGGCGCAGGACCGACGGCTTTACGTGCTCTCCGAGGCACGGGGGTGAAACACCTCCAACTTCCCAACTCCGGGCTGTTACTGAGAATTACTATACAGAAGGACTCAATAACTATAATTGGCCCGACCCGGGACTCGAACCCAGGACCTCCGAGTGTGCAGCCGTACATGCTAGCCACTACACTACCGAGGCAGTTAAAAAGTCATCTATTACTGTTTTGATCATTTAGTTATAATAAAGAAATGTCTACCTATACTTATGCTCATTAAATGCCTTCAGCTGTTCTCGAGATACAAGCGTTGCACAAACAGAATGATGGACTGATATACAAAAAAATACATATTATTGTACAATTTTAATCGTATTATACGTATACATTTACAGCATTGCCTGAGTATTCTAAAAGTCCTGAGTCATCTAAAGACGTAAATGAAGTGGTAAGTCATCTTTTAAACTAAATGAAATCTATACTACATATATAAAAGTATAAATGTTACATACAAAACTAGCATTGCCCGCGGCCCCGCCCGCGTTCAGATGACCAAAAACTAAAATCTTAGGTTTTACATATTAGTATACTCTTACATTGCAGTTTTTGTTAGTTTTTCTCAGAAATGAAATATTTTCCCGCGGTAAGAAGTAATTGAAGTTCGCTGACAAAGCCGTGGGAAAATGCTACTTTACGTATACATAATATATAATTTATGTAATGAATTTTTCAGATAAAAGGTTGGACCAACAATGAAACGATACCAGATTTGAAGTCTAGACTGTGGGGGACTCACAATAAGTAAGTTATAAGGATATTGGATTGACTCTTCAAATCACATTACTATCATAAATGAGAAAGTTTGTATGTATGTAAATAAAAAATTTAAAAACCCCCTACGCACAAAATACTTATAGTTTAAGGATCATCAACCCTTAAAAAATAAAAAACTTAATCGAGCATATCATACGTCGAAATGCCTTACTTACATCATTTTGGAAAAGAGCTGTTACTCTTACACTGCTGGACCGATATTATCCAAACATAGCTAAGAACTATCGCAAAGAAACTGGCTTTAAAATAAAAAAAAAATCGCATCGAAATCAAATCGCAGACAGACACACACACACACACACACACACACACACACACACACACACACATACACAGACAGACAGACATCGACGTCAAACATAACACCCCTCTTTCTGCGTCGGGGGTTAAAAAATAAAATTAGTTCCAATATATCGCTCGGCTAGACTGCCGGACGCTAATGAGCACTCCCACCAAGACAAGGTGAACGCATATTGGGGGAGAGGGGGAGGGATGGGGGCGATAGGGGGGGGGTGTTTCCTCATATATGATATTCTCATATATTCCATAAATAATTGATGTAATTTTGTTTACAGCGATGCGGTGAATAGTAATGGCACTAGCAGCATCGGTCTCATAGAAGAATCTCATTGCAAGCCCATCCACAACAATGTCACTAAGCCTTTCAGAAAATCTCTACAAAGTAAGATTTCGATGAATTTATTTATTACGAACCCACTAGCAGTAAATAACACCATATTTTTTCAATATTTGACTCATTTTTTTTTAATTTTATCCTGCTGCGTTAAAGTTTAAAATGAATATTCTGTGTGTGTGTGTGTGTGTTCACTTTTTATGTAGGTACTTAGGGATTGAATGTGTGTGCGTGTGTGCAGTGCCGGATTTCACCTTAGCGAATCCCCTGGGCTTAGTAAAAAATGCCGCCCAATTATCGAACTTTTGCATAATATGGGTAAAGTTTCGATAAAGTATATTTTTTTTAAATATATTTTTTTTAGAAAAATGCAAAAAAAGAATTATTTCAATTTTTCGAAAAATGTAGTAGTTAATTTTTTTTTAATTATTATGGTTTTTGAAAATAAAAAAAGATTTTTCCCCACCCTCTGAATTTTGGCGAATCTAAAAATTTGCCGCCCTGGGCACTAGCCCTGAGTGCCCCTAGTGTAAAGCGCTGCGTGTGTGTGCGTGTGTGCTGGCGTGCGTTTGTGCGTATCCGTGTGACTAGTTGCGTGTATACGGTATACATATATAAAGAAAGCTGCACTGATTTTGATGGACTCTCACTGGCAGTTTGCTGATGTTATTACGAGTAATTTAGGCTACTTTTATTAAAGAAAAAGGTCATATTTTTTGTTCGGGATCCGTCCAAAAAAATTTAAACCTATGAAATTATGACCAAATTCTTAAATTTAGTTATCCATACTAATTTTATAATTACAAATGTGAAGGTTTGTGAAAATGGTTGGATGGATGTTTGTTACTCAATCAAGCCAGAACGGCTAAACGGATCTGGATGAAATTTGGCACAGAGATAGATTAAATGAAGCATTTTCCCGCGGTAAAAAGTATTCTATATGTTGACCCGGATAACCAGCTATCACCATACCAAATTTCATCAAAATCCCTCCAGTGGTTTTTCTGTGATGCGGTAACAGACAGACAGATAAACAGACAGGCAAAAATTCTAACAACTATAGATTCGGCCTCTGTATCGCTAATAATGTTTATTTCAATAAGATTTTCCAAAAAATATTTAATGTACAGATTCGGCTTAGTTACAATTTTATTATATGTATAGATGAAAGTTATAAATTTTTTACAGAATGTCTGGAATATCAAAGCAGATACGTATATCCGTGTCGGGAGAGTGCGACGCCCAATGAAGGAATGGTCCGGTTGAACCACTGCAACTGGAGGCCGGAGGGTTTGATAATTGACGGAGAAAATGCTTATTTCGGAGAGTTTCCTCATATGGTAAGTTTCACGAAATTCGAATAAACATTAAATCCCAGTTATGCTTTTATCAGTTCAACTTTATATTTTTTGTAATTTCATATCAATATATTCGTAAATAGATTAGAAGATATGTAAGTATTTTTAATAGAGACTGTTTTACAATGGAGCTTGTATAGTATACGCGCGCGTACACACGAAAGAGTCCAGAGTGGCGTACAAGAGACATGATGGCAAGACAGCGTCATGCTGTTTGCCGTCACGCCATACGAGGCGTTTTACTGCCGGGATGGGACGCGCCTATATATATTTTCTCCTTCAAAGGGAAGAGAAGTAATAAGTGATTTGGTCACAGGTTCTTCTCGGGTACGACACAGTGGGTGATGATGACGGAAAATGGAAATGTGGTGGGGTTTTGCTCAGTGAGAAGTTTGTGTTGACTGCGGCTCACTGCACGTCTACTGAGAGGTGAGAGGGAATATGTTAAAAACACTAATTAAATTATAGGCAGTGGTAACGCGCTCCCTTGGGAAATCGAGTTAAGCGGATTTAAATCGCGGGTTTGACATATCTGATATTTTCAGATGCAAAAGCAAAATAAAACTGATGAAAAATCAAATTAGAATGTGGCTGGTGCGTTGCATAACCTGAATGGCATAACCTTAAACTGTTACAATCCCTTCTCAGGTGGAAATGCAGTCTTCTCCTAATCCATGGGATCTTGGTCCACCTGCCAATATTTACTCTTCAATTTATTATAGACTAGCGACTCACCCTCGCTTCGCTCGGGTTCGTCACTAGATTAGCTTCCCATACAAAGTTCCATGCCCATTTTCAGCCCTTTAGGGATGATTTCCGGGATAAAAAGTATCCTATGTCCTTTCCAGAGTCTCAAACTTTCTTCTTACCAAATTTCATCTAAATCGATTTAGTAAATCCAGAGATTACCCTCTACAACGTCACAAACTCACAAACTTTACCTCTTTATAATATTAGGATAGATATACATTTAATATCTCCTCTTTACAATATTAGTATAGATATACTTAACTGCCTCGGTAGTGTAGTGGCTAGCATATACGGCTGTACACTCGGAGGTCCTGGGTTCGAGTCCCGGATCGGGCTAAGTTTAGTTATTGAGTCTTTCTGTATAGTAAGTCTCAGTAACAGCCCGGAGTTGGGAAGTTCGCGGTGTTTCACCCCCGTGCCTCGGAGAGCACGTGTCGCGTCGGTCCTGCGCCTTAACTCTCACTGGTCATGTCGAGCAGTCATCCCACCGGAGTATGAGAGTGACAGGAATAGAGAGTGCACGTTGTGTCTGCGCGTACACTTGTGGACTATAATATCTCCTGCGCAGTTGGCTAGTCTCAATGAGATTGGCCGCCGTAGCCGGAATCGGCTAGGAGAACATCATAGATATACAATTATAGAATTAGAAAATAAAGAAACATTTCATGGCTGTCATGGTTTGTAGGGCTGATGCATTGTCTATTCGGGACAGAGGAAAACTAATGTCTATAGCTTTAGAGTGTCAAATTATTTTTAAATATTTATTTAATTATTCTTATTTTACGTATAATCTAATCAAAGCTATTTAATCACTATTTAAATCAATTGCGATTCGAAGAAACAATAAATCAAGTCCAGTATAACAACAAAGAAAATGACTAATAAATAAATTTAAATTTGCAGGAAAGAAGTAAAATATATCAGAATTGGAATTTTATTCAGAAACCAAACAAAAACTCCAACAAATATGTATACTGTGAAGCGAATATACAGACACCCACGTTACAGGTCACCATATCATTATCACGACATTGCCCTTTTGGAGATGAATGAAGTGTGAGTATTGTGAAACTATTTTATAGCTCCTTTTCCGTTTTACTTTGATTATTGATCGTTTTATTTCACGTCGAAACGGCTTGACGGATTGGCGTGTTTTTTGTGTGGAGATAGATGGAGGGCTGGAGAGTAATATAGGCTACGTTTTACCGCGGAAGATTATCTCTTTCCCACGACAAAACACGTTATAATACAATCCAAAAAATATTTATGATCAGAATTACTTGAAACTTAATACAATTAATTAAATACGGGTCTTACACCCGATTTCATCAACAACCCAAAAGCTACCACCTACGTATGGGATCCCTAGCTTAAAATTCCCCTAAACTAGCCCCTAAATTAAATTTCGTTTTACCATCGTCTTTAAGTCCATATTTCGAGCATCTAAATTTAGGGGGTCTTTTAACATTTAGTTGGCCATTAACTGTCGGTGAAACAGAAACTGTCCCCTAACAGCCCCCTAATCATGCTTAGGGTATCCCTTAAACTTAGGTGACGTTGGTGAAATCAGGCATTAGCATTTTTCTAAACTCATCCCATAAGGGGGTAAAATAGCGGATGAAAGTTTGTATGAAATCTACCATTTTAGAGATTTTAACTGCTACGCCCCGACCACAATAACCATGGGGTTGCTCCACAGTCCACTCTGCTATCAGAGAATACTAGGAGCAACCCGCATGGTACACCGCCCATCGAAGTAGGCCACCTCTCTGTGCGTTAGCTTCGCACCCGGCTGTATTGCCAGGCACTACTGAGCACCCCCACCACGACAAGGTGAACGCATGTTTCGGGGGTTGTTCTCCTTACCTCTACCCTTCTTAGTAGCTAGGGACGCACCCGAGCGAAGCAAGGGTAAGTTGCTAGTTATAAATATTTTAATATTTTTTACAGTATGCAGTTAGATCGATACGCTTTGCCAGCTTGTCTGCACGACGGCAGCCGCATAGATGACTCGGTCGTCATCGCCACTGGTTGGGGCACTACTGAGATAAGGAAGCATTCCTATCCGCTCTACCTACAGAAGGTAATTACACTACTATTAAAAATATGCAAATATGTAAGTGTATGTATGTATATGTATGTTTGTTACTTCTTCAATCTTGAACGGTTGAACGGATTTGGATGAAATTTACTGCACAGAAGAAATGTCTTTTTAACGTCCCACTGCTGGGCTCGGGCCTCTCGTCAGTACGAGGGAATCAGTCATACTCATGGCCTTCACGCTGGCAAAGTGAGAGTTGGCGGACTTCACATGTTTTTCGTAAGCTTGCTAGGTTTTCTCAGACATGCAGGTTTCCTCACGATGTTTTCCTTTACCGTAAGACAAGTTGTAATCATGTTAAAAAGTACACAAGGTTTTATATTTTACTTTTTTGTTTTTAGGTTACCTTAGAAAAGTACTCAGATGAATATTGTGGCCATCGATACCGAAACTCAATGCGCCGTTTAAATCGCGGCTATGACAAACGTACTCAAGTGTGCTATGGAGATAAACATTCTTCTCGTGATACTTGTGAAGTAAGTATAGGCCCAGTTCGAGAGTGGTGCTGTTAGCGTCGCCGAGTCCAGGAGTTAGTGCAAAGCACGAGGGGAGAATGTCGGCGACGGAAAACTTATCTTCGAGTAACGTGTGTATTAATATAGGGACAATGTCATTTTAGCGTATTATGAATAATTGTTGTAAATATGAAATCTCATTCTTATTAGATTTATTATGTTAAAATAAGTTCTAATTAGTGTAATAAGGTTAGTTTAGAGTATTTTTTGCTTATTTGAATCATATAAGACTATTTAACATTAATTTGAAAGGAATAGGTACGTAAGTAAAATGTTAGCATATAATTACGTAACTTGAAAATGAGATTTTTTGTTTCTTGCAATAGCATAATAGTTTATGTTTTAAATAATAGATTTTATTATAAAACTTATAATAAAACAAGAATTAGGTCGATAGGACTATCCGTTCAAAAGTTATAAGGGAAAATGTATAGTAAAAATGTAGCAACCTAGAAATTTAGATATTTTTGTTTTAAGATTTTTTAATTAATTATTATATATTGAATATTATGTTTTAATATTGTATAATAGTATGTAAGGCATGTAAATAAATAAATATGTGTAAGGTGTTTTACTGAAAACATAAAATAAAAGGACTCTCAAGGTTTCGGTTTAGGGAAATTTTACTCGAAAAATGAGCTCAAAGTACGCGGCTCTCTGTAAGGTATTAACGGGCCAAATAAAAGGCGAGCCATTTCTCGATTCGAGTCAGTCGCAAGACAGCCACCGAAGAGGCAACAACTAAAAGGAAAAGGAAGAACCGAAACCAAGAGAGAAAAAAGGAAAAATTGTGTTTTATTTCATCGCCTCTAAGTATAGTCTCCTGTCAACGAAGAAACCCTAGTGGATCGGGACCCAAGCTACGCATTCAGGGGTGCGTGGTGGCGTACATTACCAGCGAACGGACATACTGCCGTGTACGCCAAGAACGTCTGGGAGATTGTCCCAGGTCGACCTCCGGGTACTAGACATACCCTGGTTCTGGTCGTCCGAAACAAGTATAGTAATCTTTTTTTACTGCTTTAGTGGTCTAGTGGCTAGTACAGACGGCTGTATATCTGGGGGTCCTAAGTCGAGTCATACCAAGTTTTGGTAGTGAGTCTTTTGTTAAGAAGTAACAGCCCGGAGTTGGGAAGTTGGCAGTGTTTCTGAGTAAGATCAAACGATTAATTTGAATATCCAAAAAAAAAACAACTGTTTATTTATAGTTTTAAGTTTTCACTTCTGTCGGCAGTCCTCATGACTGCTTTTTTTTGTTGTTTATTGTTGGATTATCTCAAGACTAAATCGTAAAACAAACTGTTAGTAACAAATTTCCGACGCACCGTTTTGACATATTACGTATCAAGCCACAATTGTATCTACCAATATCAAATTCTCGTAGGAAGAACAGTTGGGCGTCTCGCCAAAATGAAGCTACTCACGAAATTTTAGCTTGTTATATTAATCACTAACGACTCACCCTCGCTTCGCTCTGGTTTGTCCCTAGCTTATACAAACTTTCATCCCCATTTTCACCCCCTTAAGGGATGATTTCTGGGATAAAAAGTATCCTATGTCCTTCCCAGGGACTCAAACTATCCTTTTACTAAATTTCATCTAAATCGCTAAATATTCAGTAGATCCAGAGATCCCACAAATGCAATGTCACAAACTCTCAAACACACAATCTCACAAACTTTACTTCTTTATAATATTAGTATAGATTAAAAAAATCTGTTGTTGACTGAAGACTAATTATTTCTACGACTAAAAACTCAGTATGAGCTTGAAGATTTATTTATAAGATTAAGTTTTTAACCATCAACGTTGTTTTAGGGTTCCGTCAAAAGGCTAAAGCGGAGTTCTTATAATTATCATGTCTAGTATAATTACATAATAATAACTTTTCTTAATGTTAGTTTGTCGCGAAACAGGGATGTGTTACCGCTAGGTAGTTTATATATACATAAACTAAGAGAGAGAGAGAGAGAAAGAGATAGTTCCACAAGTACATAATTAAGGTAAATAATTATCTGTCCGTATGTTATTGATGTTGTTTTATTTTTATTTTAGGGAGACAGCGGAGGTCCAACTCAAATAAAACACCCTCAAGTGAAATGCATGTACCTGATAACTAGTATTATTAGCTTTGGCAAGTGGTGCGGCGACTCATCCTCTCCCGGGCTGTACACCCGAGTGGCGCATTACCTGGACTGGATAGAGTCCATCGTGTGGACCGACTGATTCAAATAACACCAAAATTGGACCGAAAGAATCATTTCTTATATATACGCGAATATTTAACATTTCAAATAAAACTATTTTTTCGGATTTATTTTGATTTTTGGTTCTTGACGTTTCGAATGCTTTACAAAAATACAAAATTGACACCAAAGTACCTTTAAATTTTAAACATTTTTATAAATTCAATAAGTTTTATAATTGAATATGAAAATATTATTTATTTATTTTTTTAGCTTTTTTGAAAACTTTATTAATTATTAATTTTATTTAGTGTTGCTATTAAGATATTTATAAACATAAAGAAAATTAAAAGATATTAATTACTTAAGCAATATAATTGTTCCATATTATAAAAAAATATATTTATTTTAATGGACTGAATGAACATCGTTGACAATCGATGGTGATCCCAAAATAGATATCCTATCGGGTGTCAACCCCCTATTTTATTTTTAATTTTTTTAATGTACAATGTGTTTCATATTTATTGTTCGAATAAATTTTATAAACAAGTGTGTTTTTTTTAGAAAAATTAACCTTATTAGGATATGTATGTTAATTACGTAATGCTTATGAGTTTGTTGGTTCGTTTCTGGCAATTTCTAGTTCATTTAAATTTTAGATAAAGAGTAGGAAGGTATATGAGTAATTAATGGCTTACACTTGCTTCGCTCGAGTGCAGCCTTAGGTGTTTTTTGCATTTATAATAAACCCCACCACTCGCTTCCCTTGATCTTCATTATTATAAATTACTAGAAGGATTCGCTCGCGCTAAATCTATAGTAAAACTCTAAAAAAATAAGTTTCATACAAACTTTCATCACCTATTTTACTCCCTTATAACACGAATGTCGAAAAATTCTGTAAACATGTATTTATTTAATTGTATTAAAGAGTATTAATACCAAGTCTCACGTAATTCTGATCATAAATATATTTTTAGTTGTATTATAACGTTTTCTCATGGGATTTAGATTATCTCCCGCGGTAAAAAGTAGCCTATATCACTACTCTCCAGCCCTCCAATTATCTCGACACAAAAAATCACGTCAATCCGTCACTCCGTTTCGACGTGAAAGAAAGACAAATAAACGAACAAATACACTTTCACATTTTTAATATTATTTATTTATTTATTTATTCATTTATTCGTTTATTCGTTTATTCGTTTATTCATTTATTTATTTATGTACCATAAAATATATGTTATACAAAATAAAGTAACAAAATGTTGACAAAGGATAACTTATCTCTTTAAGAGATTTCTTCTAGAATATTAATATGGATTACTATATATTTGCTACTAGCGACTTACACTCGCTTAGCTCGGGTGCGTACCTATGTACATTTTGATTTTTTTAAACGTAACCCTAATTTTTTTTCTAAAATCAAGTAGCTTAATTTACTCCTTACAACATCAGCTATCTCCCAGTGAAAATCCCGTCAAAATCAGTCCAGCCGTTTCGGAGATTAGCTGGAACAAACGGACAGAGAAACAAATTAAAAAAAATGTATTTTTCTTATAAGTACTGTATACAATTCCATATGCATTTAGTATAAAGCTGTGATTTTGACACATATTACAAACAGAAAATTCAATTTTATTTATCTGTATAGAAGATAAATATAATATGCTAGAATATATAACTTATTTTTATGTTTCTAGCTCTCATACTCTTATTTCACCCCTTTCAAGTTTTATTATCGCCAAAAAAGCAGCTTGCACCTTTCTCCAAAGTCCCATCTATTTTTATACTAAAATTCATTAGAATTGTGTGAAAACGAAACAGACAGACATATCGACAGTTACTTTCACATTTATAATATTAGGATGAATATACCTACATACATATTTATGTGAGCTTTAAAAACATAATAATAAGAGTTTGTACCTTTTTTTATTGTTTATAAAACATCCCTTACGGGTGACGTTACTGGAGATCGTTGATGGTCAAAACAAATCATAAAACACACATATTTATTTAATTTTACTAAACTTTAATACACACATATTTATTTAATTTTATTGAAGAGCATTAATGCCAAAATTAAAGTAATTCTGATCATAATTTTTTTTTTGGATTGTATTATATAACGTGTTTTCCGTGAGAATTAGAACTATCTCCACACAAAAAATTACGTCAATCCGTCTTTCCGTTTCAACGTGAAAGAAGGACAAACAAACAAAATAACAAACACACATTCACATTTATAATATTAGTATGGATAGATAATATTTTGACATAGACCCCGCTTCCTTCTGACATTTCAATCATTTTCCTTATATAGCATTAATGAATTTTCTATGTAACAAAACTATTGAGTATTAGTATATGTCCGTAATGGTAATGACATAACGCACTTAGTAAATACTGACGATGTTAGAAATAAAATCGGTCAAGTACGAGTCTGACTAACATATTGAGTATAGGTATCGTGATATGTATACCTACATATAATAAAATTGTAACTAAGCCGAAACTGTACATTGAATATTTTTTAGAAAATCTTATTGAAATAGACTTTATTATCGATACAGAGGCCGAATCTATAGTTTTTAAAATTTTTGTCTGTCCGTCTATCTGTCTGTTACCGCATCACGGGAACATCACTGGATAGATTTTGATAAAGTTTGGTATGATGATAGCTGGTTATCCGGGTCAACATATAGGATACTTTTTGCTGCGGGAAAATATTTCATTTCTGAGAAAAATACAAAAACTTCAATGTAAGAGTATACTAATATGTGAAACCTAAGAATTTGGATTTTGGTCATCTGAATGCTAGTTTATAATAAAATTCTGAGTTGATCTGTACATTAAGTATTTATTGGAAAATCTTATTGAAATAGTCATTATTATCGATACATAGACCGAATCTAAGTATAGTTTTTTTTTCGAGATTTTCGATTTTTTATCTGTTTGTCTGTTTGTGACCGCTTTACGAGAATCACTGGACAGATTTTGATGAAATTCTGTATGGTTATAGCTGGTTATCCGGGTCAACATATAGGATACTTTTTACTGCGAGAATATATATCTGAGAAATCTAAACGTTAAAACGAGGGTGAGTCGCACTAATGTTGTATAAAAAATAACAAAGTTTCACTACCATCAAATTCAGTAAGTTTACGTAAATCTTTCCATAAAACCCTATATCATGTAAAAAAAGAGATTACGTTTGGTGGCTAGAAGCGTAATAAAATTAGAGTGAAATGAAAACAAAACTATTCAACACGCATTCATTTTACAGCTTTGCTGTTATCTTTAATACTTTATTCCTACAAGTACAAAGTAAGATATTCCTTCGTTCAACTGTTTTCCGGATGTCAACTGCTAACAAAATTCACAGGATCACCCGTTGGGCTAATCTCAAGATTACCTGTAAATTTCATCAAAATCGCTCCAGCTATTTTAGAGTCCATAGGAAACATACATACACGCATCGATTTTTATTTTATTTAATCAACAATTTAAATTTATTTATTGCTCAGAAAATGGAGTCATTTATGAAAATTTAGTGATACACTGACTGCAGCGCCACCTACCAGATCCAATTATGAATTCAAACTTTGCAGGGAACCCTTGAAATATACACACAAAATTTCATCCAAATCGGTCCATTCCTTTAGGAGGAGTACCTACTCCTGTTACTACTTGTTAACCTTAACAAACACACGTACAGAAGAATTATATATATTAAGATGTCTTGTATGCATGGTATTCAGACCTTTTTAACGTCCCACTGCTGGGCATAGGCCTCCCTTGAATGCGAAGGAGATCAAGCCATAGTCCACCATTCTGAACAAGTACGTACAGGTTGGCAGACTTCACAAGTCCTTCGAAAACTTGCTAGATTCACTCAGACAAGCAGGTTTCCTCACGATGTTCTCAAATTTCTCAAAATCTGTATTGTATAGTAACATTAATGTTAATACCATCGAGTTGCGAGACCCAGGATTTGAACCCGTTCAATTGGTTTCACAAGGAGCTGTGAAAGTGAGCTCGCCACCACTGGACTTAATAGAATAAAATATACATGTAGAAATAAATCACAGATATATTCATTAATAAAATATGGACAATGGTACAATTTATATATTTTATTTATACAGAGAAAGGTATATCTCTCTCACCCGACTTTGTTACGCATGTTGAGTTGCTATAGATTTTTAATTTCAAAGATGTAATGACTGATTTTCGCAAGCAACCAGGTATTTATAAGGAAAACACAATTTTTTTAATTTTTGTCGGTCTGCCGGTTTGTTCCGGCTAATCTCCGAACCGGCTGGGCTGATTTCGATGGGACTTTCACACTGGCATTGATGTTATAAGGAGTAACTTAGGCTGCTTTAATTTTAGAAAAAGAATTAGGGTTTCACTCAAAAAAATTGAAACGTACATAGTGACAGGCTAGTTATTTATATAATTATACTAATAAGAGGGGATGTTGGGTTATTAAAAGTACAAGAAAGTCAATTATTTATTCTTCTTCTATAGGAAAGACAGTTTGATTGTTTCGTCTATCTGTGTGTCATTAAACTAATTTTTATTGTTAACGCTACTACTAACGAATCATTTAACATGTCTATTTCATTATTATCTAAGAAAGTATTATGTCTATTTCAATTAAATGACTCTGCATCCATACTATATATACCTAATATATAAATATACTAAAAGAACCCGCGGTGTCGCTCGCGCTAAAACTGCAAAAACAAAACTCTAAAAATGTATGTTTGATACAAACTTTCATTCGCTATTTTACCCCCTTATGGGATGAATTTCGAAAAATGCTAAAACACGTTATTAATTAATTTGTGCTAAAGAGCATTTATGCCAAGTTTCAAGTAATTCTAATCATAAATATTTTTTTGGATTGTATTATAACGTGTTTTCCCGTGGGAATGAGATGATCTGACACGGTAAAAAGTAGCCCATGTCACTCTCCAGCTCTTCAACTATCTCCCCACAAAAAATCACGCCAATCAGCCAAGCCATTTCGACGTGAAAGAAAGACAAACAAACACACTATCACATTTATAATATTAGTATGGATATATGTATAAATATATATCACCAATACGATAAAGTGAATTGCGCATAATTGTCCTTACTTGTGAATGAAAGACTATATAATTTTATGACGTTGTTTCTAAATCTTTAGAAAATCTATATATATATTTTTAATTTTTAAGTCACCGTAGGAAATGTGATGAAATTTGGACAAAAATATTCAGATCTTAAATGCTCTTACGGAATAACCTTTCAAACCATTCTACAACTTGAAATAACAAGCGACCATATATTTAAAGTACTGACACAGTGCAAAAGACGAAAGAAATCCATAGAGACGGCTTTTAATTAAATCTATACATATAATAAAATTGTAACTAAGCCGAATCTGTACATTAAATATTTTTTGGAAAATCTTATTGAAATAAACATTATTATCGATACAGAGGCCGAATCTATAGTTTTTAGAATTTTTGTCTGTCTGTCTGTTACCGCACTACAGAAAAACCACTGGAGGGATTTTGATGAAATTTCGTATGGTGATAGCTGGTTATTTGGGTCAACATATAGGACTTTTTACCGCGGGAAAATATCTCATTTCTGAGAAAAAATAGAAAAACTGCAATGCAAGAGTATACTAATATGTAAAACCTAAGAAATTGGTTTTTGATCATCTAAACGCGGGCGGAGCCGCGGGCAATGCTAGTTATATTATAACAGTAGGTACTAACTACTGTATGAGAATTAATTGTCATGTTTATTTCTATTTTACTTTCGCCCTATTGATTTAAATATTACTTTAATTTGATTTAAATGAGCCTCATTGATATCGGTCTTGATATATTTGATTCTATTCAAAAAGACCGAAAGACGGAAAAAATATTCCAATATTTGTGGCATTCTATTACATACATATCATCATACGAATTAACTTCATCATAATATATTAATAAAAGATCTCAAAGCTTATTAAAATAATGCGAGAGTATATTGTCTATATTTCGTAAAAAAAGCTAAGCTTGGCCTGACCTAGGAGTCGAACCCAGAACATTCGGATCTGCAATCGCACATGTTAGCTACTCGATCAGTGACACTATTGTTAAAGATTTAATTGTTTTTATATAATTATTTAATAAAATATATAGCTATGAAGACTACTCCATACCGCTCTGGAACCCGCCCGCCCAGGAGCATATATAAAGCGAGAAGTGAACACTGTTGCAGTCAGAATTCAAAGTTTGACTCCAGCTTAAGGTAAGTCCTGACAGAGAATACTAATATTTATAAAAAAATTGTACATAAATAAATATAAAAATAGTTTATCACTGAAATACATTTCACTTCACTCTAGAAATTCCTTGAAAAAGTTTCGAAACCTCATTTTTATTTTATCTATAAAACTATATTCATTATTTATACCAATTTCTAAAACAGAGTAAGCAAGAAGTATTTTTTTATTAAGCCTATGTATGTATGTTTTTCTTGATTATATAACTATTATACAAAAAAATAGTAACTAATCGGTTCTCAAGTAACGTCTTCCATTTTGTTTTTAGGTGTCAGTCAAAAAGTAAGATGTAACTATCTATGTATATATGTATGTATGTTTGTATATGTGTATATTTATATTATAATTGATGTTTATTTGTACCTACACCGCATCACATTATTATTTTTATTTTTTCTCGCTCTTGAGGGTTCCTGGTAGATATCTCTTAAAGAGATAAGTCATCCTTTGTACACATGGTATTTGTTTTTACTTTTTTTTCTGGTACATAAATAAATAGTTAAAATGTAAATATAAAATATGTATGTCAAATACAATTCCATATGAAATATTAACTAGCAATTCGAGCCCCTAGGTGCCTATAGTAGCCTACATCTTATTTCTTGTACTAAACCTCATCTAAATCTGTCTATACGATTCAGCGTGAACGATTGACATACATACACATTCTCGTGGCGTATTGGCTAGCATGTACGGCTGCATATCCGGAGGTCCTGGGTTCGAGTCCCGGGTCGGGCGAAGTTTAGTTATCGAGTCTTTCTGTTTAGTAAGTCTCAGTAACAGCCCGGAGTTGGGAAGTTGGCGGTGTTTAACCCCCGTGCCGAGGCAGAGTACGTGTCGCGTCCGTGTTGCGCCTTAACTCTCGCCGGTCGTATCTCGTGTCGTCTCACCGGAATATGAGAGTGACAGAAATAGAGTGTACTGTGTGTCTGCACTATACTATTTATTATTGGCTAATCTCTATGAGATTGGCCGCCCGTGGCCGAAATACGATCTTCTTCTTCTATATATATATTGATGGTCCATTTCCCAATATATATATATATATATATATATATATATATATATATATATATATATATATATACTAAATACGATCGACAGGACGTTATTATTATTAGTGTAATTATCAAAGTTAAAAGAGTTTATTTTTATTCCATGCCTAAGTTATAAATTGAAGCAAAATGGCATTATAATCGGCCAAACAGAACGATTTTTTTATTCGGGGCATATAAGGACATTAAAGGTGTTGTTACTGCAAAAAATGTTACTAATACTAATTTTTCTTCTTAGATTTTTTCTTTCGCCATGACCCGTCTGACCATTGCTGTTGTCATCATGATGCTGTTCTTAGACTGCATTTATACAGCCAGAGTAAGTATTGTGAGCTTTTAACGTCCCACTGCTGGGGCTGGGCTTCCCTCAGTACGATAGGGATCAGGCCATGGTCCACCACGCTGGCTAAGTGCAGTACTGAGCATGTCTACAGACAACTTGCTAGGTCCTTTAAGACGTGCAGATTTCCTCACGACGTTTCCCTTCATCGTAAGACTGGTGGTAATCATGTTGGAAATAATTTGTGCATGAGAATTTCAAAGGTACAAGACTCGGGGCTTGAACTCGCTTCACTTGGTTTTCCAAGCGAGCGCCTTACCACTAGGCTTAAAGAGAATATCAAAACAATACTAAAATCTGTTTGTATGTTTGTTTGTAACTTAATTGCTAAAGCGTTCTTACTATTTGAAACCGGTTGTTGTTTATTATTGAATTTAGGACTATTTCTATCAAATTATATGCTCACGAACTTTCACATCTATACATATAATAAAATTGTAACTAAGTCGTATCTGTACATTAAATATTATTTGGAAAATCTTATTGAAATAGACATTGTTATTGATTCAGAGTCCGGATTTATAGTTTTTAGAATTTTTGTCTGTCTGTCTGTCTGTTTGTTACCGCATCACGAGAAAACTACTGGACTGATTTTGATGAAATTTGGTATGGTGATGGCTCAACATATAGGATACTTTTTACCGATAACTAACCGATAGGTCAACATATAGGATACTTTTTACCGCGGGAAAATATCTCATTTCTGAGAAAAAATACAAAAACTGCATTATAAGAGTATACTAATATGTAAAACCTAAGAATTTGGTATTTGGTCATCTGAACGCGGGCGGAGCCGCGGACAATGCTAGTTTATAATATTTATACAGACTAATATTATAAATGTGAAAGTATTGATGTTTGGATGGATGTTTGTTACTCAAACACGCCAGAACGGCTGAACGGATCTGGATGTTTGGCACAGAGATAGTTTATAGTCTAGAATAGGACATAGGGGATTTTTAATCCCGGAAAAATGTACGGGTCCCGTGGGATAGATATTTTTTTTATAAATTTATATATTTATAAATTAATAATTTTCAGATACAAAGAAGCTTTGATCCCGTGACGAGTGAGGATGTCCTGACAGTGAAGAAAAGGCCTTTTTGCAACGCGTTTACCGGTCAGTTTTTACCCCATTTGTTTTTACTAGCGACTCACCCTCGCTTTGCTTGAGTTCATCCCTAGGTGATTCTCTAAATTGACATAACTTTTCTTATTAATGAACCGGTTGAAATAAAACATATGTTAAAATCAAATGTTAAGTGAAGCTTACCACAATATATTAGTGAAAACTGCACCCACAACGGCTTAGCGGTTTCTGAGATTAACGCGCACAAACGCACGCACACACAGACAAACAGGCAAAAATTCTACAAATCATTGTTTTGCTATAATAAAGACCGACAATAATGATATTTCTCAAATATTTTCCATATCAGCGATCAGTTACAACATTATATGTACAGAATAGATATTATTAATTAGGTAAAGAAGACAGCCAAAAATATTTAAAACTGCAAATGTTCAACCAGTTCTACTGCACCAATTCAGACAAGGCTACCCAAAAAATTATGGCAATTTACACCAGATCGTAGTAGTCCTGTTCCTGGTAGAAGGTTTAATTTCGTTTTAGATTTGACTAGCGACTTACACTCGCTTCACTTAGGTGTGTCTCTAGGAACGTGGATTTTGTTCACAATTTCATGGATTTTAATTTATCTACGCGAAACCCTAATTATAATTTTTTTCTAAAATTAAAGTAGCCTAAGTTACTTCTTAGAACATCAGCTATCTGCCAGTGAAAGGCCCATCAAAATCGGTCCAGCCGTTTTGGAGATTAGCCGGGATAAACAGACAGACAAAAATTTACAAAATATTTTTTTTTTATCTCAAGTAGGTACCTTATATACTTCCATATGCATTTAGTAAAAAGCTGTTATTTTAACATTACAAGCAAACAATTCCATTTTATTTATTTGTATAGATGATATGTTTCAAATTTACAGGTTGTGGTCGTAAACGTTCTCAGGACAGGTTTAATATGCCACTGCAGGAGACGTACAGACAGAGACAAGTAAGTTTTTTTTATTACTCATATTTTTTTATTACTTACTATCGCTTCGGTAGGGCGCGTCCATAGGGAAGAATGATCAGCCCTTTTTTAATTCTCACTGCTTGGTGTGGACCACTCTGAAATACTTTTAAAGTTTCACTACTGGGGGTGGACCTCTGCAATACTCGGGGTATCAGGCCATAGTCCAAGGTCCGGCTAGGTCCAGTTATTGAGTATTTCTGTCAAGAAACTCTCACGTCTCACCGGAGTATCAACTTGAAAGGAATAGATAATATCTCCCGCGCTGGTATGTCTCAATGAGATTGGTCGCTGTGGCCGATATCGGTCGGGACGACATTATTATTTTTTACACACTAAATGAACATTTTTCTCCAGTTTGTAGAAGATGGACCTCTCCCAGACATCGAACCTGCATTAGACGAGCTGCCACAACTAATAGTCGATGCCAAGCTCTGGGACGTTTTGCGGGATGAAATCTCAAGACGTAGATCTTTGTATAATTAAAAATGTATTTTCCTGACTATTAATGGTAATGTAGCGTGAATGTAGTCTAAGAGACGACATGTAACTTATGGTGGCATTTAAAAGTACATAATTAAATTTAGTTTTTTTTTAATTAAAAAAATAGTTATTTCTAGAAGAGATTATACTGCTAGTGATAGTATTACTTAGTTGATAAATTCATATATGGTCATTATAACTATACCGTCAATAAAAAATAAATATAAATCATTGATATATAAAAACATAAATACACATTTTGTAACAAATATCTCTTCAAAAAGTGCCATCGACATGTGACGTTAAGTCAAACCAAAGTATGAAATTCAAAAATCGATAGTTCTAATTGTCTAAATAAATTGGAACTTACGTACACCACATAAAGTACATTTTTAAACGAAACAGTTTTAATTTCTTCATGCGAAAAGCAATGATCAAAAGAGATTTGAAAAAGCGCAATTCAATTTCGAACTGTGCACTTCTTTTTGAGGACACTTTTGAGATGCTAATTGTCTTGAGTTTTTGTATATCAATGATAAAGTCTATAGGTGTATACTTTACGTAGATATCAAAATGATTTTCAATTTAAAATATTTTACTGTGACATTTATCTTTTAAGTGTTTTTGGCTCTTATAATATGGTAGATTGAAGTAGTTTTAGGAAAATAAAAAAAATAATATTTTAAAGTTTGTTTATGTTTTCCATTAAATTTCACACTCTTGTACTATGAAGCTCAGAGTGCCAACTGGGAGTTGATAGAAAAACAAAGACAGTTCAGTACCATTTTCTCTTCTGTTTGTCAACCTATTTTCTTTTTTTGTTTGTTTAGCAGCTATTGATGAGCTTAGATTGATGAGGTTTAGTGTTATCATAAAAAAAGTTGGGAACACTTTTTTTAGATATAAAGATAAATTCCATTCATATATGTTTTCCCTAAAATTTTTATAATGATTATTTTTGATTTTCAACCACTGGTTACTTTCAGTACAATTAAATACGTAGATTCCACTGTATTCAGTCCTTTTTAAGTCCCACTGCTGGGCACGGGCCTCCCTTCAATACGAGGGGGATCAGGCCATAATCCACCACGCTGGCCAAGTGCGGGACTGAGCATGTCTGATTACAACTTGATAGGTTCTCTCAGACATGACGGTTTCCTCACGATATTTTCCTTCACCAGGACAAGTGATAATCATGTTGGAATGATTAGCACACGAGAATATAAGAGGTGCAAGACACGGGATTTGAACCCACTAATAGGCCACTAAAAGCCATATTCATATTTTTTTCATATAAATATTTTTGAATTCGGTCGAAACATATAACAAAATTAGAAGAATTAGTCACTATAAAGCAAACATAAAACATATAGAAAATCAATTTTTATTCAATATTAGGAAACAAATTACAAAAATAACAGAAAAATCAATCAATAAAACAATATTTTTAGATATAGATTACAAATTAATATTAAATCCACGGTTCCCAGCCAGATCTGGTAACACTCAAAATCCTTAGATCAGTACTTTGCCGAAGTAAACTGGACACCTGCAAATATAGATAACCCACATTATAAAGAAGTTTGTATGTATGGGATAATCTCTGAAAATACTGAGCTGGTTCTGAAAATACTTTCACTAATATATTAGGGTGGAACGAAAAAACATTTTTTTCTTAGTTTGGCGATAGAATTTGTAGCTTATTATATATATATATAGCCATATTATATATATATATATATATATAGCTATATTATATATATATATATATATATATATATATATATATATATATATATATATATAGCCATATTATATATATATATATGTCTATATATAATATGCATTATTTAAAAAAACCAATGACATTTAAATTGTATTTAAGAGTATAGATTAAAAAAATATATTAAAGTCACTAAAAATTAATTTAATAAAAAAAAACATACCTGCTCTTCGACAGTATATTCATTTTTCTGTGTAAAATCTTCAAAAATCTCCTCCAACATCTGTATATATTGTTCTTTATTGGGCTGTTTCGATTTTGATAGAGCTTCTATAGTTTTGTTGTGGGATAGCACTTTCCCTTGGATGAGATTGCGTGTGTGATTGAACTGGAAATGAACATTTTTTTTACTCATAAAATATTTTAGTCTCATTACACTACATCATCTATCTCTGTACTAAATCCCATCCAAATATGTCCAGCCGTAGAAGAAGTAACACATATAAACACACACATAAGCACACGCACACACACACACATATACAAAGAACGAAACTCAAAAATCGAAAGTTCTAATTGTCTAAACACAAAATTCTAACTTACGCACACCACATTACTTTTTTAAACGAAACAACGTGCGTTTTAATTTTGAACAAAAGAGATTTGCAAAAATGGCACACTTACACACACACACATACACGCACACACACACACGCACACACACACACACACACACGCATACTCAAACTATTTTTTTTTATTAAATAAAATTAAACTACCTTCTCCATATATTTTTGTCCCATCCATTTGAATGCAACGGATATTGACGATAACAAAATGTGTTGGTTTTCACGTAGATACAAAAATTTCGTTTGAAGACGACTTTCGAGTACTGAAAAAGAAAAAAAAAGATGACCTATTTATTTATTGTTTTCATCTGTCTATATGTCCGTTTGTTTAATCTTTACAATTAAGAACGTCATAAAAAGTTCTCCAGACTGATGCTCGGTCACGTATAATAGTTTAGTGTGTTAGGGAGAGACACACGACCTGCACTCTCTGTCCCTCTCACTCTCGCGGTAAGAGATAAGACGCAGTTTTCTTTATTTATTTTGGGAAATGCATTTACGCATACCACCTGTAGACATACAGGTGTTTATGTGCGACTCACCGGTAAAGCCAGTACTACCCACTAAAACCCAACAAACCTTCCCCCGTCTTAATGGGGCGTCGCAGGATCGCTTACGCATTCAACTACGACGCACCGACGGCAGGTCTGCCGAAGCAGACCACAACAAAGGACCTAGTGTCTCAACTACTTCACAACTTCGTTCATTGCTATCTATATTTTAACAGAAAACCCCAATAATTAAAAATTGCCGTGACCCGGGACTCGAATACAGGACCTTCGGATCTGCAGGCGTAAACATTTAGTAACTATACTAATTATGAGTAACACAAACCTTGAGTATCACAAAGCGCTAGAATGTTTCTGGTGAGACGCGCCGGCGGAAGTTCACCGCCATCTTGCAAGATGGCGGCACAGTCCACGTGACACGCGCCGCCATCTTGTTTGTTATACATCATGTTCTCTAAATGGCGGTCGCTCATTCCTGTTTGTGATAAGAACATATTATTTAAGTCTAGTTATATACAGGATGGAATAAATCAAATTTCACTCAAAGGAATTTGTTTCAAAGGATATTTGTTTAAGCCTAGTAACGTACTTTATTGCAATTTTAGCAGGTTCGATTACCGGCTCTAGTAGGGTTTTGTTTTAAATATTTAAATGCATATGTTATTAATATTTTTAAGAATAAAGAAATGTGTTACAATTAATATTTTTAAGAATAGAGAAATATTTTTTTGGTTTGTATTATAACGTGTTTGCAGTGGGAATGAGATAATCTCCCGCGGTAAAAAAATACTCTATGTCACTTTCCAGACCTCCAACTATCTCCACACAAGAAATCACGTCAATTCGTTACTATGTTTCGACGTGAAAGAAGGACAAACAAACAAACACACTTTCACATTTATAATATTATTATTAGTATTAATATTTATTTAAGATTTTATCCATCTATACATAATAATATACTTATTTTGCGTAGCAAATTAATAAATAAAAGAGCCAGTTTATGAATTAAAAATATCTCACCGCACAAATAACTGAAGACTGTCATGTCACATATCGACTGTAGGAACGTCTTCTTTTTGCAGATAAAATCTTCCACTGATGCACAATTCTCTTCAATGGCTGATCTGAAAATGATAATACTTTGCTAATAATCGCTCTTCAATATCTTGTTTTCGGCTATACTTGCCCTTACCGTTCTATTTCTTTTAGCTTTTTTTTCGTTTGGCTCAGTTTGTAGTGACCCTACTTGCTGTGCCAGCGATCGCGGGTTCGAGGCGAGGCGAGGCGAGGCGCTGAGGGCATACATTTGTGTGATGAGCACGAATGTTTGTACTTCAATCATGGGTGTTTATATATGTATGAATTTAAAGTTATATATGTATTGTGTATCAACTATCTGGTATCCATAGCACTCGTAGCTTACCATGGAACTAGATGGTGCTGTGTGTGTTTGTACTACGGTCATGGGTGCTCACATCTATACATATAATAAAATTGTAAGTAAACCGAATCTGTACATAAAATATTTTTTGGGCAATCTTATTGAAATAGACATTATTTCGATACAGAGGCCGAATCTATAGTTTTAGAACTTTTTGTCTGTCTGTCTGTTACCGCATCACAGAAAAACCAGCGGAGGGATTTTGATGAAAGGTATGGTGATAGCTGGTTATCCGGGTCCATAATAACTTTAAACCGCAGGAAAATGTCTCATTTCTGAGAAAAAATAAAAAACTGCAATGAAAGAGTATAAAAATATGTAAAACCTAAGTATTTGGTCATCTGAACGCGGGCGGAGCCGCGGCCAATACTAGTTTATATTATGTACCTATGTATTGAAATTTATATATATGTAATGTATCAACTAGCTGCTATCCATAACACAGGCCTCGTAGTTTACCATGTAACTAGATGGTGTTGTGTTAATGTCCCAACATATTTATTTATTTATTAATGTATATTATTTAAAATTATTATAATTTTTGACAGTAAACACATTTTTAACGCAATAAAAAATAGCGTACAGCAAGCACTCTGCAATCTTTGCTAATGATGAATTCATGTACTGTTTCTATTTCAACCGGTTCCGAGCCGTGATTGCTTGTATTTCATGTTTGTACAATTAATTAATACATAATACTTTCTTAGATTTTTTTTTTTTTTTATCTTTAATATTTAAAGGTCTTTGAATCTCTTGAGATTATGCCAGACCTATCGTATCACAAAAACATATATTCATCTACATAGCTGTTGCTTCCTTAAATATTTTTATCATTTCATTAAAAACTAATTTAGCTTGTTCTGTTACAGGAGTAGCAAGTATGCTATGAAATCTACCAACATCTTTAACATTAAAATTAAAATTTTTAATCAAATTATTTCGCAAGGCTTCGCTTCGGGTACACTCCACTAAAATATGTTGTACATCTTCTATGATGTCACAAGTACGACAATTAGCTGATAATGTTTTTTTCATTAAAAACTTGAACTTATTCAGGGGTATATGCCCAGACCGAAGCCTATGCGCCATTACAATTACTTCCCTACGCATTTTACAATCTATAAACCAAGGTGTAGGACGAGGTTGTTTTTGTATAGTACTGTACCAGATTCCTTTAACCTTTGAGAGTTCACTAAAGTATTTGATCCAATTATTAAAGATATCAATTTTACATTTAATCAAAATTTCTGTAAAATCCGGTACAATATATATTTCAGATCCAGTCGAAATTGCCTCTTTAGCTATTCTATCGGCTTCCTCATTCCCACTTAGTCCAATATGCGCCGGTACCCATTGCAATCTGACAGTCAGTCCGTTATTATTGAGAAGTAAAATTTTTCTCATAATTGCATAGGCTATCGATACACCTCTTTGACCAGAGGCGCATCGAGCCAAATGCTGCAGCGCACATTTGCTATCTGATAGAATAACTATATTTTTAGTTTCAATGTTATTATCAATATATGTTAATGCCTCTGAGATTGCAAGGAGTTCGGCGGACATAATTGTCACACTTGATGTAATTTTATATTTCTGTTTCACATTGTGACCAGGATCATAAAAAGCTGCTCCTAAACCGTTTGTTGTTTTCGACCCATCAGTATATAATTTATACCACCCTTCATATTTAACAGCAAGCATATTAAGTGTACAGTATTTTAACATAGTATTCATGGTATTATACTTAGAGCCAGTAAAGCCTTCTATTTCAGTAGATATAATGTTTATATCTATGTTAGTTTCCGAGGTATTCGAAACACAAGACTTAATTCTCTCCTCTTTGAGTGAGTTATATACATTTGCAAGTAATGGTTTCTTCTTTTTCTGCCAATAACGGTTTTGACATACCTGAGTCAACTCTTTCAATAAAATAATGGTACTGTCTGTGTATGAGGTCATGGATTTAAGACAGTATTTACTAGCCAAGAAATGACGTCTAATATTAAGTGGAGGGATACTGAGTTCACATTCCATGACGTGAATAGGTGTAGTTTTAATAAATCCACCTATGATACGTAAGGCAGAATTCTGTACACGGTCTAGTTTTAATAAGTGTGTCTTGGCCGCACTATCATATAAAAAGCTACCATAATCCATTCTGCTGCGAATCAATGCAAAATACAATCGACGTAAATGTTTCGGATGAACACCCCATGAGCTTCCTGCTAATATTTTCAATAAATTTAATATTTTCATAGTTTTTTCTTTAATTTCATTAATATGTTTATTCCAAAGTAATGATTTATCAATCCACATTCCTAAATATTTAAAGCAATCAACATTCTCAATATTACAATTATTAATTTTAAGGGGAACATGATCAATTTTTCTCCTTCGAGTAAAAGTACAACATTTAGTTTTCGCAGGTGTGAGACATCCAAACCGATTCGTTTCAATTTAATCACTACATTATTGAGACTAGTCTGTAACTCCGCGTTACCACTAATGAAGTTTTTATTTTGTATATAAAAAACAAAATCATCGGCATATTGCAAAATATTTACATTATTTATTCCTATGCATATCTGAGAAGTAACTATATTAAAAAGAAGAGGAGAAATTGGGTCTCCCTGAGCTAAGCCCCTATTAGTCCACCTAATTAGAGGTTGTCCACTATCACTAGTAATCTTAAGATATCTTCTACTCAAAAAGTGCCACAAATAACTACAAATTTTAACTCCAACATTTAGGTTATCTAAGATTAGAATAAGTTGCTCAACAGAAACATTATTATAGGCATTTTCGATATCTAGGAAACAAGCAAGTGTGGGGATATTTTTTGTCATTCCTATCTGTATATATGATACAAGTCGTACCAAACAGTCCACACATGATTGTCCCTTTCGAAAACCGATAGTTGATGATGATATCACCTTCTTCTGTTCTATAAAATACTCCAATCTTCTTTTCAACATTAAATGATATATTTTACATATGCATGAAATTAGAGAAATAGGTCTCAACTTTGGAGAATTATTAGAATTGGTGTTATGTTTTGGTATAGGTACTATTTTAATACTACGCCACTGTTCGGGAACACGAGATTGACTAAATATTAGGTTATACATTCGAAGCAAAAATGATTTACCTTCATTGGGTAAGTTGTATATCATACTGTAAGTAATATTATCATCCCCTGGAGCAGTATCCTTTTTCTTGAGACAATTTTGTAATACTTCTAATGAAAAATCCTGCTGCAATGCTTCATTGTCCGAATGAAGTGTGGGTTGCGGGTATTCTGCATAATCTGGGGTCAAAGAATGTAAAAGGTCTTTTTTCATACTTTCAGTTATTTGAGAATACTTCGGTTTTACTCCTTTCATCCAACACATTTCGTTCCACATAGTAGGAATGTCCGTAACTTCATCGATTTGTGTACAAAAACCTTGCCAATCATTAGTTCTAGCACGTCGAGTTAATCGTTGAGCATCTGCTTTTTTTGATGTAAGTTTATCAAAATTGTTAGGGATAGGATTACGTCGAAATTTTTTTAAAGCCAAACGTCGTTCTGCTATAGCTCGAGACAATGAAGAATCCCAATATGTTTTTGGTTGAAATACCTGACTAGGATTAGTACATATTTTTTTAAAAGGTATACTTTGATCTCCGGCTTTGTTTATTTCGTCTATAAAATAATCATACATTTCTTGAACGTTGTTATATTCAGTGGGGTAACCAAGACAATTTTTCAATAAATTTTGATTTTCTTGCCAATTTGCAAATTTGTAATTTCGACATTTAGTAAACGTTACATTACTTTGAAATTCCAAGGTGAACTTAATGATTAAATGATCACTACCTAAATTTTCATTTGTAGTTTCCCACTTAAAATAAACTGCAATATCAGATGTGACGAAGGTGATATCTGGCGAAGATGTCTGTAAAATATTGTTAACAAATTTAATTCTTGTGTGATTCCCATTATTAAGTGATATAAAATTAAAGTCTAATAATGCATCGTAGATTTGAAACCCTCTCGTATTTTGTTTACATGACCAATTAGAATGGTGCCCGTTAAAGTCACCTGCTACTATGGATTTACATGAAAATTTAGAAAATAGTTGATCCCAGTCACATTGTGATGTTTGAACAGAAGGTGGACAGTATATTGATGTTATAAATTCTAAGTATTTACAATTAAAAATTTTTATTGACACAATTTCAATTCCCGGATTTCTTAATTCTACAGGATTACTACAACTTTTAATAGATTTATGAACTACAATAGCCACACCTCCATATGCATTACATCTATCACTTCTGTAGATAGTATAGTCTTTGAAATGTAAAGGTATATCAGGTTGCAACCACGTTTCACTCAGGATACAGATATGAATTTTTTCCCTATTTAGTAACAACTCGAAATCTTGTTTTTTCTGCCTTAAACTCTGCGCATTCCATTGACAAATGTTAATAGCATATTTCTTTAAATTACCGTTATCCATTGTATAATGCATTCAAAATTTTATTCATAAACTCTCCATCAGTAAAAGTCTTCTGAATAATGAGTTTTATCCATTCGAATAGAAATTTCACACTTAAGATGATTTTTTCTTCGACCGACTTACCAGATAATACAATATCTTTAAGTTTTGTTATTAGGGTTACAAAATTATTTTTATTTTTTGTTTCACTCCTACTTTTATTCCTATCCTCGCTGTTCTTTTCTATTTCTTGATTTTCACTTTCTTCGATATGATTTACTACATTTTGTTGTTTTTGTGTTTTCTTATTTTTGTTGTTTTTCTTCTTCTTTCTATATTGTGTATTATTTTCATTTGATTGAAAAGCATTCTCCTCCAGAGTGTCATAGGTTTTACTTTCTTCATTTACAAATAGATCTACTCCTCTTTCATGTTGTGTTATACATGTTTCACCTACTATACTTTCTTGGCTAGACAATACTTCTTCTAGCATATCATTTTTATTGGGTACTGATATTTCAGGATCGTTATTTTCATTGGCATATAATATAAGCGCTTTTTTATAAGTACAATTTTCCTTGCTCATGATGCTACGAATTTTCTTTTCTTTGAAAAAAATTGGACATCTCTTATAGAAAGATATATGATTACCTTTGCAGTTTATACATTTAAAGATAGTAGTATCACAATTATCATGCTTTTCACCACATTTGGGACACACCTTATGCTTTTTTGGCCAATTTTTTGCTAGGTGACCATATTTCCAACAGTTGGAACATTGTGTCACTGGGAAAATATAAGGCTCCACTTTAAACCTGCCACCATAACCGTATACATATTCAGGTAACGTAACACTCTTAAAGCAGAAGCGTACAGTTTCACTATCAATCCACTCTCCATTACTAGATTGTTTTTTAAGTCGTCTTACTGATACGATTTCTGACTGACAATTAAATGATTCTAGAAGTTCCTTTTCATCTACTTCAATCTCTAAATATTTAACCGTTCCGTAAGAGTAGCTTACTTCATTAGTTAAGTAAGATCGAAAACCTAAATCAGTAAATTTTCCACTTTTTAGCATCTTATCAGCTTCCTCTCGTGTTTCAAAATTTATAAAAACTTTGTACGGGTTCTTGTATTTAATTCTAGTAATATTTTGCAGGTTTTCCGACTTCAATAGTTTAACTAACCCAATTTGTTTAGGTAGTACATCGAGCGATGTCAAACAAACTTCATATTTATTTTCTTCAAAATATTTATATGCCCTTCTATCATTATGAGAATTACTTCGTGCTACTCGCTTTGCTTTCCTTCGTACAACTATAAAATCTTCCGCACTCTCCTCATCACTTTGTAATATTCCCTCATTTCGGTTCCTCTTCATACGCCTTGCATTGTCAGTCAATTCAGACATGTTCTGTATCGACTCTTCACATTCCTGTTGTCCCGCCATCAAACTATTACTCTCACACTGGTTTTCACTCAAATTGCTACTTTCAAAGATAGATTCTGTTGAAAGAACAGAACTATCCATTTTTAATTAACAAATGTCGGTACATTGAAAATAAATTTGCCGCGACGAGTACGATCTTATCTAAAAACGTGTTCTCGCTTGGTCTGACCGCGCGCGACTGTTCTTAGATTTAGGCGAATATTTGAACTTTTAAATAAAACTATCTTTTCGGATTTTTTCGCGGATTCATTTTGATTTTTGGTTCCCGACGTTTCGAATGCTTTACAGCAATCATGGTCACAGGAGAGACTGAGGTTTTAAACGTCTCGAAGGTCATTATGTACTTTTTTATTTAATTTAAAACTAGTGACTCACCCTCGCTTCGCTCGGGTTCGTCCTTAGCTTGCTTCTCCATACAAACTTTCATCCCCATTCTCACCCCCTTGAGGGATGATTTCCGGGATAAAATATATTTAATTCACTTTTGATATCATGAGATTAAATAAAAAAAACTTATTTTAATAAAAAAAAATCTGCTATATAAACCTTGTCCTGACAATAACAAACACAAAAAAATAATAATTATCCAATTTGGTGCAGTTGATCGGAAGTTATGCGCGTACATACATTTCGGTGATTCATTTTTATTTATATAGATTTATATACAATTAACTTTACCTCAATAAATATGAAGGTATTTTCTTGCACAGCATTTGGAACTCTTCTAAGGACCTATCTCGGTCTAATATTAGTTCATCATCTTTCGCTCTTTTGTTGACTTCTGGGATATCTGAAAATTACAAAAATAAATAAATGACAGTCGAAATTCAAAATAAACAAAACAAAAGAAAAAGAATAATTTCGACATAAATTTCGAATTAAAATTGTGGATTTTTCTTATTTCACAAAAGATCCAACTACGGATTTATTGGACAACTTTCAAAAATCGACAAGTTTTTAATGTATCTAATATAATATACATACACGTTATTGCACGACTCCGCACGATTATATACTACAGCATTACAATTATATATGACTATATCTTAATAAATTATAGCCTATGTGTTACTCTGAGATATGAGCTATTTTTACTGTAAACTTTCATCATAATCCGTTCAAGTACTTTTTGCGTGAAAGAGATATACATCCATCTATCCCTTTATATACTATATAATATTATATTAGTAGCATTGAATTATCGTTGATATCGACAACCATACACACAAACACACACACGCACGCACAAACACACACCTATTACTTATAGTATTACCACAGTCTACAACTCCATAAAGTCGTCTAACGAAGGCGTCTAAACACAGCCATCTCCCGACTGGCATACATACTTTTGTATGACACTCGGGAGATCGTTTTAGGTTTGAAATTAGTTAAGATTTATTACCTATATCATATTTTGAAGATATAATATTTCTAAGCGGTTCATTATTTTCTAGATATTCTATGAGACAACAGTCGTCACTCAGTGGCGTTATCTGTAACGAATAATAATAATTTGTTATTGGCATCCATTTTGATTAACGATAAAAATACTTCATATAGATATTGTATATAGCCCTCTTTAACGTCCCACTGCGGGGAGTGGGCCTCCCTTCAATACGAGGGGGATCAGGCCATAGTCCACCACGCTGGCCAATTAGTGCGGGACTGAGCGTGTCTGCAGACAACTTGCTACGTTCTCTCAGACATGCAGGTACCCTCACGATATTTTCCTTCACCGTAAGATAAGTGGTAATAAAAAGTTTTTTTTTCAATCTGTTTCTCAAGCCAGTGCGTTACCACTGTATTACCGTTGCTGTACCATAAAGGTACTGTGGTTTTAAAAATCTACACAGATAAATATAAGTGTCTATTTGTAATGTCAAAATAACAGTTTTTTACTGAATGCATGTATGAAATTATTTGTCGAGTTAGTTAATATATTTGTTATGTCGTACCGTGTGTTTGCCATAAGGAACAATTATGAAACACTCACCCGATATCCACCCCTAAGACCAAGTGTGGTGTTTATTGCTATCGCTGAGCAATGGATTCGAACCCACTCCCCTCGTTTTACCATACATCGAAGTGAACGGCCGTTGGACAAGCGACACTTTAATATTGCGGGACGACGTATAGAACTTGTCATTAGTTGTATCTGCGAAATTAATAATTATATATTACTAGAGGTTCGCCCTCGCGTCGCTCGGGTTCGCCTCTAGAAAAACAAAAACAAACCTATCCCACGGGAACCGTGCATTTTTCCGGGATAAAAACTAGCCTATGTGTTATTTCAGATTATAATCTACCTCTGTGCCAAATTTTATCCAGATCCGTTCAGCCATTCTGGCGTGAAAGAGTAACAAACATCCATACATACTCACAAACTTTCACATTTACAATATTAATATACATATAGTACGGATAATACGGACTAGCAGTACCCCGGACTTCACCCGCGTTCAAAATTCCGATCGCTACCAAACTTCACAGGATCAACCGCTGGGCTAATCTGAAGATTGCCTGAAAATATCATTAAAACCGCTCCAGCCATTTCGGAGTCCATAGGGAACATACATAGAATTATATATACAGATAGATAGACTAGTGACTTACCCTCGCTTCGCTCAGACGCGTCCAGTTACCTAACAGTACAAATATATGTTACTCCAGCTCATATTTTATCTGTGTAATACATCCAAATCCATCCAGCCATTAATTTCACGCTGAAGCGTGAAAGACTAACAGTTATAAAACACACACATTGACACACACACACACACACTCACACACACACACATTATGTCCTTCTCCAAGGTTCATCATTCACCTCTATCGTGAAAACGTAACAAACAGACAGAGTTACTTTTGCATTTATAATATTAATGTGCTAATATGGATATATACAAAAGACAATAAATATAAAAAACATCTCTGCATACAGTGCAATGCAGTTATACTTCTTTGGCGTAACAGAACAAAACTAGCTAAAGACTTCATCATGTCGCTTTTTGGCTGTCGGTGTGCGCGCGCGTCTAAAAAATTATACTCTCACATTTTTTTCCAAACGTGCCAAAAGAAGTTATAACTTTAAAAATAAAAATAAAAATTATGACAGTACTTTTTCTTCAAACCTAACAACATGAATCCCTGTTTTCAAACGGAAAAGCTTGCTCAGTGTGTCTCTCTCATCTTCTATCTCTTTTGCACTTGTAAGTGTTGGACATAAACGAGAGAGATAGACATAATCGCCTTTCTTAGGTTTATTGAGTTGTAGTATTATATTTGTAAGGATTTCTTTCTTTTTTTGTGTATCTGTTGTAAAAAAGAAATATGATTGCATTGAAATATGTACAATATATATACATACATACATATATCTATACAGATATATAAAAAGTGTGTTTGTAATGTCAAAATAACAGCTTTTTACTAAATACATAAGAAATTATATACGGTACTAGTAAGAAAAACACAATTTTAAAAATTTTTGTCTGTCTTTTTGTTTCGGATAATCTCCAAAACGGCTGGACTAATTTTGACGGGACTTTCACGGGCAGATAGCTGATAATAAGGAGTAACTTAGGATACTGTAAAATGTAACTAGAAAACAGATTAAAAAATTAGAAATATAAGTATATCGTTATTTTTATTACTATTTTTAAATTGACACTTTAAAATATAACAAAAAACATGTATCAACAGCTGTCATTCCATAAGCTTCAAAACTAACTTTAAATTAAAAAAAAACCTATATATAGGAAAATAAATAAAAAAACGCTCTTTAAACTCTTGCAATTTATGGAAGGTGCTTTAATCTAACTCACGCTTGACCGATTTTTTAACATTATATAGAACAGTACCTTCATTTAATATTCCATATAGTTTTTCCTTATGAATATTTAAAACTTGGTAGTTTGGTGCCATTTGAGCGAAGGGATTTTCAAATATGGCCGTTCTCATATCATTGAATATTTTGTTGAATTTGTCGGGATCTAAAATGAGGTATATATGTATAAAAATTATATATGTATAAACTGTAAATGTATGTATAAAAAATAAAAATATAATATCAACTATATATGTGGAATTAAAAAAAATATTTGGAAAGCACCATAATATGTATCTATACAAGTATATAAAATTGAAGTGTCTGTTTGTAATGTCAAATAACAGCTTTTTACTAAATGCGTATGAAAATATATATACGGTACTTATAAGAAAAACTCATTTTTTTTTAATTTTGTCTGTTGCTTGCTTGTTTGTTTGTTTGTTCCGGCTTATCTCAGGAACGGATGGACCGAGTTTGACGCGACTTTCAGCAGATAGCTTATGCTACAAGTGGTACGTTAGGTTACTTTTATTTTTTAAAAGGAATTTGGGTTCCGCGCAAAAAATTAAAACCCATGAAACTTTAAACAAAATCTGTGTAGAGCAAAAAGTAGGTAAGTAATTTAAGAACACTTGAAATCATCCCTTCTTAAACCTTGATTGAGTCATAAACGCCGAAATATTCGTTATTGCTTACCAAAATTATTATTTGCGTTTGGTTCAGTTCGTAGTGACCCAACTTACTGTGCCAGCGGGCGCGGGTTCAAGTCCCGCTGGAGGCATTCATTTTTACGAGACACACAAAATTATACAAGTTATTGTACAATTTTTTTGTCTTGGCTGCACGCCTGGCTGGATTGCCGGACGCTAATGAGACCCCTACCCCCACCCCCTCCCTTACCATGATACTCACCGCTTTCCTTTTCTAAATCTCGACAGTAGCTTAATAATAAATAATCAGCGTCACCCACTAGGCTTAGGCATTTTTTAATTTTCTCCATCTTGTCTTCTAGCAAATAACCTTTTAATCTACGTTCCACATTATCAAATAAATGTATATGACTGACTAGATGATCTATCGATATATAGTTTAGATCATTTATTATTGGCTGCAACTGAAAAAAAAAGGTTTTATTTCATTTTTACTAAAATAAATAAATAAAAATATATAAATAAGTGCATGTGTACAGATACCATCAGTCTCTCCCGTGACCATGGATGCTGTAAAGCATTCGAAACGTCGGGAACCAAAAATCAAAATAAATCCGCGAAAAATTCAAAAAGATAGTTTAATTTTAATGTAATTTTCGTATATACTTTGATATAAATTTTGATCACACAATAAATTTTGTTTTGACGTTGTCAAAATTTTCACAGACATTTAATTTAAACTAAACAATTGAGTAAAAACCTAGAATTAGACATTGTAACATATGCTTATTTATTTTAATTACAAAACACATTCGCACAGATTAAATCAAAAGAAACATTAGAATACATTGCTCATTGTCTATATTATGCGGACATATAAAAACGCTGCGTCATTACAACGCGACCTTTTTTAATCGGTCAGCCGGCGGGGAACGAGTTGAAGAGACAGCGAGAGATGACTTCACGTCTTGACCGCGGACGGCCGCACCCTAGTCTTATTTTACTACAATGTAGTGTGCACTTATTTTAATAGTTTAATTAATCTTCATCTTCGTAAGTTTTTACTAACCCCAGACTGGGGTTTTCTTAACTTCTACGTAAATTTCTCACTCTCGGAGAACATCCGAAACGCAGAAGTCACTTAAGGACATCAGAGGTCGCGCAAGGACGTTAGAGGTCACCCAAGGGCGTGAGAGGACTTCACCGAACATTCCAGACTCCCTCTTGCGTGAACCCACGAACCCGAATAACCTTAATCTTAGTTTATTATTATTTCATTTTAGTATCATGTAGTATCGAAAAAGTGTTCTCTGATTTTATATACCTTTTAACTTAATAGTAATAATCCCTTCTTAGGATACGCGAATATTATTATTTGTACTACGTAACTATATTTTAATATACTTGGAAACCGCGACAATATTTACCGTATACAGAATTTCTTTAGCTGTCTCGTAAGGAATTATTGGAGATCCATATCCGTCTAATCTGTTGATGATGACGTCAGCTAGGAGGTTGTTTTTGTCACCCAAATCCATTTGCACGTAGAAAGAAAGAATTTTTGCCATTTGAACAAATATTTCGTTTTCACAATCTCTCCGCTTATTTTCTAGCTCTGCAAAATATTTTTTAAATCACTTCAAAAAAGGTGGAGGTTCTAAATTTATTTGTTTTTTTTTTTTAAATTAATTTTTGGAGTATCATATTTTAAATATAAAAAAATATTGTCAAAACAAGAAAAGAAAACCAATATAGGTCGAGTTCTTTAACTTATATTAGCCTGATCGTTACAAAAATATTATTTTGCGACGCCTCCTAAAAGGCTTCCGTTTGATGAAAAATTCGATAAAAACTTTCTACTTTTACTTTCGTTTTTTGGAGATATCTCAGTGAATACGCAATAAAAAAAAATCTATTTGATAATAACTACATATTATTTAACAGTGTTATATTATTATTATCATTATTTTATGTCATCATATTATCAATATTTTTTCAAAAAATTAAATTTGGGGGTGTCAGGAAGAATTCTTTTTAACGACAAATCTAACTTATACTATTGCATATAAATAATCATGGGATCTGAAAACCATGCAAATATTCATATTTGTGATCTACATGGATTTTCTATTTATATAAATAAATAAAAAAAATCTACTAACGCTGTTGACTCTCATATTGGTCGAAGAAGGTCATGCCCAAAATGCATAACGTTTCCAAATCTTTTTTATAATTTGTTGACATTTCACTTTTGTTTTTGTTTAAACTTTCTATCTCTTCTAGGACATCTTCTATGTGCTTCTTTTCTAAGGCTGAAAAAAAGCATATTTTACCATATCTAAACTATTTTCCAAGCTCAAAATACTAAAATATAAGATATTTTAAATTAAACAATGTTTTCGGTTTTTGGATTTTTGGTTCCCGACGTTTCGAATGCTTTACAGCAATCATGGTCACGGGAGAGACTAAAGTTTAAGACGTCTCAAAGTTATATAGTTGTGGCACTTGACAAATTAAGTCAAATATTCGCGTAAATCTAAGAAAGTATTATGAAACTAGCGACTCACCCACGCTTTTCTTGGGTTCGTCCCTAGTTTGCTTCCCCACACAAACTTTCATCCCCATTTTCACCCCCTTAAGGGATAATTTCCGGGATAAAAAGTATCCTATGTTCTTCCCAGGGTCTACAACTATCTTCTTAACAACTTTCATCTAAATCGGTTCAGTAGATCCAGAGATTATCCCCTACACCGTCACAAACTCTCAAACTTTACCTCTTTATAATATTCGTACAGATAGATAAATATAAATAAGCATTGAATGTAAAGACAAAAAAACAGACAGACAAAAAATATAAATATTTATTTGTCCAGATGTTTGTACCTTGGATATATAATTATATCATAATTACTGTGCCTTATTTTATAACAATTCCGTCTCTCTCGTCTCTCCCGTGACCATGATTGCTGTGAAACATTCGAAACGTTGGGAACCAAAAATCAAAAAAAAACCGCGAAATAATCCAAAAAGATTTTTTTTTAAAGTGTCAAATATTCGCGTAAATCTAAGAAAGTATTATGTTAAACCAATCCGTTCAGCGGTTTAAGCTACGCTTTGATAGATCAGTCAATCAGCCATTCAGTCGGTTATTCAGTCATCCATGCAGTCAGTCAGTTATTCAGTCAGTTACGGTTTCCTTCTATATATATCGAGTATAGCATAGTTACCTTTCAAATCATTTCTTAGTTGAATAGTAACTAAACGTATCCCTGTTACGTCTTCAGCTGTTGACATTTTTAGGAACTGTGGCACATATTCATCTGAAACAAAAAATTAAATTGCTTTATATATGCTCAGTGGTAGCACTCTTGCATGGGAAATCGAGTGAAGCGGGTTCAAATCCCGGGTCTCGCACCTCTGATATTTTCGTGTGGGAATCATTTCTAACAACATTACCACTTGTCTTACGGTGAAGGAGAACATCGTGAAGAAACCTGAATGTCAGGACATGTTCAGTCCGCTCACACTTGACCAGCGTGGTGGACTATGGTCTGATCCACCTAGTATTAAGGGAGGCCCACTCCCAGCAGTGGGAAGTCAAAAAGGGCTGAATACATAAATTAAAACCTTTATTGCTTGGCTTCATGTTTAGTTTTATGACACTCTGTCTGTGTGTGTGTAATGCCGAATTTTTTTGGACTCTGGCATATTCTTCCTGAACTATCGCTTCTTATAATGTCTTCCCAACCAATTTCCGACATGGCGGCCAATCTCATCGAGACTAGCCAAGTACAGGAGATTTTATATAGTATAGTGCAGATACATAGTGCACTCTCTATTCCTGTCACTCTCACACTCCGGTGAGACGATACGAGACACGACAGGGGACAGTTAAGACGCAAGATCGATCCGTCCCGTACTCTCCGAGGTTAATGAGAATGTCTTGACAAAATACTCAATAACTGAACTTGACCCGACACGGGACTCGAACCCAGGACCTCCGGATCTTCGGCTGTACATGCTAGCCACCACACCATCAAGGCATTCATAGTTTCGAGGCATTACTTCATATAAATTAGTAGTGAGTAGATAAATATGTTTATAACATCTCACCTGCTTGATGTAGAGCTTTCTCCAAACTGTCTCTATTATTTTGCTCTAACCCAATCGCTCTTAGGGCCAGCAATTTAAAACGAAACCATTGCAACAATTCGTTTTCGTATAGATCACTGTGAACAATAAACATTAGATTAGCCTCAAGCGTGAAATCTGCAACCAAAAATCTAAATAATTCCACCGAATAAATCCGAAAAGATAGTTTTATTTAATTTTTAACGTTAGTATGGAATTATATCAATTCCACATACACACACACACACATTATATATATATATATATATATATATATATATATATATATATATATACATAGGTGTGATGAGTTCATGTGGGTTGTATTACAACGTGTTTCCCCGTGGGAATGACATAATCTCCCGCGGTAAGTATCCTGTCACTCTCCAGCCCTCCAACTATCTCCACACAAAAAATCACGCTAATCCGTCACTCTGTTTTTACGTGAAGAAAAGACAAACAAACAAACACACTTTAACATTTATAATATTAAATAAAGTATGGATGGCAAATATTCGCGTAAATGTAAAATATGAAAGAAATTAAAAATGTTTACTACAATAGTTGTATTGATACAAAACTAACAAACACTCACGTGACAGTCTTGCAGCAGTTGAGCAGCTGGGCGTGTAGTGCCGTCTCGCTCGCGCGCGCGCACCACGCCACCGCGTGCGAGCGGGACAGGGAGATCGCCCACTCGTCGCGATGGCACAGCGAGTGTAAATAGAGGGATCTGGAATTTAATGGATGATTAGTTAGAAATGTCGAATTCCGTTTGATTATTATACAGCGCGTGTATGTGTATGTGTATATTCATCTCTCTCTCTCTCTATCTCTCGCTCGGTGTATGTGTATAACTCTTTCTGTCTGTGTGTCTGTGTGTGTGTCAGTAACCTCATCATTATCCTAGCGGCCCACTGCGCCATACAATCCGAAGGCTGAATATCGTTGAACACTATATTTTTTGTATCAACAGCCTCTCTTAATTCGTTCCACGTTGAGATTTCCGCCATCTATAAAGAAATAATTACTTTCATAAATAATTAATATTATTATTATGTAAAATGTAAAATCGGTTGACAAAGAGACGAGGAAAAGGCGCTGAACTGTTTTTTTTTCGCCTATTTATATATAGACTATCGATTCGCCCTCGCTTCGTTCGTTCGCTGGGATGATTTCCGGAATAAAAAATATCCTACATCCTTCCCAGGGTCACAAACTATCTTCCAAAAAAAATTCATCTAAATCGATCCAGTAGCTTTTGAGTTTATTCGTAACAAACATACAAAAATACAAATTTTCCCTCTTTATAATATTAGTGTATAGATTAATATAAGTTATATATAAATACTGAGTTACAACATTGTACTTAACGATATACTCACAACGGATACATCAAAGTAATTTCTAGGCCATTTGTAAACATTCTGTGGAGTTGTGAATGAACTGTCGCTTTTGTATGTCGATACCATCGCGTTAAACCACATTGGTGCTAAAATTAAAATAAATTCATATAAATATAATTCATCATCATCACCATGGACCTACCACTATTACCATGGAACTAGACGGTGCTGTGTGTTAATATCCCAACATATTTTGTAACTAGCGATTTATAATATCAGCTATTTGCCAGTGAAAGTCCCGTCAAAATCAGTCCAGCCGTTTCTGAGATTAGGCAAAACGAACAAACAGACAAACGAAAACTTTTTAAATTGTGTTTTTTGAAAGTAACGTATGTGATTTCATATGCATTTAGTAAAAAGTTTTGATTTTAACATTACAAACAGACACCTCAATTTTATTTATCTGTATAGATATTGGGTTTTTTGTGGTGGAGACCCTCGATAGGAATAAGAACTCTGAAGCCCGCGTAAGATACTTTATTTGGGTACAAAAGTAAGTTACGAGAGAAATTGCCGGCTTTCTACCGACAGCTTCTAGTTCTGAATCAATCGAATTTGACTTGATTTTATTAGGATTCGTACTCTTGAATCTACAAATGTACGATATTTGAAATCAAATACAATGAAGGGCACACAAACATACACACTTTTTTGCCTATAAATGATGAGATAGGACATGCTTGTATCAAAACTGTCTCAATATCGAATCGAAATCGAATCGAAGAAAGTTTAAATATAAAAGTTTTTTAATTATAAAGGTTTAAAATTTTATTTAATTGTACATAAACAAAAAATATACATATTGCAAATGACATATTTTGTGGGAAAAACTCTCAGCTTTCTGAAAGAAAGTCAAATTTGATGTACCGCGCGCCGCACTGCAAGAAAAATAGCTTTTTTCATTTTGATTGGTTTTTAACGAGTTTTCCAAGGCATGTATGAAACAATGAATATAATATTCCCATTGAAAAGCTGAGAATTTTTCCTACAAAAAGATATATTTTCCTAATAAAAAAAATAATGTTTTTCAAGTCAAAAAAATTGATGAAAAAGTTGTTTTTTTTTCTCACAATTTCAAAAATACATATCTTCAGTTTCAGGGATTTTTTTTGTCTTAAAGTAGTGAACCCCTCCACCAATTTTGAAAAAAATCGGCGGGGCCCGCTTGCCCCGTAAAAAAGATTTTATTTGGTGGAATGAATATATTCCATGTGAACATTTTGTTAGCGCGTTTTAAAGTACAGCTAACGCCACCTAGTAACAAGTTAAGGAACTAATGTACTATGAACGATATATAATGACAGATGGCGGTGTTACAATTTTTTATTGTTTGTAGAAGATATAATTTAGTTAATTCTATATAAAAATTTTTTTAAATCTGACCTTCATAATCCATATTTAGAACACTTTTCTTGAAATTATCTGTGGTCGTCCACAGACAAGGCAGTTCATTCTTAATATTTTTCTTCTGTTGTATAGTTAAATCATCCCAGTTAGATAATTTGCCGAATGCAAATATAAGATCTGAAAAAATAAAACAACAAAATATAAAAAAAAACTAGCGACTCACTCCCACTTCGCTCGGATTTGTCCCTGGGTTGTTTCCCCATACAAACTTTCATCTCCATTTTCACCCCTTTAAGGATGGACGGAGGAGGAGGAGAGAAGGACGATTTCCAGGATAAAAACTATCCTTTGTCCTTCCCAGAGTCTCAAACTATTTTCTTACCAAATTTCATCTAAATCGGTTCATTCGTTTCAGAGCTTATTCAGTACAAGCAAACAAAAAAGTTTTCATAAAAATATTAGTACATATAGACTAGTGCTACAAAAATAATACTATCTTTTCGGATATTTTTCGCGGATTTATTTTGATTTTTGGTTCCCGACATTTCGAATGCTTCACAGCAATCATGCCTCATAGTTGCGGGTCATCTATTCCATACTAACCGTTAAAACGTAGGGAACCCGAGTGAAGCGAGGCCGAGTCGCTAGTTGCTTATAAAATTGTTAAATTATTTGATTTTTTTAAATTTAAATTAGGATATTTATTATAATTAACTTAATATAAAAATAAACAAATTAATAATTTTATATAACAATATAGTAATTGAGGTTAAATTGTTTTCTTACCAACAAATAGGATGTAACATCTTGAATTAAAATTATTATTATTATTATAAATCGAATTAACACATAGACTATAAGCAACGAAGTCAGGGGAAAACGCTAGTTAATAATTAGTTTATTCTTAATACAAAAACTTACCGTCAATCGAGAACTGTGTAGAAACTTGCGGCATATTTTGATCTTTAATCGTATTTAATCTGTGGAGAAAAAAAAGCTTTTTATTAGATTACATAAATAAATTAGCGGACTCGACAGACGTGGTCCTGCTTGAATAGGTCTTACTTTATTTGATCTGGCATGTGGTGTCTGCAGGGGCGGATCTATATATACGCTTTTTGGCAGTCCAGGGCCCCTAAGATATAACGGAGGGGGCCCGTTGAGAACCATCAATAATGTTGTCTACACTAATATTATAAAGAGGTAGTTTGTGACGTTGTAGGGGGTAATCTCTGGATCTACTGAACTGATTTAGATGAAATTTGGTAAGAAGATAGTTTGAGACTCTGGGAAGGACATAGGATACTTTTTATCCAGGAAATCATCCCTTAAGGGGGTGAAAATGGGAATGAAAGTTTGTATGGACAATCAACCTAAGGACGAAACCGAGCGAAGCGAGGGTGAGTCGCTAGTGAATTTATAAAATAAAAATATGTCTAAAATAATAAAAATTAAGACCCTAAGATACAATTAAGAACAATATCGTTGTCTTAATTTCAACTAGTACTATCTATCATTATAGATTTTGTAAAGACAAAACGACAGTTAAGGCCCCCGAGAAGTTTAGCCCAAATTCACAATCCGCCATTGGGTGTGTGGCATAGAATAGCACCACCCCCTTTATAGCCGAGGGTGTTGTAAAAGGCGACAAAGGAATAAATACGGGAGAATGTACAGCGTCATTATACGAGCGCACGCGCAAGTAATAGCGATCGGCATCTCGCCTGCCAAGCACGGCGATAATTTTCTTTTATTTTTATTGGGCAAACAAACAGTGTTTATACAATATTGTGTTTTACAAGTGTTTATACAATCACTAAATAGTATAAAACAAAGTCGCTTCCCGCTGTCTGTCTGTCCCTATATATGCTTAGATCTTTAAAACTACGCAACGGATTATGGATGCGGTCGTTTTTTCAATTCATAGAGTGGTTCAAGAGGAAGGTTTATATTTATATAATATATATAATACATGCATATTATAGTACAGAAAATCCGAGAAATTCAAAGATTTGTATTTCATACTAACCGTTAAAACGTATCAAGGAACAAACCCGAGTGAAGCGAGGGTGAGTCGCTAGTAGCTTATATAAATGGTTCATAGACAAATGAAGTTTCCACTAATAAGTTAATCATATCGAGCGGTGAAGTTGACAGTTACAAAAGAAATTACATATTACACTTAACAAAAACAATAAAAAAATAATACAAAAATTAACAAAAACTATGTATATGACTCTAAACATAAAATTTATCTGCGAAAAAAATGACTACTGGATAAATAAAAAATATTACATTATTTCTGTAATCAATTTTTTACATTTAAAAATGGAACATGTGTCAATATCTAATATTGGCAAACACACCCTCCCCCTGTTTAGGAGTTTAGTGACATACACACGTACAGTACAATTATATAATACTAGCAGAACGCGCGGCTTCGCTCGCACTAAGACTACAAAAAAAACTCTAAGAATTTAAGTTTCATACAAACTTTCATCCCCTATTTTACCCCTTACGGGATGAATTTTGAAAAAATGCTAAAACACGTATTTATTTAATTATATTGAAGAGCTTACCAAGTTTTAAGTAATTCTGATCAAACATATTTTTTTGGATTGTATTATAATACGTTATAACGTGTTTTTCCGTGGGAATGAGATAATTTCCTACGGTAAGAAGCCTATGTCACTCTCCAGCCCTCCAACTATCTCCACACAAAAAATCACGTCAATCCGTCACTCCGTTTCGACGTGAAAGAAGGACAAACAAACACACTTTTAAACAATTTCTAAGTGTCTAAAGCAATTAGTACCAATATATACTATCAACTCACCCTAAAACCAACTGCTCTAAACCAAATCGGTGCAATTTAAAATCTTCATATAATAACTTAGTCAAATCTTCAGCCTCAGTGCCTTTTGATTTCTGCATTAACTCTTCTAATACTTGTTGAAGGCTGTAACAGTATTTTTATAAATAATAAAAATATGTTGGGACATTGACACACAGCGCAATCTAGTTCCATGGTAAGCTACGAGGTTTTTGTTATGGATACCAAATAGTTGATACACTACACACATATAAATTTAAATACATACATATTACAAATATAAACAACCATGATTGGAGTACAAACATTTGTGCTCATCATACAAATGAATGCCCCGAGCAGGACGCTGGCACACCAAGTAGGATCACTATAAACTCTAAGCCAAACAAAATTAATATTATAACTCAAATATTTTTTTTTGTTTTTGTCATACAAACCCTAAACCGAAAGGTTTTTAGGTTTTGGGTTTCGGTTATGTTCTATAACCGGTTAAAACCCAGAAAGTGGTTATTGACGAATTTAGCTTCCACAATCGAAAATTAACTGGTTCAAATGAGTTTTTGTGCGTTTAAATTTGGTGAATCTTTACTAATAGCGAATTGCTTAGTAGATTGATACATGTACGTTTGTGGACTTAACCGGTCCATTCTCGTATCAAAATTTAATATTTATCTTTCTCTAAGAATAACCGTTAACCATTATTATTTTATTTTCTAAACCTCTCGTTTTTATTAACCGGTTAATGAATGAGCAATAAATTAATCATTTCATTACCAAAATAACCGTTTTTTAAAACCGGTTCCGAGACCTGATCCTTCCTCACAAATTTTATACTTAATTTAATAAAAAAGGTAAGAGATTTTTAAATTTTCTTACCCATCAGATTCCCATATGTCAGCCGCTCTCAACACTTCTATCAACCAAGGCGTAGCGTCACGAAGTAAATTCACAATATCGTCTCCAACAAACTCGAACCTTGGACTATCCGAATACGTCTTTAACAATTCAATCGTTATAGACACAGCTACTTGTAAGTTTCTCTAAAACAATTATGAATTTGAAAAACAAAATGACTAGTAAACTCATAAAAATAGTTTTTTATGGAGTTATAAAAAAATGAGTGCGTGTATCCTTTACGAGCGGTTGAAGTATAACTTCTTGGGCAAATATCGCAATTAAATTAAAACAAATCAATAATTAGGCGTGTTAGAATCATATATTTATAGAATATAATATACGGAAAGAATATAAAATTATATATTTGTCAGACAATAACAACGGTCACCATGGCAACATGGCAATGTATTCTATCTCATTCTCTCGCCAGCTCAATCCTATATATTTATGTGTTTGTCTCATTTTAGTGTCACATTTTCGGTTCATCGAGTTTCAAATCACAACGATTCTAAAGAAGTTTCACTTCAAAAGTATTTTGTTTCATCTTTTGCGGTGCTTTAAATAGATAAAATAGTTATTGCAGAAATGCTCTTTCAAATGCATTTTCCGGTGCGATACGCGCGCCATCTGTGTTAGTTAATTAACGCACACACATACACACAAACACACACACACACACACACGTGCATGTGTCACTTTCGCATTTGTATTCAGCCCTCTTTAACGCCCCACTGCTGGGCGCGGGCCTCCCTTCAATACGAGGTGGATCAGGCCATAGTCCACCACGCTGGCCAACTGCGGGTTGGCGGACTTCACATGTCCTTTGAAAACTTACTAGGTTCTCTCAGACATGCAGGTTTCCTCACGATGTTTTCCTTCACCGTTAAGACAAGTGGTAATCATGTTGGAAATGATTCGCACATGAAAATATCAGAGGTGCGAGACCTGGGATTTGAACTCGCTTCACTCGGTTTCCCAAGCAAGCGCGTCACCACTGGGCTACCACTGCCTTTCGCATTTATAATAGTAGTATTATGGAGTCGTCACTGCATCTCACACTTTACCTATACCTATTTACATACCTGACAAAACTTCAAAAGTGACTGTATTGTTTTACTTTTCGTTATTTGACTTGAATCTGGTTCTGAAAAAAATAATAAATAAAACATTTATTAGTACATATGTATATTATAATTTTCACTTAATGATTTGTTTATTTATTATTATTTAAATGATATTTTGTCGATAAAATCCATCGATTAAAAAAATACTAGATACACAATCAGCGACAAAAAATGTCCTCACCGAATGAGCGCTCATTTGAACATTTGAGCGTGCTTTATTTTTTTTTTGAGAAAACAACTTTAAGTAATGCATTTAAGGTTCAATTTACATTGTTGTATATTTATTTCAGCTAGAATACTTATATTTTATTATATGTATAGATCTATACATATAATAAAATTGTAACTAAGTCGAATCTGTACATTAAATATTTTTTTGGAAAATCTTACTGAAATAGACATTATTATCGTTACAGAGTCCGAATCTATAGTTTTTAGAATTTTTTCTGAGAAAATATACATAAACTGCATTTTAAGAGTATACTAATATGTAAAACCTAAGAATTTGGTTTTTGGTCATCTGAACGCGGGCGGAGCCGCGGGCAATGCTAGTACCAAATAAAATTATCTTTTCGGATCATTTCGCAGACTAGTTTTAATTTTTGATTCCCAACGTTTCGAATGCTTTATAGCAATCATGGTCACGGAAGAGACTGCCCACTCACTGATCCTCGTACTGAAGTGAGACCCACCCCCAGCAGTGGGAAGTTAAAAAGGTCTGAATACATACATACATAATATTTACATACCTAATGTAGTTTCTTTTGCAGCTGAAGATGTTCTGAAATAAAATATAAATTTTGTATCTGTATTTTTTTTATTTTAATTATATAATAACTTAATGTAACACGAATAGTATGTGCCAAGAAATTTTCCGTCTAGTTTAATTATCTAGATTTCTGAAGTGTCAAAATTCTTAGTTACAGACGAGTACTTGCAAAATGCGGTTTTTTCAGGAAAAACACCTATAAAGATAAACTTAACAAACAAAACCTTATCTAAATGCAAAATTTGAACAAAATCGTCAGAGCCGTTTCCGAGATACACGAAATAAATTTATATTTATGTATACAAGATTTGCTCATTTAATATTATAAGATTGTAACAAATATGTTTTTTTTTGTAAATCTTGAACCACATTGAATTAAATAAATACATAAAAATCGTTATTGCATATAACTATTTAAAATATCAAATATTAGCATAAATCTATAAAAGTTATATATCTTTATATATATAATTCTTCTGTGAGTGTGTATGTCACTGAACTTCTCTCAAACGACTGGACCGATTTTGATGGAAATTTTTTGTGTGTGTTCAAGGGGATCTGGGAATGGTTTAGATTCACAATTTGAATAATAATTTTCATCAAAAAAATTATTAAAAAAAGTTTGAAATTTTCAAATTAAAGACGTGTAGACAGGACAACGTCTGTCGGGTCCGCTAGTATATATTATAAACACATTACATGTATAATATAATACAATCTATAAATATAATAAAATTCTAATTGAGTCGAATCTGTCTGTACATTAAATATATTTTGAACATCTTATTGAAATAGACATTATTATCGATACAGAGGCCGAATTTATAGTTTTTTTAGAATTTTTGTCTGTTTGTCTATCTGTGACCGCATCACAAGAAAACCACTGGAGAGATTTCGATGAAATTTAGTATGACGATAGCTGGTTATCCGAGTCAACATATAGGATACTTTTTACTGCGGGAAAATATGTCATCTCTGAGAAATATATACTAAATGTTAAAATATAAACGTAACGTTAAATTTCATTATATAAAGAAGAACTAGCATACATACCCTTTTACTACTCCCTTATTCTCATCAGAACCTACATCTTTTATTCCTTGGAAAAACAATTTGAGCATTTCATACAAATTGGTCTCTGATTTCAATTTTGAAAATACTATCGCAATATAGAAGCTTTCGTGAAATCTGCAACAAAAATTACGACCAAAAATTATTATTTCATCTACGAGTCCATCTCTTATGTTAATATCTCTAAAACCATTAGATTAAATATTTAAAGCTCACAAACCAACGTACAGATATACAATTAATCTACGGAACCGTAAAATTAAGAAAAAAAAATAAAAAAAACATACCTGATCTTTAAATTCTCATCCAACAGTTCATTCAATCCGTTCACTTCTCCCCGTTCACTCAATACTTTTAATATATCACGTATAGATGTATTGCAGAGTAGTTTGGAGTTTGATTCTCGTGCAGGTCTTTTTGCTTGAGGCTCACCGTCTGATTTGAGTTGTACTAAAAATATATTTTTATACTCAGACTAAAGAATTATAAACGCGGAATCCGGCAAAATAAATGTGAATGTCAAAAATAGTAGCGTGATTCGATATAGCGTATTCTCGATTTTTCCATACAGGCCGCTTATTTTCTTTATAAATAAAGATAATTTTATATAAACGTTTAGAATAGAAAGACTAATATAATATATACATAGGCATGATGAGTTTTATATCTCTTACTCGAAAAACTATTGATTCCCCGTACAAATTTCCAGCACCCAACCCCCCCCCCCCCTTTGACCTGATATGATTTCCGGGATAAAAACTGTTCTGTCCGGCGGATTAACCATAAAAAGATAACAAACAGACAGACAATTGCTTTCGCATTTGTAATATTAGAGATTAGTCGTTAATTTACAATTTTTACATTATTATTTGGAGAGAAGAGATCTCTATCGAGAAAGAAGCGAGAAGGGAGAGAAAGAGATAGAAAAGAGAAGAAATAAAGAAAAGAGAGAGAGAAGAAATAGAAAATACTCACGTTTTACAGCTTCTGTGAGAAAATCCGCCGCGTTTGCTAACATTTGTTTTGTGTATGATTCTATCAAAACTCTCACTTCCGTCACTACCGCCTCCCTGTCCCGCTCTGCCATAAATTGTAATCCGTTTTTAGCCTGAAAGTAAAAAAGAACCTATTAAAATAAAACTGTCTTATACAGACTATTTTATACAGAAATCATAGTCACGAGAGAAACTAAAACTTGTCTCTGTCTAACCGACTTTTAAAGAAAGAGGTTTTATTATGTATATATAAGAATATATACGAATATAGGGAATAGATTAAGAGCTATTTGTATTTAGATTAAAAAAATGTACATAATACAGTATATACACATGTATTATGTCTGTGGATTTTTTGATATTTGTCAAAACATCAAATAATCTAAAATTGAGCATAGTTCTAAGAAAAAATCTAAAATATTGACTAAGACTTTACTAAAATACACGAGCACAGTTAAAGCGAAGCACTAGTATATACAATAGATAATACTTTACCAAAGACAAGCCCTCGACAGTCTGTAAATGATCCTTTAGAGATATAGTATCAAATATGACCGTGACGTCATCACTGCCTCTGGCATTTCGTATATAACTGTCCAAAATTTGCAAACACTTCAATTTCTCTCGACCGTTTGCCAATTTCGGTACTAAGTCTGTGATCACTCTGAAAGTAATACAAATCATAATCTATCAATTATAATAATAATTATTTTTAACTAGCGGCTCACCCTTGCTCCGCTCGGGTTCGTGCCTAGTGAAAATTTAGGTTTGTATGTATTTTTAATGCCGAATCATAAAAAAAAAAGGTTTGTCCAAGAAAATACTTTTTTTTTTCAAATTTTGTTCACAATTTCGTAGGTTTTAATTTTTTTGGTCGGAACCATAATTAGTTTATAAAATAAAAATAGCCTACACTATAAGGAGTGACCTTATAACATCTAAGGCTATATAGCTATTTGCTAGTAAAAGTCCCGTCAAAATCGGTCCACCCGTTTCGTTAATATAAAAAAAATACGAATTACGAAGGCGTAATTTAAAAAAAATATATTATACATGAAAATATAAGTTTTATTATATTCCCATTTTGAGACAAATAGTATATTAATCAACAGAGTTCCACAAATTACACTAGCCGGTATTCGAACTTATTATCTTCAAATAAACTCACCTAACATTATCCTTTTCACAGACCATCGGATAACTTTTTTGCGTGTAATATAACAACTTTATATACTCCGTGACGTTTTCTCTTCGTAACTTTGCCAACACTTTCTTAAAACTAAAAAAAAAAAATGTGCAATTCACACATCGTAGAAGTGAAGCTTCAGAAAATGATATGAATATAGAGTATCAGGAGTAGGATAATCATAGGATTTTTTATATAATTTTCACCAAGTTTAAAAGTTATTTTACATTTTATTTGACATAAATATAAACATTACATAATAATCAGTAATGAATTTTATTATTTTTCACTTCCTGTGTAATGTATTCTATCAAATAACAACGGTTACCATGACAACGGTTACCATGGCATCATCGCAATGTATTCTATCTCATTCTATCGCCGGATTAATCCTATATATTTATATGTTTGTCTCTTTTTACTGTCACATTTCCGTTGCATCGAGTTTCAAATCACAACGATTCTAAAGAAGTTTCACTTCAATATTAAAAATAACTTGCAAAAACACGCCCTTGTCCAAATGTCATGGTTTTTACGAGTTTCTATGCAATTAAAAGTTTCGATCACCATAAGATTTCATGGTATCAAACTATTAAACACTCGGCTACCCATTTTTACCCCCTTAAGGGATGAATTCCGGGATTAAAAGTATCCTATGTCCTTCCCAGGGTCTCAAACTCACAAACCTTACCTCACTAGCATTGCCCGCGGCTTCGCCCGCGTTCAGATGACCAAAAACCAAATTCTTAGGTTTTACATATTACTATACTCTTACATTGCAGTTTTTGTTTTTTTTCTCAGAAATGAAACATTTTCCCGCGGTAAAAACTATCCTATATGTTGATCCGGATAACCAGCTATCACCATACCAAATTTCATTCAGTGGTTTTTCTGTGATGCGGTAACAGACAGACAAAAATTCTAAAAACTATAGATTCGGCCTCTGTATCGATAATAATGTTTGTTTCAATAAGATTTTCCAAAAAATATTTCATGTAGAGATTCGGGTCAGTTAGAATTATATTATATGTATAGATATATACACACCGACTTCGAAAATATCTAAGATTAGGTGTAGGTAAATGAAATTACCAATCAGTTATTTTTTAATTATTTATTTTTAAAAAGTATTAAATAGGACTAATCGCTTTATTGAACTGAGAAAAAAAGGGTGTATTTTTTTTTAAATAAATACAGACAGTATGAAATACATACAATTCGCTCTGTATAAAGAAAGAGGAGTAATCTATACATAGAATACAAGTTTTATGTGTGTATGTTTTTCAATCCTTCGTGATGAAACGGCTGGACGAATTTGGATAAAACTCAGTACACAGATAAACTATGAGTTGGAGTAACACATAAGCTACTCATAATACTTCCTTAGATTTACGCGAATATAAGACATTTTAAATAAAACTATCTTTTCGGATTCTTTCGCGAATTTATTTCTCTCCCGCGACCATGATTGTTGTAAAGCATTCGAAATGTCGGGAACCAAAAATTCAAATAAATTTGTGAAAAAATCCGAAAAGGTAGTTTTATTTAAAACATAGGCTACTGTCAGAAACCATTCGTTATTAAGCTAAGGTAAGACGCTATGATGCAGTGGTAGCCCAGTGATAAAGAATTCGCCTGGTAAACCAGTGAAGTGGGTTCAAGTCCTCGGACCTCCGAAATGCATATTCATATCATGTGCAAATCATATCCAACAAGATTACCACATGTCTTACTGTGAAGCAAAAGATCGTGAGGAAACCTGCATGTCTGAGAGAACGTAGCAAGTTGTCTGCAGACACGCTCAGTCCCGCACTCGGCCAGCGTGGTGGACTATGGCCTGATCCCACTCGTATTGAAAGGAGGCCCACTCCCAGCAGTGGGATATTAAAAAGGGCTGAATATATACAACACAAGTCACTATTAGACCTATAAATATTACTTTTACATACCGTTCCAAATATACTCTATTATTCTTCTCCAAACTCAATGCCATTCCGAACAATTCGCATATTTCAATGAAGAAGTTATTCTCTTCAATCGCTCGGGTCAAAGCTGGTAGTAATTCTGGTACATATTTGTTAGATTTTGAGATAGTTTTTAAAATGTTCAAGCATATTTTTAATATGTCCGGATCTCTTTCTGTAATTAAACAAATTTGTTTTTTTTAACCCTAATTCTTTTTGTAAAATAAAAATAGCATAAGCTACTCCTTATAACATCAGCTATGTGCCAGTGAAAGTCCCGTCAAAATCAGTCCAGACTTTCCGGAGATTAACCGGAACAAACACACAGAAAGAAAAAAATTTTTTTTATAAGTACCGTAAATAATTTCATATATATTTAGTAACAAGCTGTTAATTTGACATTATATACAGACACTTCAATTTTATTTATCTGTATATATTGTTTTCAACCTACAAATTACGAATGTAACAACAACACAAGTGGAAATATTTCAGGCTACCATTTTTTACTTTATTACCTGTAAAATGTTTTTCGAAATTGCTCCAAGGTATTATAGAATTCTGCCAAATATCCAATAACTTCACTAATCTGTCAATTAGCGAGTAATAAATATTTTTCCTGGCTCTATAGTCTATGGCTGTATTTATTACATACTCTATGGTTTTGTTCACTTCTTCATTGTTATCGTTTGTTTTTTCTTTCCATAAAATAAAGCAATCTAGCTGAAATTTGAATTGATAGTCGAATATATTCTATTGATATACAAAAACTCAGCTCATTTTTAAATCTGTTTTGTTCATTGCTTTTCAGATGACAAAATTAAAACGCACGTTGTTTCGTTCAAAAAAGTACTTTATGTCATTGATGTGGTGTACGAAAGTTCCAATTTGTATTTCAACAGTTAGAACTTTCGACTTTTGGAAATTTATTTTTTAGTTTGACTTAACGTCACATGTCGACGCCACTTTTTGTAGATAATTGTTAGGAAATGGGCATCTATGTTTTAATACATAAATGACATATTATAGCCAAGTTTCAGAACAAATCTAGACATATTTGATAGAGAAATGTTTAGCTTGTATAAAAAATATAATGTCATAAAAGATATAAAGATCAAAGTATCCACAGACTATAAAATAATTAGAACTGTCACTTTTAAGTAGTAGTAGTAGTGTGTACTGTCGCTAGTTTCAAAAACAACCACTAGGGAAATCTATTCATATTTTATATTTTTATTTCATATCTTATAAGTGTTGAATGTGGCAGTAGGATCACAGAAAAAACAATAAGTGCGAGTAACCTTGTGGCAGATACCGTAATTAAATCAAAATGTAAATAAAATGATTTTATTTAATTATTAATAATAAACTTGAGTCTCATTTCCTCAAAACTCAGGTCACGCCTAAACAAGTTACTGCAAAAAAAAATTACAAAGAAAATATGAACAGACAGAGAACAGAAATAAAAATATAGATATTTTATTTTACTTAAAAATTGTTAAAAGCATATATATTTTTATGAATTGATAATTATTACATTAAATATCTATTATTATAATAAACAAATTATATGAATATTTTAAGGTATCTCTTTAAACGTAAAGACGGACAGTATGTTTGTTCCATATTTTGTGTGTATGTACAAAAATATTAATATTATCACTTACAATATCAACATGTAGGTCATTTAATTTGTTGTTCTTTACTGTTTTTATTATGACAGCGAGCAACGCCGGCTGAAACCCACTAGCGTGTGCTTTCAGTTCGTCCTTACTGTTGCATATTGCCTGTAGATTAAAAGAAAAAATATCTATATAAAGCTTCTATAAAGTAGTTTTATTGGGGGCCCGCCATCGGGGCGTCGTGGTTATGTGCGTGATTGATCCTGCGACGCCCCATTAGGATAGAATTAAAAAAAGACTAAATAATTATATAAATAATACCCAGAAATGAGATATTTTCCTATATGTTAATAGATTAGTCGTTCATTTTTAAAACTACATACATATATTTATTTGACGACACGTTTGGCTCAGTTTGTAGCGACCCTACTTGTTGTGCCTGCGGTCGCGGGTTCGAGTCCCGCTGGCGACATTCATTTGTGCGATGAGCATGAATGTTGGTACTTCAATCATGGGTATTTATATTTATAGTATGTATATACATATTTAAAGTTATATATGTATAGAGTATCAGCTATCTGGTATCCATAACACAAGTATCGTAGCTTACCATGGAACTAGATGGTGCTGTGTGTTAATGTCCCAACATATTTATTTATTTTATTTTTTTATTTACTTCTCACAGTAGTATTCTATTAATATTTGTATACTATTTTCAAACTTTAATAATGTCTTGCTTCACATTTAATATGTACAAAGAAACTGAAGTTTATAAGTAAGTAATTATTGTATTAAATTAAAAAAAATCCTTCGAGACGTGTAAAACCTTAGTCTCTCCCGTGACCATGATTGCTGTAAAGCGTAACGTCGGGAACCAAAAATCAAAATAAATCCACGAAATAATCCGAAAAGATAGTTTTATTTATTATTATTATTCTTGATCTATAACAAATCAATAATATAAATACCTGTGCCAAAAGCCATTTGACATTTGCAGGAGTTTCATCACTTTTCAGGGTGTTTTCTAGATTCTTCCTGCACTGTTCGTCTTGTATTGCATTTTCCTTATTCAATAGAGCTTTGAAGGCCGCCATACATTGGTGTCGGTTGAGAGGACTATCTTTTAGCTGTATTTCTTGAGGTTGAGTCTGGAATATACGTGTATATTACATATTAAATAACTAGCGAATCACTTCGTCTCTAGGTACGTTTAGTATGAATGTTAGTATGAACACACGCACTATATATATATATATAAATATTTATAAATCTATAATATATGTATACTAGCATTGCCCGCGGCTCCGCCCGCGTTCAGATGACCAAAAACAAAATTCTTAGTTCTTTAGTAAGGGCTCGGAACCCGTTTAAATGGTTAATTCATTGAAATAATAATGCTTAACGGTTATTTTTAGAAAGATTGGTACATAAGTAAGAAACGAGCATGCATCCTTCTACTAAGCCATTAACCATTAGCAAAGATGCGCCAGGTGTTAATACATAAAAACTCATTTTAACCGGTTAATTATGTTCATGGAACCTAAATTCATCAAAAACCGTTCTCCCGGGTTGAACCGGTAAAAAAACGTAACCGAAACCTTAAACCGAAAAGCCATTCGGTTTGCGGTCAATGACCAAGACGACGACGATCGGTTTAAAAATTGAATGGGTTTCCGAACCGTTTGTAATGATTGGAAGTTTGAAAGCGAGCGATGCTGCGGGTACTGCTAGTAAATAAATGCGTATACAATGAATGTGTAAAAAACATAGCAACACTGGACATTGGTTGTGACAGGCTCTCACGTTTTGTGAAGAAATGTAACGACACATTAGCAAATTAACTAATCATGAACTTTTTATAATAGCCAAAAAATTTTTTATTACAGAAATTTATTTATTAAACTTATTTTTGTAGTAATTAAGTAATTTTTAATCACTTTATAAGCATGATTCCCCATACAAACATTCATTCCCATTTTCACCCTTTTAAGGGATGATTTCCGGGATAAAAAGTATCCTATGTCCTTCCCAGTGTCTCAAACTATCTTCTTACCAAATTTTATCTAAATCGGTTCAGTAGATCCAGAGATTGTCCCCTACAACGTCACAAACTTACAAACTTTACCTCTTTATAATATTAGTATAGATTATAAAGACTGGCTATTGTTTTAGAATGATGTGCTCTCCTATAATTGACAGTATATAGTAATTTAAATATATGCAAGGCATGTATGTGTTAGATATAAGTTAGTAACTATTGGAGATGCATACAAATAAATAAATAAATAATAAATACAAGATGTCTGTATACATACCACTTCTGTATCTTCATGAGTCAGATCGTATTGGAACGGGTTTTCGGACAGCGTGCGAGTGAACATGCGTGTTTTCACGCTGGCGGTGCGCAGAGACACGTCTGTGGCGAGGTGGGGCGCGGCGTGGCGGGTCGTACGGTAGTTCTGAACAAAAATTGAATTTTTGACGACACGTTTGGCTCAGTTTGTAGCGACCCTACTTACTGTGCCAACGGTCGCGGGTTCGAGTCCCGCTGGAGACATTCATTTGTGCGATGAGCATGAATTTTTGTACTTCAATCATGGATGTTTATATTTATAATATGTATGTATTTCAAGTTATATGTTATATGTGTAGTGTATCGCATATATAGTATCTATAACACGAGCCTCGTAGCTTACCTACTGTGGAACTAGATGGTGTAGTGTGTTAATGTACCAGCATGTTTAATATTTATATTTTCATTTGATTTGTGGGGATACCATGGAAAAAATCGCGCTTTTTACTCTTTTTAGTACGATAGTGTGGAAATGAGTTTTTGACCAAATCTACCATAGTAAGGATTAGAGATGAGACGGATATCCGGCAAGTATCCGGTATCCGGCCTTATTTTTCTATTCGACCGGATATTTAGTATGCCAAAATGTAGCTTTTCAGTAATGTTGTATTTATGAGTCCATTTTGTTGTCTCATAAATCATGATTTTTGCAGTTTTTTTTTAATTTAAAAAACGTCTTTCTTTTAAATATTCGGTATTCGGCCAATTTCAACTTATTTTGCTATCCGACCGAAGACTAAGTAAGACAAATGCTTCGATCGATCTCTTTCTGTAAGGAGAAAGAGAAATTACCATATTTGGAAGAGGAAACCTTTAAAACTCTTACCCATTGCTCTCTTATAGGAAGCTGGAGTTCCTCCTCATCAATCAACTTCCCCCAGAATTTTGTATCAAACAATATCCTGTACTTCTCAGGACTTGGGTCTCGGAGACAAAAGGCTGCCACCAGACAATTGTAATTTGCACGATGGAACAACCTGATGGAAAATATTATATTATTCCAATTTAAGTGAAACGCATTGAGTGACGTCATCGCTGCCTTTATAATGTGATAGACTATTAATCCAGGGGTTCCCAAATGATGGTCGGCAGATTCCTAGGGTTCCGTGGAGGGGTCCCAGAGGTTTTGAATTCCGTCCAATAAATATTTATGATTTGTTCTTTTAAGTAAAACAAGAAAATATTTTAAATACAACAGAATCAGTTTAATTATTATCAAAACGGGGAATAAGGGTTCCGTGGCCATTAAAATTTGGGAATCGCTGTACGATTCAGCCATCTTGCACGGTGAGGCGTTCCCGACTGGCATACTTACTTTTACTTTACGTCGCCCTTAGTTTTTATTTGTTCAAACCACCAATACTCGTTGTACTTTACAATAGAGTTTTTTTCCTTTATTTTAAAAATAGAGTTTCTTTCATACATATATAGATAAAATATATTTTTTCCACTTTTTTAAAGTGAAATATGTAATTTATATACCAATAAAATTGACATTTAAAAATCAATAATTCTTTATTAAAAACTATTTCGGTAAATTGGTCGTTTGGATAAATAATTTTTGGCTTCCGACGTTTCAAATGCTTTACAGCGCATATGGTCACGAGAGATACTAAGGTGTTACACGTCCCAAAGGTCATTCATTATATAGTTGCTACAGATAGCACCTATCCACAAAATTATACAACGATTTTAAAAACCAGTCATTTTATTAAATAGTGACCAAAAATCTATATAAATCCGCAAAATTTTTTTTATTAAGATAGTTTTATTTAAAACATTACCTGTAACTACCATCCACATGACTGCACAAAGTGACACACAATTTGCAAACAATCTTTACGAGGTAGAAAGGCGTGGTCGCACCCGCAGTGTTACTATATAGAACCGAATTAGTCGAGTCTATATTTTTTTTTGGTACCTGAAATAAAATAATTACACGCATAAAAGATTAATTGTAATATACGGGACTCACTAAGACGAATTAAATGAGTCCAAACTCGAAGGTTTTACCAAAAGCTGTTGAAGAGTTCCACTATCTTACTTTTGGCCCCATGAAATAAAAAAAAATAAAAAAAATATTCGGCATTAAATAAGTTTTTTTTTCTGAACATCGTAATTCTACCAAAAGTATGAAAAGAAGACTTAATGCTGAAAGGAACTGGCGTAAGAAGCTCAGTGGAGCTTTTTTTTTTAATTTGTAAGGAAAATTATAAATTTCAATATTTGTCTAACATTGAAATTTATAAATTACATAAAAATAGCCTGCCCTTTTTAATCTCCCACTGCTGGGGGTGGGTCTATCTTCAATACAAGGGAGATCAGGCCATAGACCAACAGTTGGCAATACAAATAACCTGGAGGCGATCGTTTACAAATAATGATTGATTATAGGCATAAAAATTATTTATTTTGAGATTGAAAAGACGTTATATTATTTTATATTATTTGAATGAATAGCTACAATTTTTGATAGCATTATATGAATACTGGCGACTCACTTACGCTTCGCTCCGATTCGTCCCTAGCTTGATTCCCCATATAAACTTTCATCCCCATTTTCGTACTCTTAAGGGTTGATTTCCGGGATAAAAGTGTCCTATGTCCTTCCCAGGGTCTCAACCTATCTTCTTACCAAATTTCATTTAAATCGGTTCAGTAGATCCAGAGATTAAGCCCTACAACGTCACAAACTCACAAACTTTACCTCTTTATAATATTAGTATAGATAAGAGCACTGATAAAAGATAGCAAAAACTTCAATTCTCTTGTTAATGCCTTCAAAGCGTGCCCGTTGAGAATAAATTACTATGCCAATGTCACTTCCAATGAAGAAGACTGTCTACTTGCTGTGCCAGCGGTCGCGGGTTCAAGTTCCGCTAGGGGCATTCATTTGTGTGATGAGCACGAATGTTTGTACACCAGTCACGGGTGTTTATATCTATAACATGCATGCATTTAAAGTAAAACATGTGTAGTGTATCAACTATCTGGTATCCATAACACAAGCCTCGTAGCTTATCATGGATCTAGATGGCGCCACACATATTTATTTAGATTTATAATAAAGCGCCTTATGTCAAACGCAATAGGGTCGACAATAGGAAATTTAACGTCAACAGTTCTTACCTTTTCAAATATAACTTCAATAATATTGAGCGCCCTCACGTAGTCTTGTATGCATTTTTCATGAGTATAATGTAATGTGCTCGCTCGAGGCACAAATTTGAGTGTGGAAAGAAGATCTTCTAATATTTTAGAGAAGAAAGTCTCACAATCAGCCGGCTTTGAGTATCTGTTTCGAAAGAAATATATATAATTGTGGGAATTTAAAAAAAAAATAATAAGCCAAAAAAACACAAAAAAAAACCAAATCCTTATAGAAAATAGAAATATTTATGTGTCTAGCTTTCTGTCTGTCAATCTGTCACACCATATTCATATAGCTCAGATACACTCTATCGAGGAGTAGAGTGTCCACGAGTTACCAAACAGCTAGAATACACTTGAGAGAGAATGCTATCTCCCTCTCTTTCTTCCTCTCTTTGTTCCACTCTATTCTTGTAGCTTTAACAAACTCACCGTAACAAAGGCAATAAGAGTCGAGAAGTAGAGTGTCCACGAGTTTGCAAGCAGCTGGAATATACTCGAGACAGAATGTTAACTCCTTCTACATCTCCCTCCCCCGCTATCCCACTCATACACATCTGCATGGCGTCATCCCACCATCCTTTTGTATCGTCATCTAAATTAAATTAGTATTGAATTATAAAAGATAGACAAATGGAAAATACATCAGTCTGATTGAATAAAGATGTATTTAATTTCAATGAGTTCTAACTCATAAATTGTAGAAGACATTACAGTATTGGAATTCTGAACTAATTGACTCCAAAAAGACCAAACTTCAAGCTCTTCCTAGTGACCATTAAAGAGTAGGGTGGAAGGAAAAAAATTTTTTTTTTTCATATACGGGGGTAGAATTTGTTGAAATTTTTTTGAAAAGTTTTGAGGTGGCCTACTGATTTTATATAAATAAATAAATTTTTGCTCATCTTTGAAAACATTCAAGAATCGAAGAATATAGTCATTTTCTACTCAGCTTTCACTTCCTCTTCTTCTCAACTTCCAAAAGCTATATCCTTCCCAGGGTCTCAAACTATCTTCTTACAAAATTTCATCTAAATCGGTCCAGTAATTTTTGAGTTTATTCATTACAAACATACAAAACTACAAATCTTTCCTCTTTATCCTATACATATAATAAAATTGTAACTAAGTTGAATCTGTACATTAAATATTTTTTGGAAAATCTAATCGAAATAGACATTATTATCGATACTGAGTCCGAATCTATAGTTTTTAGAATTTTTGTCTGTCTGTCTGTCTGTCTGTTACCGCATCACGAGAAAACCACTGGACAGATTTTGATGAAACTCAGCATGATGATAGCTGGTTATTCGGGTCAACATATGGGATACTTTTTACCGCGGAAAGTATCTCATGAGATCTCATTCATCATTTCATCTGAGAAAAAAAATACAAAAACTGCATTGTAAGAGTATGTAAAACCTAATACTAATATGTAAAACCTAAGAATTTGGTTTTTGGTCATCTGAACGCGGGCGGAGCCGCGCGCAATGCTAGTAATAGTATAAAGTAATAAATTTATGTTAAAAAATAACTCACTCGAAGCAATTCCAGCAACTAAATCCACTAACTCGAAGTTCTTCCTTGACAAAATATCCAATAAAACTCTAAAACAAGTGGCTGATGTTCCAGACAGCTCGCTTAGACGAGATGGTAAATGGGGACATAACTTTGTGTATATTGAACTGAAAAAGAAAAAAAATAATGTATTGTCGGGCTAGTGGCTAGCATATCGGTGCAGATCTAGAGGTCCTGGGTTCGAGTCCCGGCTCAGGTGCAGTATAGTTACTAAGCTTTATTTGTTAAGAAATGCTCAGTAACAGAATAGAGACAGCACCTTGTGTCTCTCTATCTTCAACGCACTGTACAAACAAACTTAATTATATAATAATTTTCTTAAAAATAATAAATGTTATTTTTGGTAAGTAAAAATTTTCAATTTCTATAAGTAAAAGTCTTTGTCTCTTTCTTTCTATGGAAAACAACATAAAAAAAGTCTCATACCCAATTTTATTACTCGTCGCCATGACAATTTCTATTTTATTTGTTATATTCAAATTATTTTCATTAATTTTTTCCCAAACCCACTCCTCCATATTGGCTGGCAAAACTGGCAAAGACGTCAAGAGATGTAGCTTTTGTTCCCACGTGCTCACATTACAAAATGTCGGCCATAACTAAAAGAAGAACAGAAGGAGATTTTAAAGATACATAATATATATACGACATATATAACTTTAAATACATACATATTATAAACATAGACACCCATGACTGGAGTACAAACATTCGTGCTCATCACACAAATGTATGTCCCCAGAGGGACTCAAACCCGCGACCGCTGGCACAGCAAGTAGGGTCACTACAAACTGAGCCGTCGTCAAAAATCGATCAAATCGTATTATGTATAAAACTAGTCAAAAACTAAAATCAGTCAAAATCTAACCATTTCAGCTAACTCTAAGGCCTCTTCGGTCTTATTATCTCTTAGTGCGGCTCTCACTATATCTATCAATAGCACACTGCTATGTTCCAGGCCAGATATTAGAAATATATACGGTTTTCTAATGAAATATTTATAAGAAACTCTCATGAATGTGCGAAAAAAGTTTATACATTCATTTGTTTCATCTGAAAAAGAAATAATAATAATAAATATCGAGTGACTAACGATTAATTGTATTCAGCCCTATTTAACGTCCCACTGCTGGGAGTAAGCCTCCCTTCAATACGAGGGAGATCAGGCCATAAAATCACAAATATTCTCTACTAGCATTGCCCGCGGCTCCGCCCGTGTTCAGATGATCAAAAAGCAAATTCTTAGGTTTTACATATTAGTATACTCTTACAATGCAGTTTTTGTATTTTTTCTCAGAAATGAGATATTTTCCCGCGGTAAAAGTATCCTATATGTTGACCCGGATAACCAGCTATCACCTTACCAAATTTAATCAAAATCTCTCCAGTGGTTTTTCTGTGATGCGGTAACAGACAGACAGACAAAAAATTCTAAAAACTATAGATTCGTCCTCTGTATCGATAATAATGTCTAATTCAATAAGATTTTCCAAAAAATATTTAATATACAGATTCGGCTCGGTTACAATTTTATTATATGTATAGATTGTCAGGACAAGGTTTGTATGAAAAAAATATTTGAAAAATTGTACGAAAAAGTGAAAAATTTGTTAAAAAGTATGTTAAAAAATATCCATATAAAAAGAGTTGACAGATTGTCGTTCAGTTGTTCAATTTCTTACATTGTTTTTCTTAATATGTTGTTTTGATTGTTTTGTAAAAAATAGAAGTAAAAAAGTTTTAGAATTTTATATTATTAAAAATACGTGCTAATTTTAAAAATATTAGCGACTGCAACTAGTCCATCTATTAACATAAGTGATAATCTGTTATAACATAAAAATTATATTTAAAAAAGATATTGACAAGTTTGTCAAAATGTAAGATTATTATTTATTATATATTTTATAATAATAAACTAGTGGCTCACGCTTGCTTCGCTCGGGTTCGTCTCTAGGAAAACAAAAACAAACCTATCCCACGATACCGTACATTTTTCCGGGATAAAAATATAAATGAATACATAAATATCATATACAAAAATAATCTACGATAAGTTGTGAACAAAAATGGATCCGTCCATAATCTTGCTAAAGTGAACAGTTCCGGAGGATGTAAAAGTAGCAATTTTTCTTATTTATTTGATTTTTTGGAATACAACTATTAATAAGTATATGTGTTAGTTAATCCTTAATAAGGTACAATTTTTTTTCAAAAAAACTATTAAATACGAAAAATTGCTACTTTTACATCCTCCGTAACCGTTCACTTTAGCAAGATTATGCACGCAATCATTTTTGTTCAGAATTGATTGTAGATTAATTTATATATGACACTTTTGCGCTAAACCGAATAGTTTTCGATTTTTTACAGAAAAACTACTAATTTATCAACTTATAACACCCTCCCACCCCAAACCTGACGCTCAAAATGGTGTAACTTTTTACCAAACAATGATGATGATGTTCTCCTAGCCGATTCCGGCCACGGCGGCCAATCTCAATGAGATTAGCCAACTGCGCAGGAGATATTATAGTGCTCTATTCCTGTCACTCTCATACTCCGGTGGGACGACCACTCGACACTCGCGGTGAGAGTGTCGGCGCAGGACCGACGGCTTTACGTGCTCTCCGAGGCACGGGGGTGAAACACCGCCCACTTCCCAACTCCGGGCTGTTACTGAGACTTACTATACAGGAAGACTCAATAACTAAACTTGGCCCGACCCGGGACTCGAACCCAGGACGTCCGGGTGTGCAGCCGTACATGCTAGCCACTACACCACCGAGGCAGTTAACAATATGTGGACTGTATAGAACAATTTGGAGCTGGAGGCAAACTTGCACTTTGGATGTTGAGGCATGGGTCTAATTGCACCATACTATAAACGTGTCAAACAATAAAGATGCTTACTTTTCGATATTAGGTCTTTAAGATCATCCTGTGTAAATAAACGTAAAGACAGATCGACTAAATCCATCAAATACTCCATTTTGTTTTTCATATTTCTCTCAATAAAACCCGTTTCGTGCAATCCTAAAATCCATCTGACCCATCCCTTCATACGAGTGAGCTCCATCAAAATCGATTCATCAAAATCAAATTTCACTAAATCTGACACTAAAATTTCGTGATTTGATTTGAATAAATATTTTTGGATACTCTCAGTTATTTCTTCCATGGGATATTTTTTTATAAAATTATTTGTGACTTCCAACATGAGATTTGTATATATTGTTTCGTCGTACGATTTCAATACTGACAAACAGACTGACAGTTTGTTGGATGACATTTGTTGTGGAGTTAGATTTTTTATTACCTGCAATAAAAGACTGTACGTCCCCTGGAAAATGTCAAAATTAATTAAAGAGTTATTTTCATAATAATAATAATAATCTATACTTAATATTATAAAGAAAAAAGATTTTTTCATTTGTTTGTTTGTTTGTACCGAATAAGATTCAAAACTACTGAACCGATTTAGATGTTTGGTAAGAACATAGTTGGAGATCCCGGGAAGGACATATGATAGCTTTTATCCCGGAAATCATGCCTAAAGGGGGTGAAAATGGGGACGAAACTTTGTCTAGTCTTACATATAGTTGTTCTACTTCTTAGGAAATTGGGATTTTCCATATATTGGACATACACACAAAAAATATACACCCGATTTAGTCTATTGTCTCTTGGAAATTGCTCCAAAAGTAAGGAAATAATATTATATGATGTACATATGTATGTATAGGCAAGTGGTGACGCGCTCGCTTGAAAGACCGAGAGAAGCGGGTTCAAATCCCAGGTCTTGCACCTCTGATATTCTCATGTGCGAATCATTTCTCTTATGGTGAAGGCAAACATCTTGAGAAAGAAAGTCAGCGGGACTAAAATATTTTTTTATCCTTTTACGTAGTTATATACACACCTGACTGGTATAATTTAGTAAGTTTTCAGCGAATGCAGAAACAAAATCAAATATAACGCCATCTTTGCTATAATCTTCGTCATATCGCACAAAAATTCTTCCTAAAAAATTATTTTTTGTCAACAACTCTTGACATTTTTGATAATCAAAATTGAAAGAGCATTTTATTTCTATTAATATTAATAAATTAATTTTTCGCTTTCCATCAAAATAATACTCGATTATGTCTTTATTAGTTTTTTTTAAATCAATAATTTTTTTTATTAGACCCATTGCCATTTTAATATTGAATATTATGTCATTGTTTCTCATTGAACTCAATTCGTTAAGTATATTATCAACAATACTATCGACAGTGTTGCCATCAAATAATTCTATTTTATCTGTGAACATGTCTGCGGCCATTTTGAAAACGTTGACATTATATTTTTTAATTTTCAACACTCTTATGATTATGCGAGGAAGAAACTTTTGTGAGAGTAAGTTATCGGTTTCCAATAATTTTATAACAAGTTCTAAAACTTCCAAAATTGCTTGGTCGATAGCTGGAAATAAATTTTATTATTACAGAATATTATTATAGTATGTTAATTAGTTAAATTAATATACGATTTTTGAGAATAAAATCTATACTAATCTTATAAAGAGAGTTTGTTTGTTTGTTTGTTTGTACGTGCTAATCTCAAGAACAACTGATCAGATTTGAAAAAAATCTTTATGCAATAGATAACCCGTTTATTGAGGAACGTTAACACGTCACGTGACCATGTTGATGACGACTTACATGAATTTTCTCCCCATCCAAACAAACCTCCCTATACAAGTTTTCACTTCAAAAACATCGCTATTAGTAGAGTACTCACAGTTATGATGTTCTTCAAATAGCAAATTTTCCAGAACCTTCTCAAGTAAATCGCCTTCATCTTTATTGAGCATCTTTTCTAAGATACTGAGTAGAATATTTCGGGATTTCGTAGATTTCTCTGTTATTATACACTGAAAGATTATCATAATACTTTCTTAGATTCACATCACTTGCTACGTTTTTATTTTTTTGAGCGGAACCCGGAGCTTATTCTTTTTTTCTAAAATAGAAGTAGCCTAAGTTACTCCTTATAATATCAGCTATCTGCCAGTGAAAGTCCCGTCAAAATCTGTCCAAGCGTTTCGGAAATTCGCCGAAACAGACAGACAAACAGATAAAAATTATAAGGACCATATATAATTTCATATACATTTATTAAAAAGCTTTTATTTCGACTTTACAAACAGACACTTCAATTTTATTTATCTGTATACACTAGCGACTCACCCTCGCTTCGCTCGGGTTCCTCCCTAGGAACGTTTTGACGGTTATTATGGAATAGATAAACTAGGTATATATAGATATGTAAAGAAAAGTAGGCAAGTAATTTAAAAAATAAAAAAAATATCCCTTACTTGAGAAATTGTTAATTCTCCATACAAACTTATCCCCCTCCCCCCCTCCTCCCCCTTTCATCCCCATAAGGAATGATTTCCGAGATACAAACTATCCTATATCCTTTCCAGGGTCTCAAACTATCCCCATACCAATTTTCATCCAAACCGGTTCAGCGGATTAAGGATGAAAAAGTAACAGACATACAGACACACAGACAGACAAGAGTTACTTTCGCATTTATAATATTTGTATGGATTAGTCCGATGTTATTTATCTCACCTGCATAAGTTCCACCACAACGTCTTCATGAACCCAGCAGTGGGTCGCGACGTCCAACGTGACGTCACAACGCGACAGCGCCACTATCATGGACAGAACTGCTTTTTGTAGAGTCGAGTCATTTTTTATTGCCACTGAAAATTAATCCTTATTGTCAATACATATTATAAAACAAAGTCCGCATCTGTCTGTGTGTTCGCGATAAACTAAAAAACTACTGCACCGATTTTCATGCTGTTTTCACCAATGGATAGAGTGGTTCTCGAGAAAGGTTTTAGTATATAATTTGTTAAGTTTTTGTATACATTGGCTAAAATAAAACGACATTTGTTGGAGGTGTCTGAAAAAAACTTTCAACGAAAACGCTGCCTAACCCTTTGAGAAATAACAAAATAATGTATGGTGGAATCTTATATACGTCTACAGAAAAGTTCGCGATGGCATATGTCTATCTCTTAAGGATAACATACCATATCCATTTTAATAGCGAATATATATAATAGGCAAACCCGAGCGAAGCGAGGGTGAATCGCTAGTTAGATACATAAAAGCGAAATTGTCTGTAGATTTAATTTTTCAAAGCTAACCCACTGAATCAATTTTGATTAAGTTTTACAGAGTTTTATCTATGAAAATTACTTCTTCCATATTTGAAGTATGCATGATAACAGACGGACAAATATATATGTATGTAATGTGTGGTTCTGGGTTCGAGTCTTGGTCCAATTGTAGTTGTTAAGTTTTCAAGAAATTCTAATTAAAATCCCGTACTTGGAAAGTTGCGACCCCATTTCTTTTAGACAACCTGTCGCTTCTTTTAGCGTCTGATCTCTTACGGGGTTTGTGAGTGAGATGAACAGAGAGTGTCTCTCTCTCTCTAACATGTTATAGCTCCACTGGACTGTGAGAGTGAGAGATACAGAAAGTGTTTCTATCTCCCTCACATTTGTAGTGATGAGTTGTTGTGGGTTGTATTATAATGTGTTTTATTTGTGGGAATGACAATATCGATATATAATAAAGATCACGCCAATCAGTCACTTTATTTCGACGTGAAGGAAGGACAAACAAAGAAACAAATATACACACTTTAACATTTATAATATTAAAATCGATATTAGTATTTATACTTACGTTTAGCATTTATTACATTTATGAGCATGTTGAGAGCATCCTTATCTTCATATTCAATAGCCGCAGTTAAGACTCGTCGCAATTTTAACTAAAATTTTAAATAAATATAAGTAATTAAAAGTAAGCTACGAGGCCTGTGGTATGGATACCATATTATAAATATCATATATCCATATATACCCATGACTGGAGTACAAACAGTCGTGCTCATCACAAATGAATGCCCCCAGCGGGGCTCGAACCCGCAACCGCTGGCACAGCAACTAGGATCACTACAAACTGAGCCAAACGTGTCGCCAAAATTTTTATTTTAAATGTACATTTAATTTTATACTTGAAACAGAGTTCCGTAGCATACAAACATATCTTATTTACACACAACATTTTGAATGGAGTACCTTCTTAGTCGGACTATGACCTGTCTCTTTCTCTCTCCATCCCTCTCTTTTTTGTCAATTCAAAAATACTATTTACATTAAACACTAGCGACTCACCCTCGCTTCCCTCGGGTTCGTTCCTAGCTTGATTCCCCATACGAACTTTCATCCCCATTTTCACCCCCTTAAGAGATGATTTTCAGGATAAAAGTATTCTATGGTCTCAAACTATCTTCCTACCAAATTTCATCTAAATCAGTTCAGTAGATCCAGAGATTACCCCTTACAACGTCACAAACTCACAAACCCACAAACTCACAAACTTTACCTCTTTATAATATTAGTATAGATTACATTAGCTTAAAATAATCATTATATATTTTCAAAATATCTATATAATACTTTCTTAGATTTACGCGAATATTTGACATTTTAAATAAAACTATCTTTTTGGGCTTTTATTTAAACTAATAATACAAATATATTTTTTTTAATTAATAATATTATTTAGTGTTGCTATTATTATAATATGTATAAACCATAAAGAATATTAAAAATTCAAAATATTAATTATTTATTTAAGCAATATTATTGTTTTATATGTGATTTAAAAAAGTTAAAATATAAAGCAACACTATTGCTACCTTTATAGACAAAAATATTAATCAGAATACTGTTATTGCGATCCACACAGTATGAACTAACTACATCTAATGGTCTGATATGTTTGAGACGTCTAAAACCTTAGTCTCTCCCGTGACCATGATTGCTGTAAAGCATTCGAAACTTCGAGAACCAAAAATCAAAATAAATCCGCGAAATAATCCGAAAAGATAGTTTTATTTAAAATATTTATATAATTAAGGGTTTTATTTAACTCACTTTTAGTACGTCATCGACTTCTAAAACCAAGGTATTTTCTAAATTTTCAGCAAATTCATAATAATTAGGTGTTACATTTTCCATCGTTCGGCCATATTTTGCTGAAATAAAAAACAATTTAAGCTTTATCAAAATAGCTTAGAAAAAGTGCGTGCATGTACCGTGTATGTGTGCGTGCATACGTGCGTGTATGTTTAAACAAATCTTACCTATAAACATAATGACATCTCTTTCTAAAATTCTATCCTCTTTTTTACTTTTATTTATTCTTTTTGATATAATCTGTACTTTGCGCAGCATCTGAAAATAGAGCACTTATTAAAATTTAACACTAAAGTCTTAATATTAAAAATTAAATAAGAATGGGTGAAAACATAATTCATTACTTTTTTTTTATTTCGAAAACTAATAGTCAAAAGGTAGGCTCTTTTTACTATTTAAAACGTATTTATTGTCAATTGTATAATATCTATTATTTTCATTATTGTTTACTAGCGACTCACCCTCGCTTCTCTCGGGTACGTTCCTAGTAAAAAAACCAAAACAAATCTATCCCACGGGAACCGTACATTCCGGGATAAAAGTAACCTATGTGCTATTAAAGACTATAATCTATCTCTGTGCCAAATGTCATCCAGATCCGTTCAGCCGTTCTGGCGTGATTGAGTAACAAACATCAAAACATCTATACTTTCACATTTATAATATTAATAATTAGCGACTAACAAGTGATAAACTAAAAATTTAAAAAACCCCCAACCATCTTGAACCGATTTTTAAACATAGCTAAGAACACTCCCGACTAATTCACCTTTCAAACAAAAAAAACTAAATCAAAATCGGTTCATCAGTTCGGGAGCTACGATGCCACATACACACACAAAAACACGTCAAACTTATAACACCCCGTCATTTTTGCGTCGGGGGTTAAAAATAACCTTTCTTTAATAACAAAACTTCTGTATTTTTACATATATGTATTTTAAATTTTAAATTTCACCAGCTATGGCTAATTAAAAAATTGACAAAACTAAAAAAAAAAAAAATTACTTACTTGAGACAATTCATTTTCATTCAACTCTTTGCCTTGTATAAGCTTTTCCAATTTATGCAGAGCTCTACTTAAATTTGTAGCTCCCACATTATTTTTCGACAGGATCGTCTAAAAATAAAACATTGGTCAGAACAGTGAAGGAAAAACAAAAAATATTTTTCACAAAGGAAGAAACCTATTCCATTTTTCATTTACTAGAATAAATATGACAAGGTTTGAACTCTAATTACAGTTAAAATATTATACATCAATTTGTGATGTATTTATACGTATCGAAATTCGAAATAGATTTGCTTTGCTTTGTATCGGCTGGCATCGACTTCGAAAATATCTGATTAGGTATCTATAGTAAATGAAGACTACCAATCACTTATATTTTTAACTTTTTAATTAGTTTTTTTTTGAATCGGTATTTTTTTTTTAATTAGTTTTTTTTAATGTAATAATGTAGTAATGTCCTCCTGAACGATTGGATTTTATTGATATTTTTTTAAATTATAGTGCAGTGAGAGAGAAAGAGAGAGAGAAAGAAAGAGAGAGAGAGAGAGAAAAACTGCACTCTCTGTCCCTTTTGTTACTATTTTAGAATAAATAATATCTAATAAGTAATAACTTACCTCCAAAGCAATAATCATCTCAGATAATTTATATCCTTCTAACATGTCTATATACGAGAGACAGCAACGTAATTTTTCCTCATCATTTATACAATATTTAATAGAAATATCCTGAAAGTATTGTTTTAATGTATTTTTTCTCGTCAACAAAAAAGGCTACAAAAAAGCTACAGTTTTTGGTAACTTTAGAATTAACTCTATGGTATTCTCGTAAACTCAAAAACGGCCAATATTGTTATTACGTAATCAATAAATTGACCTTTACACTACGTTTGCCTAAGCTCCACTCTAACACGTTTCGATTCCATCAACTATCAGAACGTCTGGATACAAAACCAGCCCACTTCCACTTCAATCGGTTCGATGTCGGCTACTTTAATAGGCAATAGTATGTGTACTAAATATCAGACACACACGCACACGCGCATGCGTACGCGCACGCGCGATCTCGCGCGCATACACACACAAACACACACAAGATTAAGGAATAAATCCCTTACCTCCGACCCCTCGTCATTGTTTCCAAATAAAATAGCCGAAGGCACAAACTCAGGATACACTCTCGCATATCGTTTTAGAACCCTAATAGACCCTTGTGAAGGCAAAAGTGTCAAGAGAGATGCAAACCCCTTAATGGTGTCCGGTAAAATCTAAAACATATAAATATTCAGACTAAGAGTGTCATAAATATAAAGACAAACAATGGTGTTTTCAAATAGTATATATATATTGTATTGTATTCAGCCCTTTTTAACGTCCCACTGCTGGGGGTGGGCCTCCCTTCAATACGAGGGGGATCAGGCCATAGTCATAGGCCAGGGCATAGTATATATCTATACTAATATTATAAAGAGGTAAAGTTTGTGATCTTGTGAGTTTGTGAGTTTGTGACGTTGTAGGGGGTAATCTCTGGATCTACTGAACCGATTTTCAAAATTATTTTACCAATAGAAAGCCACGTTCTTTCTGAGTGTCATAGGCTATATATTAATCCGAAAAATGAAAAGGCTTTTTCGTGGTAGTCGGATTTGCAAAGTAAGTCGGAGAAAAAACGGTCGAACGAAAACGTTTCTTACGAACGCTGCCTTAACGATGAGAGATATATGATTATGTTCTAGAGAAAAGTTGTAGAGCTTATTAATGCCTACAAAAAAGTCAGCGACAGCATATATCTAACTTTTATATTTAAGTCACAAAAAGTAGTTTTTTATATTAAAAAAATCATTTAAATCGGTAGGTCATGTTTATTGGTCATATTATCAACAATTATGAATTCTTATCAAAATAAGTAAATTTATCGTCTAAAATGCTTAAAATAAAAGACTTTTCCCTTTTACTGCATATAATTTGGACAAATGGTTAAAGAGATAATACAACATATTCGTATGTATGGACGAACCCGAGCGAGCAGTTTTTCTGTTTTTCTCTTTGTACGGGCTAATCTCCGGATCTATTGGACCTATTTAAATGAAATTTTGCATGGTGGTACCTTATATCCTCGGGCAACATCTTAGATACTTTTCATCCTGGAAAATTAAAGGGTTCCCGTGGGATAGTTAAAAAACTATAACAAGTTATACATCTTACTACACAAAAACTACTGATTGGATTTTAATGAAACTTTACAATAATATAGTTCATACATAACAAAAACAAATCAGCTACTTTTCATCCCGGAAAATTAAAAAGTTTCCGTGGGATGGTCAAAAAACTATAGTAACTTATACAGCTTAGTACACAAAAACCACTGATTGGATTTTGATGAAACTTAACAATAATATAGTTCATACATCAGAATAACAAATAGGTAACTTTTTAACCCGGAAAAACGTACTTTTCCCGTGGGATAGATGTTTTTGTTTATTTGTAACGTATTATGTACACAACATAGACCCCAAAACGATAGTTATTAAAAAAATGTCTGTTTGTCTGTTTTTGTGTGCGCGTTTCACGCGAAAAGTAATGTACCAATTTCAACGAAATTTGGTGAAGTGATAACTTATTACTCGAGTCAACATTTAGGATACCTTTTGTATGTGTGTATGTATGTATGTATGTATGTATGTATGTATGTATGTATGTATGTATGTATGTATGTATGTATGTATGTATGTATGTTGTATTCAGTCCTTTTTAACACACACACGGGCTTCCCTTCAGTACGAGGTGGATCAGGCCATAGACCACCACGCTGGCCAATATCAGAGGTGCTAGACCCGGGATTTGAACTTGCTTCACTCGGTTTTCCAAGCGAGCGCGTTACCACTGGGATACCACTGCCTAGATACCTTTTACTTAAAGAAAATCTTTCTTTCCCACGGGAAAATATAATAACTGGTTTTATCGAGTCCTCCCTAGAAACCTTCCTCTGGCTAAGCCTTAAGACATACATCAAAACAATATACTAAAAAATTGTAGGTCTTCAAAAGTCCTACAGAAAAGGTCTGAATAATATATGTCTATCTCCTAAGTTACACTCGCAATATTTATTCTTATCTATACCTATAATAAAACTTAGTCAAATCGATGTGCGCGTTTCACGCAAAAAGTACTCAACCGATTTTAACTTAATTTTGTATAGTGATAAAACTTAGTGCTCGGGTCAACATTTAGAATACTTTTTACGACAGGCAAATTATTCATTCCCACGGGAAAATACAATAACTGGTTCTATCGCATTGTCCTTAGAAATTTATATGGCTAACGTTGGCTCAACCTTAAGAGATAGATCAAAACATTGTACAAGAAAATTGTAAGTCTTAAAAAGGTCTAAGAAAATTCTACATAGTATATGTCTATCTCCTAAGGTACACTAGCTATAACTATTTTCATTATTATATATTTCTGTTTTATTATACATTATTTATTCTATCTGAATATAGGTACATATATGAATAATTAGTATATATATATAACCTGAATCTTGGAAATGGCTCCAACGATTTTCATGAAATTTAGTATACAGGGGTTTTTGGGGGCGAAAAATCGATCTAGATTAGTCTTATGTCTGAGAAGTTAGTGTTGTCGAGTTTTCATGCAGTTTTCTTTAGCATTATTCCACGCAAAATATGGTCGGTAATTTCGCACGCTCTGGTGTAAGCATCGTGGTCAAGCGACCAAGGCGCAAGATCAACAATCACAGGTGTCCAGGTTCGAATCTTAGTCGTATATAAAGATTTTACTTTTGTTTTAGCCGAAACTTACTTTAACCGAAACCTTAAACCTGAAAGGCCTTTCGGTTTGGGATCGATGACCAAAACCGGTTTAAAAATTGAACGGATTTCCGAGCCCTAAGGACGAAATAATTAGCTTAAAATAAAATCAAAAAATTTGAAATCTTTAAACGTATTTGACATAAAAACTTACCCCTCCATACATTAACTTTTCTTCTTCCCTTTCCAAAACCATAGCAATATATTCTAAGGCATCTTCTACAATGCATTTGGTATCAATTTTTAGATTATCTGTGTCATTGAAAATATCGCGCCAAACCATCGATTGGGGATAATTTGTCAGAAATATAATGGCGGACTGAAAAAATAAAAATATCTAAGCAATAATAAAAAAAATTGTGTGTACTTATGTACGCACGTAAGAAGTTATATGACGTAACATAACAAAAATAGCTTAAGATTTCATCCCGTATGTCACAACTCTCTGTTTGTAAAAGGAATGCAGCTAACTTCATCATGTCGCTGTTTGGCTGTCGGTGTGCACGCGCATCGTAAAAATTTTACTCTCATATTTTTTTCCAAACGTCCCAAAAGAAGTATAACTTAAAAAACCTATATAATAAAACTATATATTATGCATATATGTATAAGGCAGGTATAGAAAAGTAGGTAAGTATAATACTTTCTTAGATTTACGCGAATACTTGACATTTTAAATAAATCTTTTCGGATTTTTTCGCGAATTTATTTTGATTTTTGGTTCCCAACGTTTCGAATGCTTTACAGCAATCATGGTCACGGGAGAGTCTCTCCCGTAAAATATACATATATATATATATCCCATATATATATATATATATATATATATATATATATATATATATATATATATATATATATATTATATATAAAATTTCCATGTTACAATGTTATTTACCGTACTCCTCCGAAACGGCTATACCGATTTTTACCAAATTTTATATGCGTATTCAGTAGGTCTGAGAATCGGCTACTATCTATTTTCCATACCCCTAAGTGATAAGGATAAGGGTGGTCCTCCCAGACTCCACCCCAGGGACGAACCCGAGCGGAGCGAGGGTGAGTCGCTAGTATATATGCTTAATGAATTTTAGCTTGAGAGATGTTGTTAGATTCGTCTTAATTGTGTGAGTGACTAGTGTCTTATCAAAATTATAAAAATTACAATGGCCGATATTTTGACGCCATATTATACCTTCAAAAATGTGTTTTTCACATATAGATTCGGCCTCTGTATCCACAATTATGACTATTACAATAAGAATTTCCAAAATATATT